GTTGAAACAGATTTTCTAGGTTTACTGACTTTATAAAATCTACTCATTTGTCTATTTTGTTACTAATTAAATGAAGTTTTCCAGTTTTCTCTTTCTCTGGAATATTGAAATAGATCTCGTTATAATCTCACATGGTGTTGGCAAGGAATACTTACTCTTTTCTTCTCATGTTTCCACCGAGGAGAGGGAGCTTCTCCTCCCCAGAAGGATATATAGTCTTTGTTTCCTCTCCCTCTTCCCCAAGGAAAGAGCCATTTAATTGCTTGGTAAGATGTGCAGAATAAGCTCTGGGTGATCCCTCTTTGGGAATGGCCAGTCCTCCAGACTCATTCTGAGCAAACTCATCCCTACAAGGGAGACCTGGAGATGCTTGGCTATGGCAGGGACTGGCTTAGGTAAATTCAGTTCAAGGAGGATGTGTTGGGAAGTGCATCTGGTGAAGATCCAAACCGACTTCTCTCACTCAGCTCCTCCAGTAATAAGCTCCTTATGATCCCCAGCTGGTCTGACTCCCATGTGTGCTTCTCCATTACATGCCCCTTCTCAAACCTGAACACGTACTTTTTCAAACTTAGAAAAAAAATTGTTCTTTCATGGAGTCATATTACCATCTTGTAGCCTTTTGTGATTTGTATAAGACATTTCATATTTTTCTTTGCACATCACAGCTTTGTTCCCAATGATCACATTTGCTGAATTAAGGACAGCTAAATAAGTAAGGTATTCATGAGCTGACTTTCAAAGAACTGCTTGATTCTTATGCACATACTTTCCATATTCTCACCTGATTTTATATTATATTGGTTTCCTCTCCTCCTCAGGAAAAGAAGCCTTTTTGAAGAACTGTATTCTTTGTTGGATCAAATGCTATCTCATTGTATCTTTAATGCATTTTTGTTGCCAGAAATTCCTTTTATTCTATATTTAAATTGATCCATCATAATTCCCTTTATCTAAATTCCTTTGATTCAAAGTCAGAAGACCCAGCTTTAAGCTTTAATTCTGCCATCCACAAGCTGTGTGATCCCCTGGCTCCTTTTCCTCTTCTACAAAGTGAGCTGGAGTAGATGGAGTAGATAATATTGAGGTAGGGGGAACTGAAAAGGCTCCATTTCTCCTGTTTCCCTGCAAGGCCCTATTTGCTCACGTTCTATATTTCAGCTTGCATCTGAGTAAAAACCAGAGAAGCTACATTCCCACTCCAAGGGGGAACAAGAGAATTAATCATTCTCTGAGTTTCAACCTCGGCCCCCAAACACCTGACAACATCTAAGAGCCAGATCCCAAACCTGTTCTAGGACACTAGCTTTGAACAAACCTTGGCTGATGCTGGCATCAATAGTCCCTACCTTCAACAGTTTATGAAATAACAGCAATTCTTCACCGGTCACTCACCTCAGATTGGACCCTACCCTGGATTCCTGAAGGAACATATTTCCAAGACCCCTTCCCAATGTAAACCCCTGACACCCAGCAACAAGGAGATTTTCCTTTCTGAGCCTCCCAGACACTCCATCTATTCTCCGTCACTCACACTATTCAGTATATTCTGTTTTCGCTTCCCCCTGGCTCACATTTGACTTCTATCCTGCACAAAGCCAAGAAGCCTCTTGGCTGGTCCTGGATCCAGACCCCCTCTGGATCCTCAGACCCAACCTGCCTGCATCAGTATTTCAGCTAAGGTCCTTTCCCAACATTTAATGTCATTCAATGTTTCCAGTAATGTCCTGCCATGTCAGGTGGAAAGAGACTAAGAAGTTAGGATTCACATGGGATAAAAGTCTAAGCTACATTTATTCTTTAGTAACCTATTAGTAGTTTACATAGTAAAGGAAGTAAAACCTCCTAAAATAACCTGTTTGAATATAGATAAGAGAAACCCAGATTACAATCCTTTGTTTTCAAAGACCCTGCTGACATGGTCTGGAGGGCTCAAAACACAAAGGAATGGAAAGGAAATTTCTTTCACCCATGGTACAACCTAGGATCCCAGAGAAGCTGCTAGCAGGCATAGAAAACTACTGGTTTCCAAATTTCATTAGGCATGTAGAAGGACAGAGGCCAATAGCCTTACGGTTGACCTTGGACTTGGGAGTAGGTAAGTGGCAGCAATTAAGTACCTGTTTGCCTGAACCCCACCCTAAGCCTGAGACCTGATTCAGCCTCTGGATGCTTCCTGGCAACCTGGGACAGCTGGGCAAACTTGAAGGACTCTGAACCTGGTTGGTCCACAAGAAAGGAGTCGAGAATGTTAAGATTTTTTTTAAGATTATTAATTTGAGAGCGAGTGAGAGAGAGCACATGCACGCAAGCAGGGGGAGGGGCAGAGGGAGAGGGAGAGAGACTCTGAAGCAGACTCCCCGTTGAGAAGAGACACTGCCCCCCAGATCACGACCTGAGCCAAAGTCAAGAGTCAGTTGCTTAACCCACTTAGCCACCAGGTACCTCAAGATTTGATACTTTTTATTAAGACTTTTTTTTCCATTATAGAACAAAATTGAAAAATACAGGACATAGGAAAACATGCTAAATCCTACCATTTAGTTACAACCACTGTTTATGTCTTGATGTGCTGCTGCTGCTTTCTTTTTTTAAAGTAGGCTCCATGCTGGGTGTGGAGCCCCACACGGAGCCTGAACTCACAACCCTGAGAGAAAGAGTTGGACACTTAAACTACTGAGCCACCCAGGTGCCCTGTGGTGTGTTTCAATTATTGATTGATTCATTTTTTAAAAAAGATTCTATATATATTTGAGCATGAGCAGGGGCAGAGGGAGAAGCAGACTCTCTGCTGAGCAGGAAACCCAGTGCAGGCTTGATCCCATGACCCTGGGATCATGACCTGAGCCAAAGGCAAACCATAACTGACTGAACTACCAAGCCACATTGATTTGAGTCATTTAAAACAAATATTACTTAGGGCCTCTGGTACACGATGTTAGGCCCTGAGGAATCCTGAAGTAAAGTCAACCGACACTTTCTAAGCCTGTAGCATTTCCTTCCAATCTTTTCCTTTTTACTTTTTTAAGATTTTATTTATTCATGAGAGACACAGAGACATAAGCAGAGGGAGAAGCAGGCCCCCGTGGGGAGCCCGATGCAGGACTTGATCCTAGGACCCCAGGATCACACCCTGAGCCAAGGGCAGATGCTCAACCACTGAGCCATCAGGTGTCCCTCCTTCCAATCTTTTGTAGGCATTTTTGGTACAGGCAAAAATGTTTGAAACTTCTCTCAAATTGGGGATCCTTGGGTGGCTCAGCAGTTTGGTGCCTGCCTTCGGCCCAGGGCGTGATCCTGGAGTCCCGGGATCGAGTCCTGCATCGGGCTCCCTGCACGAAGCCTGCTTCTCCCTCTGCCTATGTCTCGGCCTCTCTCTCTGTGTGTCTCTCATGAATAAATAAATAAACAAAATCTTAAAAAAAAAAAAAAAAAAACTTCTCTCAGATTACAGAAACAGTTCCACCTCTAATCCCTCCTCCTTGAGAGACCCTGTCCAGCATCATCCAGGACTGCTTCATGCTTTGACTGATGCACTCTGGTGACTGTGGCAGATGCTGCCAGGGAGGCCCCATCCCCTAGGCCCCTCGGTAGACAATTCCCAATGTGCTGATGGCCTCACACATCCAGGTTCTCAAACTTGATTCTTCACCATTCTCAAGTTCTCTGAAATCAATTATTAACAAAGTCTTTGTTCCCATGCATGTAATTCTTCTGTGTGTCTGCTACGCTTCAGCAGCCGTCCTAGCAAGGGGAGAGTTGAGGTGGTGGTGGAAGTAGAAATGTGTTGGGGCTAGATTTTTACCCTAGGAACTCTGTGTGTGTGTGTGTGTGTGCATACTCACGCATGTGTGCATGTTTAAATCTATGCTTTCTTTTTTCAATTAGAAAAATACATGCCTATGTTTTGAAAAAATATATATCAAAACAGACACATCCACACCTGTAATCCCCTTCCCCAGAAGCAACAGTTGCCACCTTTCTGATGTTTTTCCAGAAATATTCTAGTATAAAAAGCTCAGCTATTAAATATAGATTCCCTTTTTTATGTAAAAAGGGCATAATATACACTTTAAGCTTCACCATATATATTGGGATTCACTGCAAAATAGAGTTACTTCACTTCTTTTCCACAATGTTATGTTGTTTGGAAATGTCCCTTTTGAATGGGCATTTTGGTTGCTTAACATATTTGCTATCACAAACAACTCTGCCTTGAACATACTTATACACACATTTTTGGATGCATGTATCACTATACTTCTGTCAACACTGAATATGACCAATGTCTTATCTTTTGATAATTAGTGACAGAGTATTTTCTTATTTCATTTTTTTAACTTTTTTGTTTCCTGATTTTTGTCTTTTTTTCTTTTTTGTTTTCAATTTAATTTTCTTATTTCAATGTGGTATCAAACTATTGATAATTCTTTTCAGTAAATTGACTTTTTTTTGGGTTTTGCCCATTTTCTATGTTACTAATGTAAGATAAAAAAATTCTTATGTTAGGCTAGCCTGGGTGGCTCAGCGGTTTAGCGCCGCCTTCAGCCCAGGGCCTGATCCTGGAGACCCGGGATGGAGCCCCATGTCAGGCTCCCTGCATGGAGCCTGCTTCTCCCTCTGCCTGTGTCTCTGCCTCTCTCTCTCTCTGTGTCTCTCATGAATAAACATATAAAATCTTAAAAAAAAATTCTTATGTTAAAAATAATTATGTTAAGTTTGGCCCATTTACTCAATCATCAGGCTACAAACATGTTGTCTTTTTTTTTTTTTTTTTTAAGATTTTATTTAATCCCTCTCCAGGTCCCAGAGTTTTTGGTTCAGACCCCAGGGGGAACCTGCACAGACCATTCTCACTAGGGCATGTGGGTTCCAAGTGGCCCCACAGGGACCTAGATGCCCATGTGACTCAGTCACAGACTGTAGCACTTCCTCTGTAAATTCATTCCCTGGCTCCCATCGCCTCTTCCCTCCCATCCCAGCTCTGCTGAGCCCCGCCAGCTCTTCTCTGAGGAAATTTGCATCATGCAGCAGCCGGAGGACTCCTGAGGACTGCTTCACTGAGCCATGGTCTGTTCAGCTGCCCCCGTGCTACTCCTGGCTATGACTCTCCCACTGGTGGGGTCACCAGTAGCCCAAGCATCCCAACCTGTGAGTAAGACTGGGGCGAGGACCCAGGGAAGGTCTACAGAGGTGACATAGGGTGACATATGACATATGAGAGGCAGCAAGGTGTGGATGAAGGGACAGGTGGAGGAGCAAAGGCTGGAGGGAGAGGAAGTAATGTAAAAACAAGAGACGCCAGTTTGTTATAAATCTTTGAGAGGTGTGGGATGGCTTTTGTTTCTTTGAGTCACTGTGAACTCCAGTGATACCAGCTGCCCTCTGGATACAGGCTCTCCCGGTCAAGGTTACAATTTAAAAATGGAAAGAAAAGAAGAATTTTCCAGACTTGGAAACCATGGGCAGAGGACAGGAGAGAATCTGAAGAAAGACAGCAGAGTCGAGATCAGCACTTTTTGGTTTCTGTTTTCTCCCAGGAAGACATCTGTATCTCTCTCCATATCCAAATCCATACCCATATTGACACGTGTATCTGTTTTTAGATAGATACCCACATTCGCATACAATATTGAGAGAAGGAGGAGTCGGTAAGGAACTAATTTACACGAACGAACGAACGGGGACTAAGGGAAGATGCTGCCTTATGCTCCCGCTCGTGGCAGTTCCTATGGAGGGAACAGAAGTCCCCAGGCTTCTGCCCCCACCTCACCCCCAGCTCTGCCCAGCCCTCCCCACTGGGGTTCCAGACATAGCCATTTCAATTAGAGGCTCAGGGACAGGTAAATTTAGGAAGGAATTAAGCAAAGCATGTTGACTCTCCAGGGTGTGCCTGGTTCCTGGGTTCAGGAGGGATTTGCAGGCCCTGGGAGACTCCCAGGGACTGTAACCCTGGCGCCTCCTACTGGAAACCTGCTTTCGTTTTCTGAGGTGCCTGCTTGATTCTAGGCAAAAAGAAGAGCTTAGAAGAGATGGAGCCATGCTAGGTTACTTGGGCCAGCCCCTGAGCAGCTTGTGGAAGAAGGTGTCCCTGGAAGAAATCTCAGAGATCTCTCCCCTGTGCTCTGTTCCAGGGACAGAGTCAGGCTGGAGAGGAACTGGGGCAGCAATTGGACCAAAAGAGTGGAGCAAGTGGTATGTGGATGGAGTGAGCAGGAGGAGAAAGGAGGGAAGAGAGGAAGGACTTGGGGGTGGGGAGCAGAGAATGAGGCAGAGGAGGGCATACAGAGGACTGGATCCACGGCCGTCCCCGTGGTCACACAGAGGCCAGGTCTCTGGCTGTGAGGCCTTAAGAAAATCATTCATCTTCGAGAGCCTCATCTATAAACTGAGGGTTTGGGAGAGGGTGACATGGTGCCTTGTGTGAATGCACATGGCCAGTGAGGGGTTACAGCTCTCTGGAGTCTCATCAGCACCTAGCTGGGCTGCCTTGGGTGCTGTCAGGGCAGTGTGCAGCCAGGTGTGGGAGGCACAAGAGGACCAGCCTGTGGCCTTGCCGCCTCTCCTCTCCAGCCGCTGCCTCTGCTCCTGTAGAATCAGCGCTGGCCTCGGTCTATGTACAGATGGACTTTCCAGATCAGACCTGGCCACTGGCACTCTCCGGGACCCTGACTCTGCCCCTTGCCTCAGCTTTCCTCTTCCCCAAGAACTCTCACTGGCCTCAGCCTCACGACAGGTAGGGGGCATTCTACTGAGCCCTGCCCCTCAGTGGCTCTTACATCACTTGTGGGGGACCGGGGGCTCAGAGAGAAGGGGACACGGGCGTCCCAGGCCTCCTGCAGCCAGCTTGCCTGAACTACTGCCGGCCCCTCCCATTTCCTGGAGGGTCTCCAGGCCAACTCCTTCCTCACCTCCCCACCAGACAGACCCTTCCCTTCCTGCTCCATGTCCTCATCTTCTCAACTTTGACAAAGACCCTCTTGGGCAGATGGTGGTGGGCTCAGACTTCTCTGCCCTCCCCCTCCCCTGATGACGGCCCAGCAGGACCTCTGCTGCCTTGAACCCTGGCTGAGGGGGCAGTCCCTGATGGCTGGGGCTCTTGTGACTCTGGGATGGCTCCAGACAGCCAGCCCTAGAGCCTCTCAGGTATCAGGCAGTTGTTCGTCCTGACTACCTGGCTGGCTCACACAGCCTGCCCGCCTCTTGGCCCTCCCTCTGCCGCAGAGTGTAATGTCAACCACGATGGCTACCGCCATTGCGCTTGCCTCTCTGGGTACCAGTGGAACGCCAGTGTCTGCTCCCATCACCAAGCCTGCCAGATGCCTCACAACCACAGGCCCTGTGGTTGTCTGGTCTTCAGCCCTGCTGAAGCCGGGTACTGCCAGTTGCTGCCACCTGGTGAGGAAGGTTGGGAACGTGGAAACCAATGAGCCCAAGGGAAAGAAAGCGTGTATTTTCTCCTCTCTTACCCCCAAATCTCAGCCAGCTGGCCCAAGCCCAGGACCTCCGGCGGGTGGGAGAAATCCCAGTTACCCTGGCGGGTCACAGACCCAAGCTTGGGACCTGAGTAGTGAGACTAATGAACAACAGGGCTCCTGAGACACATGGACAAGGAGAGAATGTGCTAGAGCACCTATTGTTGACCCCAGAGGACCAGGATGGGGCTCCAGCAGCCCCAGGCTACCCAGGGGAGGGCAAATCATGGGCCACAAGGCTCCCCTGTTTGGTTCCCAATGACAGGGTCCTCCAGCCGGATGGCAACACCTGCACTCATCCAGGACAAAACAAAACAAAACAGTGCTGGGGGTGATGGGGAGGGAGGGAGGAGGAATGGGATCCTGAAGATGGGGTAGGAGTGAGGGCCTAGCCGCAGAGGGCCACAGTTCCTGCTCTAAGGGGCTGCTGCCTCCTGCCTCCCTGCAGCCCCCGGAACACTGAGCCCCAACCCCAACTCCTGGGTGCAGACGCCTGGCACCACTCTCAATCTGACCCTCGTCAAGAACCATGAAACCACTGACCTGGACTGGTTCCTGCGGCCCCCGGGCAGCCCCACACCCATCCTCCTGCAGCCAGGGACACATGTGTCCCTGACCTCTAGCCCGGACCAGGCTGTCCTCAGCATCCTCAATGTCTCCCATAAATGGGCAGGTAGCCTGCCTGCCCTGCCTCTTGTCTCTCAGTCCTCCAAATCTTTTCACCCTTCTTTCCCCTGCTCCCCTTACCTTCCTCCTCCTCCCTCTCTTCTCCTTCCTGTTTTTCTCTCCCCGTCCTTTCCCTTTGTATCTTTCCATTTATTTATTTTGGGGAAGCAAAGGCTAAGAGGCCTGCTGATGTGAACGATGATCACAGGAGAATGCTGAAGGTAGGGGGCCCATTTCGACAGAGAGCAGACCGCCTGTGTTTTGCTTCAAGATGTTGCAGTGGCAGCAGGTGGTGTGGGAAGGGCATCCCCTAGTGGGAAAGGAGTTCACCTTAGCATTCATGGCTCCAGGCTTAAAAAAAAAAAAAAAAGACAAGGGCCTCTTCTCCAGGCCTCTTCCTCCTAGAAATCCTTTCTGGAACAGGGATCTTGCTGGGCTTAAGCCTCAGACCGGGAGGGCAGAGCTCAGGTGTGGCTTTGGAAGCAGCAGAGGTGGGTGCTGGAGGAGCCGGGAGGTGCAGCAGGTGTGTATCTGCAGGTGAGTACACGTGCTGCTTTGAGGCTCAGGGCTTCAGGTGGGAGCTGTCCCAGGTGGTGAAGGTGGCCCTGCAGGCGACAGATGTGACTCGGCTTCCAGACCAGCTCTCCATTCTCTCCTCCACCTGCGCTGGCTTCCAGCTGACCTGCTGCATCCCCAGCACACATCTGACCTACACAGCTTCCTGGAGTCCTGAAGAGGGCAGCAGAGGTATGGTGGGAACAGGTGGCAGCTGGCTCCCCAGCTCACAGGAAGCAGAGGCTGCAGTTCCACCTGGGAGTTTGGGTCCAAGTCCAGCACTGTACCCCACGGGCAATCCTGATTCTGTTGATACAACAATAACCACCCGAGTGTAGATAACTGTGGGCAGAATGTGTTCCATGTGTTCACACAATCTTAATGAACTCTTGCAACATACTCTGTGAAGTTTGTTTGATGAGAGTTCCCATTTTACAGATGAGGAACCTGGCTTCAGGTCCTGGGGCTACAGACCCCCAGGGGCTCCTCACCAAAATCCAAGCTCTACTTCCATAGTTCAATGCCCGCGTGCCACTCAGTTCTTCCCCATTGCATCAGCTGCTTTTGAAGTTGCTAGAAAGACTTAAAGGACATCTCTGGGCCTGCCGGGTTCCAGGTCCCTTCCAGGCCCAGTAACTGCCCTCCCCCCCATTGCCTTCAGCTTCCTCAGTGGACACGCCAGGCTCCCAGTGCTTTGTGTTGACTGTTCAGCGCTGCCCTGCGGCCGACACCACGTACACCTGTGAGCTGCAGAGCCCAGGGCTGGCCCTTCTCAGGGTTCCCATCTCTGTCACCATCATCCAGGGTATGCTGGGCTTGGGGGTCCAGCCAGTTGACCTCCACCTGCTGGCCCTGGGCACTCCTTGATGTCCCCCTGCGCAGGGGCCCCACAGCCAGTCTCCAGAGCCTGAACGGGTTTCTGCCCGGGGAAAGGCTGGGGCTGGACTGTGGTTGCCAAGCCTCTCTGATGCCCTTCTTCAGATGGCGATACCACCTGCCCTGAGGACTCCTCAGCTGTCACCTGGAATGTCACCAAGGCTGGCCACGTGGCACATGCCCCGTGTCCGGCGAACAGGACGGGCTTGGTAGAGCGCACCTGTGGGCCTGATGGGGCGTGGGAGCCCGTGCGCAGCAGCTGCACACGCACAGAGCTCCTGGCCCTGCATCACAGAGCCTGGGTAACGCCTCAGGCCCTGCTGCCCACGTGCCTCTGCCTCCAGGACCTACCCCTTCCTCACTCGGGACCGGCTTTAGAAGCCTTTCCCCCGCGGCCCGGCCTCAGGTCATTCACCTTCCCTGAACTAGAGCCTAGCAGAGCCCCGGAGTGCGGGCGGCAGCCATAGGGTGGAGCGTGCTATTCTCGATCTCATTCCCACCAAGGGTCTGTCCCAGGAAAGTGGGTGTCAGTTCCTTCCATGTGACTCCCTCGAGCTTTGCATCCTGCTCCCTTGGGGATGGTGCACACGGTTGCGGAGGAAAGAGCTGGATGGGGGAGGAGCGGCCCTTCCCTCGTGAGGACTCACCCACTCCACTCCCCAATTCCGGCTGTCTCATCTGTCTCAGCTACTACAGGCAGGCCAGGGCTGGCCTGCTACGGAGGTGTCACAGATCCTGGCACAGCTGTCGGAGCAAGTGGCGGTGGTGAGCTCACCCTCTGACTTATTGGCGCTGCTGGGCACCGTATCATTGCTGGCCAAGGTGGTGGTGGACACAAGAATACAGCTTCCCCGCAGGGCCCTGGAGGTGAGAGCTCTGAGCCATGGCAAGGGCCAGCTGGGAGGTGGGGGCCCGAAGCTCTTTACCTCTGGGCATTTCCATCCCCCTGACATCACCATGGGCTGTCAGCAGAGCTTTCTAGGGGCTGAGCGTCTGCTCCCCTGATCCATCTCTCCTCTCGGATACCAGTCCCCAAGGCCATGGAATGTGGAGAAGGTCTGATGGTGGGAACACGTGGGAGATCAGAGAAGGCAGGAAGAGGTGTGAAGACATGAGTTCAGAGGCATTCATGCACATGCAGATGCATAGATATGGTGTGAAGACACCCCCTGCCCCCAGCTCCCTGAAACACACACACACACGATACCTACATGGAGATACATGAACACTCTTGGCTTTGCTGGACTCACTGAAATCAGCTCTCGATATGGACAACAGTTGGTGACCAATGAGCTGCATCCAAAAGAATAACCAGGGGCAACCACTCTACACACTCTTCCTCTCTGGGAATGTATATCACATATGGGTGGACAGACATGTGTGTGGCCTTCTACTTCAGAACACTGTGCCCTCTAGCACGGGCCACCATTCTTAGCTTTATAGACCTAGAGGGGTCAAAGAATTGAAGAGGGGCCCCCTTAGGGCCCACATGCCCCAAGTGATGATGGACAGGGGGGAAGAAAAGTTGTCAGATGGAGAGGCTGGATGTGCATCAGGAGACCACGTACTTGAAGCCACCCCAGTGGTTAGCTGAACAGCTCCCCATTCTTCCCATGTAGAAACTCTCCCTTCGCAGGTCTGTCTTCTTCTCCCCCTTTCTCTTTACCCTTGGCTCTTCTGCTGGACCAGGAAAGGTGAGATTGGGGCCTATAGTGCCCTGTACCCCTGGCCCAGTGCTGTTGGCTCTAGCAGCCAGGGCTCATCTCTCCATTGGGATCTCTCTGTTGGCTGTCACAGGCTCTCCTGAAGACCACAGACAAGGTCCTAGACATGGACACCAGCTCTCTGTGGACCCCAGCACAGACCCAGGAGCCCTCAGCGGGCTCAGATCTCCTGCTGGCCGTGGAGATCCTGGCACGCAGCCTGTGCCCACGGGATCACCCTTTCTCCTTCAGCTTGCGTAACGTGAGGCTGCAGACGCAGCTCCTTGGACCTGCATCTCCTGCTGACTACAGAGCCTCCTTCTCCACTCAGCCCCCATTGCAGGCACACATTCCCAGACGCTCACTGGCCCTTCTGGGCCATAATGGAACGGACATCAGTATTACTAGCCTGGTACTGCAGAAACTGGACCACCTTCTGCCCTCAAACTATGGACAAGGGCTGGGGAGCTCCCTCTATGCCACTCCTGGGCTGGTCCTCGCCATCTCCATCATGGCAGGCGGCCAGGCCTTCAACCAAGGGGAAGTTATCATGGATTTCGGGGGCACAGATAGCACTTCCCACTGTGTGTTCTGGGACCACCATCTCTTCCAGGGCAAGGGGGGCTGGTCAGACAAAGGGTGCCGGGTGCAGAGCGCCCACGCCAACTCGACCTCTCAGTGTATCTGTAGGCACCTCACTGCCTTCTCCATCCTCATGTCCCGAAACACTGTTCCAGAAAACCCCACCCTGGAGCTGCTGAGTCGGGTGGGCCTGGGGGCCTCTATCCTGGCACTACTTGTGTGCCTGGGTGTGTACAGGCTGGTGTGGAGAGTGGTGGTGCAGAACAAAGTTGCCTACTTACGCCACACGGCCCTGCTCAACGTGGTGCTCTGCCTTTTGGCTGCTGACACCTGCTTCCTGGGAGCCCCACTGCTTCCTCCAGGGCCCCGAAGCCCACTCTGCCTGGCTGCCGCCTTCCTCTGTCACTTCCTCTACCTGGCCACCTTTTTCTGGATGCTGGCTCAGGCCCTGATGTTGGCTCACCAGCTGCTCTTCGTCTTCCGTCAGCTGTCCAAGGGCCGAGTGCTCTCCCTGATGGTGGTCCTCGGCTACATGTGCCCAATGGGGTTTGCAGGCGCTGCCCTGGGCCTCTACCTACCTCGAGGGCAATACCTGGGGGAGGGAGCATGCTGGCTGAATGGGAAGGGAGGGGCGCTCTATGCATTTGTGGGGCCAGTGCTGGCCATCGTGGGTGTGAATGGGCTGGTACTAGCCATGGCTGTGCTGAAGCTCCTGAGACCTTCACTGTCCGAGGGGCCCCAGGTGAAGAAGCGCCATGCCCTTCTGGGGGTGATCAAAGCCCTGCTCGTTCTCACTCCCATCTTTGGCCTCACCTGGGGGCTGGGCCTGGCCACGCTGCTGGAGGAAGTCTCCATAATTCCTCACTACATCTTCACGATTCTCAACACCACCCAGGTGGGTGACAACATGGTGGCTGTGCTTTTCATCCTTTGACACAGTCTAAGCCACGGCCAGTCCCTTCTCAAGGAGGTGTCACGGTGGAGCGGAAGAAACAGTCTCAGGAATTTTAGTAGACTTAGGTTTGGATCCCAGTTCCTCCACTGACTAGCTGGAGAACTTTGGACAGACCTCTGTGAGCTTTGGTTTTCTTACCTGTAAAACAGTATCTGGTTTTGCCAGGGAAGTCCGAATTGTCAGAACCCCAAAACTTGGGCATCTTCTTTGTGACCAAAGCAGTAAGAGAAGCACCTGAAACGGATTCTATGCACCAGATGATGCTAATGTACAGAAAACTCTAGATGAAAAAAAAAAAAAAAAGGAAAACTAGATGGGAAGCCTCGGGACATGAATTAGCCAGGACAGAGGCTGAGGAAGGGGAGAGGGAGAGTTGATTTCGGTGGATTCCTCCCTCGTTGACTAATGTATCCCCATACCCCTCTTTTCAGGGTGTCTTCATCTTACTGTTTGGTTGCCTCATGGACAAGAAGGTGAGTCCGCCCACCTAACCCCCGGCTGACCTGCGGTGCCCGCGTCAGGCCTTGGGCTGGCATTACCTGGGCCTTAATCTCTCCCGCAGGTACGAGAGGCTTTACTCGAACGCTTCTGCCGCACCCAATCCCCCAACTCCACCATCTCCCTGGTGAGCTGCTGGCTTCAGATCCTCGGTTCTCCCGCTGAGAGCAGCCTTCCCGAGAGGAGACAGGCACAGCTAGAAGCCAAGAGAAGACTGGGGCTGTCTTGTAGAATGAGCATGTTTCAGGTTCTAACCAACAATGGAGACAGGAGCCCGGTCAGAGCAGTCAGAGTCAGGCCCCTGGGCTCCTGGAGACTCATTTTGTTTCTGGTTTTTCCATTTGAAAGTCTGCCTCCAGTTACTGTATGAAGGGAAAAGTTAAGATAAGCATGGGAGTCAGCGTGGCTGAGGGCAAAGTCCCTAGGATTTCTGTGGCCCTGGCAGGAGGACAGAGGAGGACGTGATGGGTACAGCCTCATCAAAGGGGAATTGACAATAACAATCGCTCTGCAGTTGGGCCATTCTGCCCCTTCCTAGGCTACGTATGACTCCCACGTCCCAGAGCACCGTGGAGGAAGAAGTGAAGACGCCAGGTGAGAAGCAAGCCTTCCTGGAAGCAGTGTGAGCAGCACGGAGTGAAGCTGAGTGTAGCAAAGGGCTTCCTGGCAAAGAAGACTCCTCTTCATCTAGTTGTCCCAGCCCAAGGGTTGGAAGACAGACTTCTCCAGCATAGACATTTCTGGATGGGGTGAGGTGGAGGCCTCAGAGAGCAGATGGCATAGCACCTTCTATTGCTTTCACAGAAAGCTGGGGGGACTTTTACTATCAACAATCCTTGATTTAGTTCTCTGAAAATTCCTTTTTGCACTGTCCAATTTTTAATTATCCTGAAAAACTCTTGCTTCAGAGGAATTGCCGTTGATGGGCTTAGTATCCAGAGGGGAAGGCAGCCTTGCAAGTTCTTCAGCAGCCCAGAGCTGCAGGGTGAGCCCTTTCATGGGGAAGGCAGAGCTTTGAGGGAACCACGCACACAGGCTGTGTTCCTCCTCCTCCAAAGGAGTCAAGGGAATGTGTCTGAATCCACCAAGGTGGGCCCTGGCCCAGTGCTCTGAGAGCCCCTCTGCCCTCCCAGAGTTCAGCAAGGACAGGCTAATATTTCCACTAGTCACGTTCCTTTCTCTTGCAGGTCACCTGTCCCCACCCCTAAGCTATTCAAGCAAAAATATCGTGAAAACTAGCTAAAGCTGCCTAATGAATAAGCTTGCCTCTTCAGTAAACATAATCAATAGATATTAAAATTCGAAATGATTGCAAGTAAAAACGTCTCAACCAGTTTTTAGTTAACCAACAGCTCATGTTATAGATATATTTGATAAAGATTGTTTTAACTATTCAGGGATTTCTTTTCTGGTTATTTCTTCTCTATAGCTAGGAATAAAGGATGACTTGATGACAGGAACTCTGATCTTCCAAACATTAAAGGTGAAGGATAGACTTTGGTTTGTTTCTTTTCAAAGTTTAGGAAAAGGTGAAGCTAATAGGGTCCTCTTTAACTTTCACAACAATATCAATATAAATGTAATTTTCACAGACGTATGCATGTGTACAAGTCATCGATCTGAGCACATTTCTAAGAACGCATTAACAATTGTAAAGAGGAAGTTACCATGGACTGCCAAGGATTAAAGCCACAAAATGACAAATACATTTAAAAGTGACAGGTTCAGGACTCCTGGGTGGCTCAGTCAGTTGAGCATCTGATTATTGGTTTCAGCTGAGCCAGTCTCCGTTTTGGGCTCTCCGACATCAGGCTACATGCTCAGCTCGGAGTCTGCCTGAGATTCTTTCCTGTTCCCTCTCCCTCCCACTCTGTTCCTCCCTGCACTCGTGCACTCCTGTGTGCTCTCTCTCCCTAAAATAAATAAAAACTTTTAAAAAATTGTAAAAAATAATAAAAGTGGCAGGCTCAAGCTAAGACTAGATATGGAGAAGAAATATTTAAGAAATGCCTTGAGAGGACACCAGGATGTCTAGCTGAACTAACTCATGGAATCCACAAGAGAATGACCAGGCTCTGAAAATTTTTTCAACCAGAGAAATGAAAAAAAATCCTCACGAATGAGTCTTTGTTCATTACAAAATTCATAGCTATTTTTCTAAAATGGAATGGAACACTGTTGAAATGCAAATGGATATGCTGTTGAAAACATTTTTCATATAAACATGGATCTGTGTGAATATTTTCATTGTATATAAACCAGCTAAAATATTTCTCTAAGTGAAATCAACCTTTTTTTTTTTTTTTCAAAGAGAAGATACCAACTCAGCAAGGCAATTGCAACGTTTCTATGACTTGGACCTGTTCCAGCCCCCAAGGGAGGTGGGCAGCCACTGAAACAGCCAAGGCTCTGCTGCTGGTTTCCCTGGCAACAGAGTCCTGTCTCAATCACCCTTGCATTTCATTAATATTTAATCTTAATTTTTTAAACTATAACATTATTTTTGAATAGTTCAAATAACATACGTTCACTTTAAAAGCAGCAGACTCTTTCTGAGTGTGCATCTGTAGAAATCTATGTCCTCATTCACCTCAAATGATGGCCCATACTCAGTGCATGCTCTTCTGCTAAAAACACACTTTAGAATTGACCAATGAAATGACATGAAGCCTTTTGTTCACTTGGTTCTCACATAAAAAAGGATGGAAAAGAAGGTTCTGGAAGTAAATATAAGAAAGTGAGCCTTGGTAGCAATTCCATTTCTACAAAGATGGCTTAAAGAAATAGGTAGAGGGTCGTCTGGGTGGCTCAGTCAGTTGAGTGTCCAACTCTTGATTTTGGCTCAGGTCATGAGATGAAGCCCTATATTGACCTCCGAGCTCAGCAGAGTCTGTTTAAGATTCTCTCCCTCTCCCTCTGCCCCTGCCCCCCTGTGCAAGCTCTCTTTCTAAAATAAATAAAATTCAAAGAAACAAGTACACAAGTGAGCAGATAAATGTACAAAAGATGTGCATTCGAGTGTGTTTAAATGCTCAAAAAAGAGGCACTTGGTAAAACAAATTAGGACATATATACCAAAGGAATGCTATAAGGTCATTAAAAATGGTGATATACAGCTACACCCGATAAGGAAAAACCTTTAGGCTATACAGCTAAGTAAGACAAAAGTGTTCCAGAACAGCACTACACTAGCCAATTCTGGTGCCTACCAAAATTGGATCCATTTGTGTCCATACAAATATGTGTGCATTGAGGAAGAGAGAGATCAAAATATCAACAGTGGGGCGGTATCTCTACTGGATTGTTCATTTTTTATCAATATTATTTAAATTTTTTTTTACAATGAGCATGTATTTTTATATTAGGAAAAAAAGTGACTTTGAAAAAGTTCTTCTGAACATTTTGTGTATTTAAAAATAGAAACCTGACAAGCAAAGTAACACAAACAAAATATCCCCTGGAATTGAGATTGTTGTACAGAATGGTGGACTACCTTAGGAGTTCCTGAGGAAGCTCTGAAGCACCTTTTTGGAATCGTTTTGGGAATCAATTTTGTCTGATCACTGACAATCCCTGAAGTGTGGAGGGGAAAGGGGCTCCTAGTTGAGTGCTGCCACACACATTGCCAACATGTCTACATGCTTTCTTTCCCAATAATGCATTTCTTTTCAGAATCCTATTTCTACTCAGTTTGTCCTTCCATCCCCACATTCTCCCATTTCCTCTCAGTGATCCCACTTCACTGAAAAAGTCTAGAGTCCAAGAAAAGCCACAGCAGACAGCAGAGGGCCTCCGAGTCATCTGTTAAATTCCAGAGGAAGACTTGGGGGACCTGCTGCTGCTTTTCACTCTTCGAGAGACAGGAATTTGGAGAGTCCTGGAGAAAATAAACCACAAGCAAGAAGGGAGATAGGCTGAGGATTAAGATTCTTTTCTCTGCAAAGATGGGTGGCAAAGGGGGCAAGAATTTGTTTTGCTGATTGCTATAGCTTCAGCAACTAAAATATGCTTAACACATAACAGACACTCAGTATTTACTGAATGAACTATACAGACCACACAGAAAGAACACAGACTTCGACTCAGAATCAGAGACTCTGAGAAGCAAACAGGTGGGGGGGGGGGGGGGAGCAGTGAGGAAACACACTTCTGAAGTTTGAATGAAAGATGGAGGCAAATGAAGGCTCCACTCCAAAATGGTTATTTGGAAGAGGGTCTAGTTAAAGTTTTATATGAAAAGAGAAGCATTTAAGTTGAGATCTTTAAGAACAGCATAACCAGTTTGAGATAGCTGAGAACCAATAGCAATGTCTACTTTAGATGGAGGCACCTACAATCACCACAGCCAAGGGTGGTCTTCATAGCAGTCGTGCTACTGAAAACAGCTCAGCTTTCTCTGACACATAGAGAATGTTTAAAAATAACATATAGCTGACATCAAGTTGGGTGAACCAGTGACTCAACTGCAGAAACAGAACTTTAGCAACACCGCTGAAGCCCTCTCCAATCCAATCCCACTGCCTCCCATCCAGAGCTAACTTCTGATCTGAATGTTTTCAACATGCCATTAAAACAATTTTTTTGGCGGGGGGGCACTTCGGTGGCTCAGATGGTTATGGCACCTGCCTTTGGCTCAGGTCATGATCCCAGGGTCATGGGATGGAGCCCCATGTGGGACTCCCTGCTCAGCAAGAAGTCTGCTTCTTCTTCCCCCTCTGCCCCTCTCCTACTCATGCTCTAATAAATAAAATCTTTAAAAAAAATTTTTGTGTGGTGAAACATGAAATTTACCATTTTAACCATTTTTAAGTATACAGTTCAGTAATGATAAATACATATACACTGCTATTCAACCAATCTCCAGAACCCATCTTTCATCAAAACTGAAATTCTGGGGCAGCCCGGGTGGCTCAGCGGTTTAGTGCCACCTTCAGCCCAAGACCTGATGCTGGAGACCGGGGATCGAGTCCCACGTCAGGATCCCTGCATGGAGCCTGCTTCTCCCTCTGCCTGTGTCTCTGCCTCTGTCTCTCATGAATAAAATCTTAAAAAAAAAAAAAAAAAAAAAAAAAAAACCTGAAATTCTGTACCTACTAACTCCCCATTCTCCCTACTCTAATTCCTAGTAACCATCATTCTACTTTCTGAATGTGATGACTTTGTATACCTTATACAAATAGAACCATACGGTATTTGTATGGTTTTATCTCACTTAGCAGAATGTCCTCAGGGCTCATCCGTGTTGTAGCAGGACAGTACTGCCTTCATTTCCAAGGTTGCGTAGTATTCTACTAATGTAAACATACATTCAACTGTCAGTGGACATTTGGTTTGCTTTCCCCATTGGCTATTGTGAATCATGCTGCTATGAATAGGAGTGTACGAATCTCCCTGAGGCTCTGCTTTCAATTCTTTTGGCTAGATACCTAGAGTTGCTAGATCATATAGTAATTCTATTTTTAATTTCTTGGGGATCTGTCATACTGTTTTCCCTAGCGACTGCACAAAGGCTCTGGCTTCCCCACATTTCCCCCACCACGTACTATTTGTTTTTTTGACAGTAGACATCTTAATAGATGTGAGGTGGTATCACAGAGTAGTTTTGATTTGCATTTCCCTAATGACTACTGATGCTTAACATCTTTTCATGTGTTTCTTGGCCATCTGTATATCTTTTTTAGAGAAATGCCTATTTAAATTCTTTGCCCATTTGTGGGGTGCCTGCGTGGCTCAGTTGGTTAAGTATCTGCCTTCAGCTCAGGTCATGATCTCAGGGTCCAGGGACTGAGCCCCACATTGGGCTCCCTGATCAGCAGAGACTCTGCTTCTCCTTCTCCCTTTGCCCCTCCTGACTGCTCGTGCACTCTCTCGCTCTCTTTCAAATAAATAAAATCTTAAAAAAATTGTTTTAAAAGTTTTTACCTTTCATATTTATCTAGAGTTCAATTTTATGATATCTTTATAAATATATTGGTTTTCACTATTAAAAACTCATTATGTTTTTTTTATTATTTTTAAATTTTTTTATTTATTTATGATAGTCACAGAGAGAGAGAGAGAGGCAGACACACAGGCAGAGGGAGAAGCAGGCTCCACGCACCGGGAGCCCGACGTGGGATTCGATCCCGAGTCTCCAGGATCGTGCCCTGGGCCAAAGGCAGGCGCTAAACCGCTGCGCCACCCAGGGATCCCAAAAACTCATTATGTTTAAATGACCAATGAAATCATGGGGAAATGATGCTCGGAGTCTCAAATACCCTGCTAAGTGGTTAGTACTTACTCCTTTGTCTAATCTGTCCTGAACCAGAGGAAGATTCTGATTACCAGTGACCTTCAGAGATGTAAGCAACATTCACATAAATGACCATAACTGAGACCTGAGCTTCTTCAAAGCACTAGCGTATATTTAATGCACAATAAAAACAAAGAGATTTTAAACAAAATTTTAAAATTTCTTTACACTTTAAGCAAATCCTGGCAACAGACATTTCCAAACAGTGAAATAAATTTACTTCCATGGAGCAATGGGGGAAAAAGGTGTTATTCTAAAGTAGAACCCTCTTTATATTCCTAGCAACCTGATGGTTGACTACTAGGATGGGGAGAAGTTATAAATTAGTAAAGACAAAATCTGTCCCCCAGCCAAGAGAACCACCCTTTACTTCTAGTAAAAAAAAAAAAAAGAAAAAATAAGGCCAATAGTTCTTTGATACTTCCTCACTTTATTAAGGTTAACAGGATATTTATACATCTAAACATTTACTCTAGGTATTCAGTGACATTTAAATTCTGAATTACCTTCCCATAATTAAGTTTCTTTAGGCACATTGGTTTGTATTTTATAGAAAACGCTTATCTTTAGGTCACAAACAGGAAAGAGTATAAGTTGCAAATGTTACAAAGATGATACCAAATCTCAGCTAACCTCTTTCCCAAATTGCAACCACTGTATTTAATGAAAACAGAGCCCCCAAATAATTGCTTAAACATTATCACTGTATGATTGTGGTGACTAAGAAATCCCTGAAAAAGCAGTAAGCCATGATTACTGGAAAGCTCAGAACATTAGCAAGGCTAAATTGCAAAGTATTTAACAGAAGGCCACAAATTGTGTTTTCCTAAGAGGAGCTAGGAACTATGGATGTCATTTAGTAATGCATTGGAATGGCATTGCCTAGTGCGAGTGTTGCACAAAAACTCCAGGTCACCTCTTCTTTATCATTATTTTGGATAAGCTTCCACAATCATAGCATGGCCCTGTAAAGGAGGGGGGGGGAAAGAGTTCAATTAGAGCAAGAAAAGGTGAAGAATCTAGCCAGTCCTTAGACAAAACAGAAAAACTGGAAAAGTACAGGCTACAGAATTTGATCCTGGCTCTGTCTTTCAAACACTGTGTGATCTTATGGGTGTATGGGGAAGGGGAGGCTGCTACCGGCATCTAGTGGGTAGAGATCATGCTAAACATCCTACAACACAGGATGCTGGGGTAGCTCAGTTGGTTGAGTGTCAGACTCTTGATTTTGGCTTGGGTCACAATCTCAAGATGGTAAGACAAAACCCTGAGTTGGGCTCCACACTTGGTGGGGAGTCTGCTTCTCTCTCTTTTCCTCTGCCCCTCCTGCTGCTCATACTCACTAAAAATAAGTAAATCTTAAAACAAAAACAAACCATCCTACAACACAGAATACAACCCCCCACCACAAAGAATTACCTGGCCCAAAATGTTAACAGAGCCAAAGCTGAGAACCCTATTATAGATCCAAAATACCGGATTCCTCCTCTAATCTAGTTCTGTTTGTATCATGCATTCGGCTCTTGATAAAACAATGCCAAGTTCAACCTACTTCCTAAGGTATATTATCTCTCTCCATCACCATACTATAAACCTCTAGAACAATGGTGCTGGGTGGTATTCTTCATCCACAAAAGCATCCAGTATCGTGTTCTACTCTGTGCTAGATGAACTATCAAGGAACACACACTCAAAACCACATGACCCTAACCTATGTGGACTCCCCACAGCACTGTGCACTGGTTATCTCCTTCGATTAAGTCTGGCACAGAAAGATAAAAGGGAGGGCTCCAGTCCTAACTATGGTTTTCTGTGGATGAAGTTACATGGACTGAAAAATGCTTTTCATCGTGAAGTCTAAAATGCTGCAACCTACAAATAACCGACCGTTTATTGCTTCAAAGTTTCTGAGGCAAGCCATAAATAAAGGTTTTTAAGTGTAGCCTGTTCAAATTCTCATATACCTTATTTATTCTTTTTTTTTTAAGATTTTATTTATATATCTATGAGAGACAGAGAGAGAGATATACAGACATATGCAGAGAGAGAAGCAGGCTCCACGCAGGGAGCCCAATGTGGGACTCGATCCTGGAACCCCAGGATCATACCCTGAGCTAAAAGCAGACACTCAACCGCTGAGCCACCCAGGCGTCCTTTATTCATCTTGATTAGCAACAGAAAGTTTTTGTAATCTGGAAGAAAACCCTATCTGTTTCCATCAGTGTTGGGGGAGGGGAAGATTATAATCAGCCCTCCTCCTGGATTTTATTCTCAAAGCGAAATGCTGTAACAGGTAGGAAGCTGTGTCTGTCAAGAAATAAATGAATTCTCCAATTAAATAAAGTAAGTTCGTTTTCAAGAAAAATAATTTACTTCTTGGAGAGATTTTATAGATAAGGTTTCATGGTAACTAAATAAATGAGTAAAATTTTATTATTAAAGGAGAAAATATACCAAAATGTTAATAATGATAGTGTCTGCTGAGAGGAATAATAGGTAATTCTAATTATTTTCTATAGATTTTTTGCACTTTTCATAATGAGGATGTATTCCTTTTAAAAATAAAAAACACAGGGGCACCTGGGTGGCTCAGTTGGCTAAGCATTCAATTCTTGATTTCAGCCAGGTCATGATCTCAGGGTCATGAGATTCAAGCTTCACCTCAGGCTCCACACTCAGTGAGGAATCTGCTTAGGATTCTCTCTCCCTCCCCTTCTGCTCTTTACCCCCGCTCTGCCATGTGCTCACTCTCAAATAAATAAGGTAAAATCTTAAAAAAAATAAATGATATAAACATCTTAGGAAGAAAAATACTTAGGTTTAAAAACTATCCTCCTTCCAAAGTACTAACTGAATTAAAGTTGTACCCTCTCCCCCTCAAAATAGGCAGCTTTTTCCCCTAGTTTTCTGTCATCAGAAATATTGCTCTAAAAATGTTTCAAAGTTAACTAAATGAAACATGCTTGAATGAGCTTCTTTTGTTTCCAAGAAAACAACTTTCCAGAAGCGCCTATGAAGCTGCTATGACGTACCTGCCCACCAGCTGCACAGGCAGCCACTAAGCCATACTGGCCTCCCTCCTTCCGTAATCTGTTGGCAGCTGCCATAACCAACCGGCAGCCAGTAGCTCCAAATGGGTGTCCCAGGGACAGCGATCCACCCCAGTTGTTAAACTTCTCCAGAGGAGGTGACCCAACCTGGCTCCCCCAAAAACAAACACAAATATGATGATGAGTTTACTTAAGCATCAGGCTGGGCTCTTACCAACAGGAAGGTAACAGAGACTGAGAGAATGACTAAGACACATCATATATTATTTTACTGTAAAGAAAGAAATTCTAGGTCAATTCTGAAAGCCATGGACCATTTATTTCTCATCTAACACCAGAACTGAATTTCCAAGAACTATTCTTCAACTAAGAAATAAATACATTTAATGAAATATAAAATTCTTTGTAAGGAGCAGGTTTCTCCTTCATATTTTTATTAGCAGTCAACTAAACTCCAAATATTACAGTGCTTTGGAAATTCAAGTATACTTTTAACCACTTACCTTGGTTTTTCTACCCATGTAGTTTTGTGCAAACCAATCAGAATCCATGGCTTTAAAATTAGCCAAAATCTGACCCTGCAAGGGAAAGGACCTTGTTATTAATGTCCCTTGTCATTAAAGTTAAGATTTTAAAAATCATTTTTCAGTGAAATTTTCCTAAGGAACCATTCTTGCTACTTTTGAAGGGCCTCTAGAGATCATCTCAGAGGTCTGTTTTCAAAACCGTACCACTGGATTACCTCCCTTTTTGCCCCTTCCAACAGTGTAGGTCAGTACTTCAAATATAAAGCTCTCCTTGTGTTTTACTCATTCCCTAAGTCACACCTAGATCTCCCACACAAAAACAGACTACATTTTTTATGATTACAGTCCTATGATATAAATCCTTTAAGTAACTTACTGAGAATGCTTCATGAAATTCAAAAGCATCAATATCATTCAGTGTTAATCCTGCTTTTTCCAGAACTTTTGGAGTGGCATATGTTGGTCTAAAAAGAAAAAAAATAAGTAATACGTAAGAATTTTTAACCTAAGAACTCCTTACTCCCCAAGCTGAGTTTTACATAAGGTACTGTAATGCCCTCCACTCATTCTCGGATTCTACTGCACAAATATTAAGTGTGGGGGCTATGACTGTGAACTAAATGAAGACACAGCCTCTGTCGCTATGAAGTTTATATTCTAGAGTAAGGGACACAGTTAATAAACGAACGATGAAAGAGAAGAACAAACAATGTGAAGAACTAGAAAAACACACGATGCAAAGGGCAGAACACAGGGAAGAGCATGATGGCTCTTCAAACCATGGTTTGAAGGACATGATGGAGGGGGTAGAGCCATGAGGGAGGAGGAGACAATTCAAATATTAGAGGGCTTTTATAAAAGGCCATTACAGAGACAATACAGCAATATGAAAAAATGTTTATGACATCCTAATTTAAAAATAATACAAGATTGTATATGCATAAGTAGAAATCTATAGGAAAAAATAAAAAAAAGAACCCAAAGCTTTAAAATGATAAGCCAACATAAAGGATTATTTTTAAGAAGCCAACACACACACACACACACACACACGCCAAAAAAAAATCCAACACACAAAAGAATTATGAACTCAAAACTTAATGTACTTTAAAAAAAATCTTAAATTTTGTTAGTTAACACATAGTGGAATATTGGTTTCTGAAGTCAGTGATTCATCACTTACAACATCCAGAGCTCATCAAAAGTGCCTTCCTTAACCCCCATCATCCATCTAGCCCAACCCCCACCCACCTCCCTCCATCAACCCTCTGTCTGTTCTCTATCAGAACTTAATGTATTTTAAAATCTATATAATAATTGTGGGTAACCAAATAACTTTTGATTATAGCCCAAGGATATACACTGCTACCTACCCAAGTAGAAGTTGATCTTTTGGATCTTGAGACACATATACAAAATCCCTAGGTGAAAAATAAAGGAGTTAGCTTCAGTAATAAAATAAAGAAACCAAGGCAATTTATTTGAACATTTACCTTACCTCAAATACGCCTTGGGCTTATAACCCATGGCCAGAGCTTTTTCCTCTGCCATAATCAGCATTGCAGATGCACCATCGGTCTGAAATGTTAAGCAGAACAATAACGCAATAACGTTAAATTTTTCAGCCTTTCTTGAATTTTCTGTACATTCATTTTCTATGCAGTGTTCCTGAATCTACCAACTAATTATACTTACACAGAGATTTTACAAAACAACCCTTTTTCATTTTATCCATCATTAATTCACAATTCAAACCCACACTGACCCATTTTTTTCAAGGAGTAAGGTAGAAAAACCTGTTTAAAAGTACCACAATTTTCTAAATGGACAAAGAGGATAGGTAACTTTAGAAATATGTATTCATAATAAGCTTAAGCCAAAAGATTTTTGTTTTTAGCACAGAAGGTAAGAAACCTTATGAATTAAAACAATTTCTTATTTATTTCTAGATTTTATGGACTTGTTTCTTTTTTTAAAAGATTTTATTTATTTATTCATGAGAGACACAGAGAAGAAAGGCAGAGACATAGGCAGAGGGAGAAACAGGCTCCCTGTGGGGAGTCCGATGTGGGACTCCATCTCAGGGCCCCGGGATCACACCCTGAGCCAAAGACAAATGCTCAACCGCTGAGCCATCCAGGCACCCTATGGACTGTTTCTGAGCTGCTTCCTGCTTATGGAAGGAAATACAGGCTTTGAGGTGAGATGGAAGAAGAAACAGGTTGGTAGCTGAGAACATCAGAACCATGGTTTTCCCTCCTTGGACACACCCCACATGCTTTTCCTTAACTGACAATCAAGAAGCTCAGAGAAAGAGCTACCATTGGAAAAAAGCCCTTTACCATGACTTCAAAAGAAAGAGCTCAAAAAAAAAAAAATTCAAAAATTCACTACTTGAGAGTTTGGGACATCAAAACAATTTTTACCACATTCTACAGTATTTTTATTTAGTAACCCTGAAGAGACAAAGAAGCTCTGAAGAGACTAAGAAGCTACCACCAACAGAGGGGCCATAAAGCCTGGAAACATAACCTATACACAATAAATAGTTTATGGACATGACATCAATACAATGTGCTATTGTGCAAAGTTGCAATGAATGTGGTGCATTAACACATTCCCCAAAACCCATGTATCTGTTATGTGCTGCCTCTGATGATATGTGTTTCTGACTTTCAGTGAATAAACATACATCTTTAGCATACCCCGGAAGTAATCAGGGGGGTTCAGATCTGGTAGGAGTAGAGCCCAGCCCATATGGCTCTATATCATTCAATTCAGTTTTGGATAAATGATTATTTAACCAGTCCTTCACCACTCAGGTTTAACAGGGTGGTACACCATCCTGTTGGAACGACTCCAGGCACCCTTCCCCTAGCCCAAGAGTGGGCGTTAAGCAGTCACTTAACAAAGTCAAATATGTCAACATATGCCCATGTTTCCAGACTGTGTGCCCAGGTATGGAAGATATATTGTAAAAGAAACATTGACCAATTGGACTATATCTAGAAGACTGCCCCAAAGTAGCAGAAGAAGAGAAACCACCTCTTACGAGCAGAAGCATAATCCATAGGAATGTTTAATTAAGGAGAAGCCAAAAACCCAAAGAAGGATATGAAGCTACATGCAGATGACCAAAACAACCACCACCATAAAATATGAGGGTAGATATATTTATTCCATATGTTTATAGGAAATGCTTATAGAAACTGCTTACAGGAAAATAATTTGAGGGCCAGTAGAAAGCATCATATTTTTTTTTTTTAAGATCTGAGGGGGGATGGAGAGAGAGAGATAAGAGAAAGAGAAAGGACACACACTTGGGGAGGGACACAGGAAGAGAGAATCTCAAGTAGATTCTGGGATGAGCACAGAGTCTGATGCAGGGCTCAATCCCACAACCCTGAGATCAGGATCTGAGCTGAAACCAAGTCAGATGCTTAACCAACTGCATCACCCAGGCACCCTGAAAGCATCATTTTTCTAACAATCAGAGCTAGAAGAGATATCTTGTCACTCTCTCTGCCTAGTTTCTACATCTTATACAACTCAAATTTATATCCTATGCTCCAACCAAGCTTCTCCCCAAAGAAAACCTTGTTCTCATACCTCTTTGCTATTCCTTTTACTTAGAATGTATTTATTACACTTCTTGAATTGGCTTGTACCCTTCCTTCAAGATTTGCTGCTCAAATGCTGCCTCCTCTGAGGAGCCTCCTGGGCTCTTCCGGTCTCATGTCTTCTGTTAGCCTATGCTTACTGCCACCACCGCACCTTCTTGCTGCATTACAATCACTGGCCTTTCTATCTCCAGTGCCTAGCATAGCTAATCAAAGTTTTCTGATTAAATGCCTGAAGAGAAAAGCTTTTTGAATCAGAATGGTGGCTGGATCAAGTGACTCCAAAGGCCTTAAGGCAGAATTCCATTTTTTTAATGATTCCATTTTAATATTTTTATAATAACTATATTTTTATGCTTCTATTCATGATACATAAAAATAGATCTACTTTAGGTTTTTCTGTTGAGACCACAAATGTGAAGGTTACCAGTGAACACATAGAGCACAACATAGTTACCAGGAAAGAAGAATTTGCAGCTGTCACCGTGCCATAGGGCTTGATGAATGCAGGTTTTAGTTTGGCCATTTGCTCCAGAGAAGAAGGACGAATGCCATTATCTTTGGTAACTGTATCTTTTCCTACAAAAAACATGAACTTCTTCAGTCTAAGAAACGATAAGCTTTATATATCTTCTCTAGAGAAACAGGTCCTAAAAGTTATGACAAATGAAATGTAAAATGTTATTACTGAAAGTCTGTTATAGTTCTCAAGACACTATCAAATTTAAAACTGTACTTTTTTAAAAAAGATTTTATTCTTTTTAAGTAATTTCTACGCCCAATGTGAGGCTTGATTGAGAGCCCTGAGATCAAGAGTCGCATGCTCTACCAACTGAGCCAGCTAGGCACACTTAAACTATACTCTTAAGACATCTGGGAAATAATATAAATGATCTAACAAAAGAAGAACACCCTACTTTCTTAAGATATTCATTCATGGGGATCTCTGGGTGGCTCAGCGGTTTAGCGCCTGCCTTCGGCCCAGGACATGATCCTAGGGACCCGGGATCAAGTCCCAGCATTGGGCTCCCTGCATGGAGCCTGCTTCTCCCTCTGCCTATGTCTCTGCCTCTCTCTGTGTGTCACTCATTAAAATAAAATAAATAAATAAATAAAATAAATAAAATAAAATGAAATGAAATCAAATAGAATAAAATAAAATAAAATAAAATAAAATAAAATAAGATATTCATTCACATTTGGCTATTCTATATAGAAATCATATGAAGGAAGAATTTTTAAAATAGGCATATACATAAGAACTAAAATATAGCAGGAAGACCTAAAAGCAGACTCTTACAAAAACTTTTTTGGGACGCCTGGGTGGCTCAGCGGTTAAGCATCTGCCTTCGGCCCAAGGCATGATCCTGGGGTCCTGGGATCAAGTCCCACATTGGGCTCCCTGCATGGAGCCTGCCTCTTCCTCTGCCTATGTCTCTGCCTCTCTCTGTTTCTCATGAATAACTAACTAAAATCTTAAAAGAAAAAAAAACTTTTTTGAAACACTGACCTACTGTTAACATAAATTGAAACTTGACTCCATGTTTAAGAATGACTATTCTGGAAACAGAACCAAAATACTTACTGAAAAATCATTCAGGACTTTTGAAATTTTAGAAGCAATTCAGAACTCTCTAACAAGTGGCACAAAGCATTCTCCTTTACAAAGTTGAGCAAACCATTTTACCTGGTACTTTGAAGGGTACAATATCAGACAGGAGTCCTTCATCCTGTGCCTTCTTGGCAAGGCTGTGCGAGCGCAGTGCGTACTCATCCTGGTCCGCTCGAGAAACAGCAAAGGCAGCGGCTAGCCGGTCTGCAGAGTGGCCCATGGTCTCACTGGTGGAGAACTCAGCCACGGCAGGGAGCTGAGAAAGGAGCCATATAGCATCAGGTATGCTGTCAACAGGTGTTATACCACACCTAGAATTATCTGAGAAAGTCAATCAAGACCAAGATGGAAGAAGCTTTTTGTGAGCAGGGCATCTCCAAGGAGGGCTCACAAATTCAAATTTTCTAACTATAATATTTTTTTATCCCCATCTTGAGCAAATAATTATCCCTTCCCTGTAATTAACAGAATCTACAACTACTAAAGCATAACTGACCCCATGCTGTCTTACCTAAATCTAGATCTTTGCAGTGGGATGCTTTGGAAACAGGTCTTTATATAAGAGTTCACAATCTTACCTCAGGTGACAGGAAATTCAATCTGAATTTTGAGAGTAAAGATAGTCGTTGACCCAGAGTCTTGGCCTTATTGAGATCAAGCATCATTTTCCTCATTTTCCTTGAATGACGAATAGGGACATCAGACATTAACTCTACACCACCTGCCACAACCACATCACACTGCCCAGAAGCGATCAAGCCAACACCTACAGGGTATAGGTGATATGTATATGAACATCTTTTGCAGAAATTAACAGACCACTGATAATTTAAGCTTCTTCATTAAAAAACTATAGGACAGCATTATATAACATCTATAATTAAGCTTTTCATCTTTTTAAAAAAAATTTTAAAAGATTTGTATTTATTTATTCATGAAAGACACAGGGAGAGAGAGAGGCAGAGACACAGGCAGAGAGAGAAGCAGGTTCTATGTAGGGAGCCAAATGCAGGACTTGATCCCGGGACTCCAGGATCATGCCCTGGGCCAAAGGCAGGCGCCAAACCACTGAGCCGCCCAGTCTTCCCCCTCCCCCCTTTTAAAAAATATTTTATTTCTTTATCTGAGAGTGTGCACATGCATGCAAGCAGGATAAGGAGCAGAGAGGGCGTGAGAGAGAGAATCTCCAGCAGACTCCCCACTGAGTGCAGAGCCCAATGTGGGGCTTTATCTCACAACCTGAAGATCATGATCGGAACTGAAACCAAGAGTCAGAAGTTTAAGCGACGGAGCCACCCAGGTGCCCTGGTTTTCATCTTTTCAAAGGGATTAAGATAACTTTTTTGAATGACTAAACTATATTCAATGCACTAAAGGAAAGACCTTGTAGACACCAGCTTCTGGAAATATCCATTGGATCAACTCTCAAACAAATCATATTCTATACCAGAACATTATGCAGATTTTATAAACTCCGAGGTTTAGTTTTCTTTTTTCTTTCTTTCTTTCTTTCTTTCTTTCTTTCTTTCTTTCTTTCTTTCTTTCTTTCCTTTTTTTTTTGTCTACAATGGGAATTTCTACTACAAACTTGAGAAAGTCTGGCTTTTGAAGATGTAAGGCAGCCCCCCTTCGTGTTTATGGCCACTGGCAAGTATTCTGTTGCTCTATCTGGAAGTTGTCACATGCATCATAGAATGGTGAATACCCCTAATCACTGCCTCTGGCATCATTCTCTGCCACTCATGAGGTAGGCTACCTGAGCTGGCCTTCGTGTTATTAAGAGAGCACACAGAATTTCCTAACTTTAAAATCTAGCAGATTATAAATTATTCATGCCTCAAACCCAAAAACACCTTCCTAGAAATAATACTTTTCTAGCTGGTAATCCCTGTTGTGGCCAGCCACATTACTGGTGGAGAAACTACATGAATGGCTATGTCCCGCAGGTACAGAGAGAAAGAAAAAGGTTGAGAAATACTGTCAAAATAAAAAATGTTAAATGTGACCTTATTTTTAAAAAACGAGTCAAATTTAGAGATCTTTGCTAATCCTTTGCTTCTGTTAAGAGTACTTTTTTATGGGGTGTCTGGGTGGTATAGTTAGGTGTCCAACTCTTGGGTTCCAGCTCAGGTTGTGATCTCTTGGTCATGGGATCATCCCGTGTCAGATTCTGCACTCAGCATGGGACCTGCTTGAGACTCTCTCCCTATCCCCCTGGCCCTAACCCTGAGTTAGGCTCTCTCTCTCTCTAAAATAAATAAATAAATCTTCTTTAAAAGTACTGTATGATCATGCAAACAATCAAGTACCTTCCATTTTCAAGTAAACATACCTGTGGTCATGGCTTGGTTGGCAGAGATGCAGGCCATGGTGACAGTGTGAGCAGGAGTCTTATCAGAGAAGCCAGCTCCAAGGGCAGCCTTCAGGAAATACATGAATGAAATGGTCATTTCTAAAAAAAAGTACTACCTGTAAATGATGCTTTGAGCACCAGTTCTCTTTGTGGTAAATCAGAAAACGGTTTGAAGTTAATATTCTATAGAGTAATATACAGAATAAAATTAAACCCATCACAGAAATGGCTTACTCATTTTTCATGTACCATTAATTAACAAACACTGCAAAATTCTTGACAGCCGGTGTCTAGTGTGGTAAACAGGCTACAACACCCTTCTATGTCACCTAACTTCTTAGTCAAGCATTGCTCCAAGCCTTCAAGGATATCAATATATAATTTGATTTTAATTTAAATTTTCAAATACAGTAATAAACTGTTAAATACACTTGGTGTAATGATGAAACATATCATGGAGTAGGATCCCTCACAATCTCTGCTCCTATAGTCGTAAGAAAGGCTTGGTGGCAAAGCACAAGTCATCAAACCAGAAAGTGATTTTTTTTTTTTTTAAGATTTATTTGACAAACAGCGAGTAAGCACAAGGAGGGAGAGCAGCAGAGGGAAGGGGAGAAGCAGGCTCCCTGCAGAGCAGAGAGCCCAATGTGGGACTCGATCCCAGGACCCTAGGATCATGACCTGAGCCGAAGGCAAATGCTTAACTGAGCTACCCAGGAGCCCCTAGAAAGCGATTCCTAAAGAACGACTCATAAGCAAAATTCCCACTCAGGTCTCTGCCCACTCTCTGCTCATTCCTCTCACTGCCAGTTGGTCTTAGTGACCATCCCATATTTCACACAGCACACTGTAGATCCAATGCAAAGTCAAACTGGAAAACTTGCCAGTACGCAGGAGTTCAAGTTGATGAAAGAAACTTTGCAAAACCGCATGAGCCCCAAGTGAGCCTCTGACAAATAAGAGTGAGACCCGCTAAATAACTAGAAAAAGAGAAAACTGTCCAGGATGATGACACAACAGGTGTTTCAAAAGAGAACAACTTGAGGGGTATTGACAAGAACTGAGGCACTCCATTCATCTTGCAAAATGGCCTCTATTATGATGGCACAGTAAGTGTCAAACATGAAATGAAGACATCTATTATTTCATTGTACTATTAATTGAGGCAAATTATGCTGCTAAAAAAAATCAAACAATGCCTGATTCCATTTTTGCATATATAAAAAAATGCACAGATACAATATTTTTATAATATTAATGTTATACTTTAAAAAATAATACTCTCACTGTCCCCACCCCAACCACTACCACCACTATCTACCATGAGATTTGGGTTCCCTTTAAAGGAATTCTTTTTTAGTGGCCTTTTTCTGAAACTAACTGTCCTCAGAATCCAAGATTTCTGGTAATTTGGTAAAGTAAACATGTTTCCAAAGTCTAGATTAAGGAGGCTCCGTGTTTCTTTCTTTTTAAGATGTATTTACTTGAGAGTGAGATAGATAGGGCACAAGCCAGGGGAGAGGCAGGAGGAGGGAGAAGAACCAGACTCCACGCTGAATAGGGAGCCTGACAGGGCTCAATCCCAGGACCCTGGGATGATGACCTGAGCCAAAGACAGACACTTAACCGACCGAGCCACCCAGGCACCCGAGAGTCCATGTTTCTTCACTGACTTTTACTATTATACTTACACTCCCTATATTCCATCATCTATAGAAATAGAAGTGTGTCACAGTAGTATACATGCAACATAACCTTATTCTTATCTTTCCTGGTAGTCTCAATACGAAGTACCCAACGTGCTTTGCTGAACACTATACCCTGGCAATGGCACACCAGCCTATGTAGACCTAATTCAAAAGGAGCAAAACAGCAAATCTCCAAGGGGTGGGGGAGGAGAACACACCAGTGGGGCAAGGGTAAAGGGCGCTCAGGTCGCACGGCCTAATCCTCACAAGGTCCTTTGTAGCATGTGTCACACCCTTGGCCCCAGCTGGCTCTTAGAACTGAAAGAGCTTTAAATAGAAGTGGTTTCTGGTGAATCCTGTCCACATGCTTCTATTTAAAGCTTGAACAGCTCTCAAGTAAGCCTAGGCTCTAGATAAGCATACTAAGGGAAAAGGGGGAAGATGCCTTTTAGTTAAGTAGGAGAGCAAAGAAATAAGCAGAGGCCTTTCAGTAAAGTCAGGCTCATGGGAACTCAGCATCAGAACCTTTAGGATTTCCTATGAACATTATTTTTTTTTCCTATGAACATTATTAATACAGATAACAGGTTCTTAAAAAGTTTTCTAGCTGGAAGTCACATAACTTTTAGGTTACAATACAACTATAAAGAGAGATCCTTGTAACATAGCCCCCAACACTGCCTTTCCTTGAAGCCACTACAAAAATCACCAGGACCACAATGCAACTGGTATTAGTATAGGGCAGGGAGAGGGAAGTTACTGCTGGTCAATTAATAGCTGAGATTTGCCATACAGATATAAAATCTTCAGACAAAATTTAGGGAGAAACATGATGGCTTTACAGATTAGGATAGAAAAGAAGCACGGAGAAAACTGAAACAGTATTTACTTTTCAAGGACTCTTGTAAGAGTTATTTTGTTTCTTTCAGAATATAGAAGTTGAAAATATATTATGAATAGCTTGATGCAGTCATAAAATTGTCATATTCAACACAGTTAGAAATGTGAAAGCCTAAGGAAAAACAAAACAAAAAAAAAATCAGAATGGGGAAAAAAAACCCAAAAATCCTTTGTGTTCTTAATTCTTCCCGGCCTCTCTAACATTATACAGTTGATTCTGTAGGTTTAGGGAATGTCAGACCTTCAGCAATGTTAACATTTACTGGCAGGTAAAACTGGGGGGCAGAACCAATACTTTCAGTGTGCTCATTTTCCCTCCTGACAGTGATGGACATCATTGCCCATACAGCCGTACTGAACACAGTGATATGGCAGGCACAAAACTGCAAACAAACAGAATGCTTAGTGCACTGTGATGTGCTTGGGAGTCAACTTTATCCAAACAATCACAGAAATTGAAACACAACCCAGAAAATGTGTTTGGACTGTTCACTATGAAATCCCTGTAGAGTATGTCGCTGAAGTTTCAAGGTCTTATTATCTCAGTTGCCACCAATAAACACTGCCTGGAGCTATGCCAACTAGGGTAAAAGTAAACTCCTGTGAAATTGTTTTAAAAAACCACACCCTATGTGTCATCTAGTTAATGGAAATAAATGAATAAGAAAGGCTGCTTCCAACAAAAACAATGTTATGAAATAAGTTCTTTGCATGATGTTGAAATTTTAAGTTAATTAGTAGCCACAATAAAATTACCAAAAGTCATTTTTTTTTCCTTTTCAACATTTATATTTAAATTCAATTATTCTACATACTGGTGTCAGAGGTAGAGTTCAGTGATTCATCAGTTGTATATAACACCCAGTGCTCATTATATCACATGCCCTCCTTAATGTCCATCACCCTGTTACCCCAATCTCCCACCCTCTGCCCTCCAGTGACCCTGTTTGCTTCCTATGATTAAGAGTCTTTTATATTTGTCTCCCTCTCTGTTTTCATCCTTTTTAACTCTTCCCCTATGATCCTATTTTGTTTCTTTTTTTTCCTATTTTGTTTCTTAAAATTTATATTTGTGAGATATTGTCTTTCTCTGATTTACTTAATTCACTTAGCATAATAACCTCTACTTCCATCCACATCATTGCAAATAAAGATTTTTTTTTTATGGCTAGTCTGTGTATGTGTGTGTGTGTACATATGTACATACCACATCATTTTTATCCATTCATCTATTGATGGATATCTTGGCTCTTTCCATAGTTTGGCTATCGTGAACACTGCTGCTATAAACACTGGGGTGTAGGCACTCCTTCAGATCACTTAGATATTTTTGGAGTTAATACCCAGTAGTGCAATTGGTGGCTCATAGGGTAACTATTTTCAACTTTTGGAGGAACCTCCATACTGTTTTCCAGAGTGGCTATACCAGTTTGCATTCTCAGCAACTGTGTAAAAGAGCTTCCCTTTTTCTATATCCTCACCAACATCTGTCATTTCCTGACTTCATTTTAGCCATTTTGACTGGTGTGAGGTGGTATCTCGTGGTTTTGATTTGGATTTCCCTGATGTTGAGTGATGTTGAGCATTTTTTCCTGTGTCTGTTGGCCATTTGTTATGTTTTCTTTGGAGAAATGTCTGTTCATGTCTTCTGCCCATTTCCTGATTAGATTATTTGTTCTTTGGATGTTGGATTTAATAAGTTCTTTAAAGATATTTGATACTAGCCCTTTATATGATGTGCCATTTGCAAATATCTTCTCTCATTCTGTAGGCTGTTTTGTCGACTGTATTCTTTGCTGTGCAAAACATTTTTATCTTTTTTTTTTAAAGATTTTATTTATTCATAGAGATGGAGAGAGAGGGGGGGGGGGGGCAGGGACACAGAGGGAGAAGCAGGCTCCATGCACCGGGAGCCCGATGTGGGACTCGATCCCGGGTCTCCAGGATCACGCCCTGGGCCAAAGGCAGGCGCCAAACCGCTGCACCACCCAGGGATCCCCAAAAGATTTTTATCTTGATGAAGTCCCCATAGTTCATTTTTGCCTGTTTCCCTTGTCCTTGGAGACATGTCTAGCAAGAAGTTGCTGCAGCTGAGGTCAAAGAGGTTACTGCCTATGTTCTCCAAAATAAAGGACAGGAACCATATGATCTCAACAGATGCAGAAAAAGTGTTTGGCAAAGTACAGCATCCTCTGGATTTTGATGGATTCCTGTCGCATATTTAGGTCTTCTCTCATCTATTTTGAGTCTATTTTTGTATATGGTGTGAGGAAATGATCCAGTTTCATTCTTCTGCATGTGGCTTTCCAATTTTCCCAACATCATTTGCTGGAGAGACTTTTTTCCATTGGATATTCTTTCCTGCTTTGTCAAAGATTAGTTGACCAGAGTTGAGGGTCCATTTCTAGATTCTCTATTCTGTTCCATTGATCTAATGTCTGTTTTTGCACTGGTACAATACTGTCTTGATGACTACAGCTTTGTAATACAACATGAAGTCCAGAATTGTGATGCCATCAGTTTTGGTTTTCTTTTTCAACATTCCTTTGGCTGTTCTGGTTCCATACAAATTTTAGTATTATTTGTTCTAACTCTGTGAAGTAAGTTGATGGTTATTTTGATAGAAATTGCACTGAACATATAGATTGCTCTAGGTAGCACAGACATTTTAACAATATTTGGTTTTCCAATCTGTGAGCATGGAATGTTTTTCTATTTCTTTGTGTCTTGTTTACTTTCTTTCATGAGTATTCTAGTTTTTTGAGTACTCTAGTTTTCTGAGTACAGATCTTTTTTTTTTTAAGATTTATTTATTTATTTATTTATTTATTTATTTATTTATTTATTTATTTATTTATTTATTTATTTATTTATGATAGACACGGTGGGGGGGCAGACACAGGCAGAGGGAGAAGCAGGCTCCAATGTCGGGAGCCCAATGTGGGACTCGATCCCAGGACTCCAGGATCGCCCCCTGGGCCAAAGGCAGGCTCCAAACCGCTGAGCCACCCAGGCATCCCCTGAGTACAGATGTTTTGACTCTTTCATTAGGTTTATTCCTAGGTATCTTATGGTTGTTGGTGCAATTGTAAACAGGATTGACTCCTTAATTTCTCCTTCTGTCTCATTGTTAGTGTATAGAAATGTAACTGATTTCTGTGCAATGATTTCATATCCTGCCACTTTGCTGAATTCCTATATGAGTTCTAGGAATTTTGGGGTCTGAGTCTTTTGGGTTTTCCAAATAGAGTATCATGTCATCTGCAAAGAATGAGAATTTGACTTCTTTGCTGATTCAGATGTCCTTTATTTTTTTGTTGTCTGATTGGTGAGGCTAGGATTTCTAGCTCTGTTATGCTGAACAGCAGTGGTGATAGTGGACATCCTTGCTGTGTTCCTGACCTTAGCGGAAAAGCTCTGTTTTTCCCTGCTGGGAATGATATTCACTGTGGGCTTTTTGTATATGGTTTTTATGATATTGAGGTATATTCCCTCTATCCCCACATTGTGAAGAATTTTTTTTTTCACTGTGAAGAATTTTAATCAAAAAAGGATGCTGTTCTTTGTCAAACGCTTTTTCTGCATCTACTGAGAGGATATGATTCTTGGCGGTTCTTTTATTAATGTAGTGTATCACACATTGATTTGCAGATGTTGAACCACCCTTGCAGCCAAGGAAGAAGTCCTACTTGGCCGTGGTAAAAAATCCTTTCAATGTACTGTTGGATCCTACTGACTAGTATTTTGGTGAGATTTTGGCATCCATGTTCATGGATATTGGTCTGTAATTCTCCCTTTTACTGGGGTCTTTGTCTGGTTTTGGGATCAAGGCAATGCTGGCCTCATTGAAAAAGTTTGGAAGTTTTCCTTTTATTCCTATTTTTTGAAATGGCTTCAAAAGAAAAGATATTAATTTTTCTTTAACTGTTTGGTAGAATTACCTTGGCAAGCCATCTGACCCTGGACTCTGTTAGAAGGTTTTTGATTACTGCTTTAATTTCCTTGCTAGTTATGGGTCTGTTCAGGTTTCCTATTTCTTCCTGTTTCAGTCTTGGTAGTTTATACATCTCTAGGAATGCATCCATTTCTTCCAAATTACCTAATTTGTTGGCATATAGTTGCTCATAATATGTTCTTATAATTGTATTTCTTCAGTGTTGGCTCTGACCTCTCCTCCTTCATCCATGATTTTATTTATTTGGGTACTTTCTCTTTTCTTTTTGATAAGTCTGGCCAGGGGTTTATCAATCTTACTCTTCGAAAGAACTGGCTCTTAGTTTTGTTGATCTTTTCTACTGTTCTTTTGGTTTCTATTTCACTGATTTCTATTCTTTAATTCTCCTCTTCTACTAGGTTTAGGCTTTATTTGCTGTTCTTTCTCCAGCTCCTTTAGATGTAAGGTTAGGCTGTGTATTTGAGACCTTTCTTTTTTTCTGAGAAAGGCTTGTATTGCTATATACTTACCTCTTAGGACCACCTTTGCTGCATCCCAAAAGTTTTGAACAGTTGTGCTTTCATTTTCATTTGTTTCCATGAGTTTTTTAATTCTTCTTTAATTTCTTCATTGACCCATTCATTTTTTAGTAGGATGCTCTTTAGCCTCCATGTATTTGAGTTCTTTCCAAATTTCCTCTTGTGACTCAGTTCCAGTTTCAGAACATTGTGGTCTGAAAATATGTAGGGAATGATCCCAATTTGTTGGTACCAGTTGAGACCTGATTTGTGACCCAGTATGTGATCTATTCTGGAGTATGTTTCATGTGCACTCGAGAAGAATGTGTATTCTGTTGTTTTAGGATAGAATGTTCTGAATATATATCTGTGAAGTCTATTTGGTCCAATGTGTCATTCAAAGCCCCTTTTCCTTGTCAATCTTCAGCTTAGATGATCTTTTGATTGCAGTGAGTAGGGTGTAAAAGTCTATTACTATTATATTATTACCGATATGTTTTTTTAATTTTGTTATTAATTGGCTTATATAACTGGCTGTACCATGTTAGGGACATAAATATTTACAATTCTTGATCTTCTTATTGGATAGATCCTTTATGATATAGTATCCTTCCTCACCTCTTATTATAGTCTTTGGTTTATTTATTTTTATTTTTTTTAAAGATTTTATTTATTTATTCATGAGAGACACACACACAGAGAGAGAGAGGCAGAGACACAGGCTGAGGGAGAAGCAGGCTCCCTGCAAGGAGCCCGATGTGGGACTCGATCCTGGGTCTCCAGGATCACACCCTGGGCTGCAGGCGGCGCCAAACCGCTGGGCCACCGGGGCTGCCCACAGTCTTTGGTTTAAAATCTAATTTGTCTGATACAAGGATCATCACCCCAGCTTTCTTTTGATGTCCATTAGAATGATAAACGGTTTTCCATCCCCTCACCTTAAATCTGGAGGTGTCTTTGGGTCTAAAATGAGTCTCTTGCAGACAGCATATCGATGGGTCTTACTTTTTTATCCAATCTGATACTATGTCTTTTGACTGGAGCATTTAGCCCATTTACATTCAGAGTAATTATTGAAAATATGAATTTAGTGCCACTGTATTACATGTAAAGTCATTATTTCTGTGTATTGTCTCTGTTCCTTTCTGGTTTATGTTACTTTTGGGCTCTCTCTTCACTTAAAGGATCCCTTTTAATATTTCTTGTAGGGCTGGTTTGATGACAACAAATTCTTTTTAGTTTCTGTTTGTCCTAGAAGCTTTTTATCTCTGCACTAAAAGTCACTTTAGCCATACTTTGCCATAAGTTCTATTATTCTAAGAAACAAATGAACATATATCCCAAAGCCGCTCAAATAATTGACTTGATTTATGGTATAGAATAAATATATACTAGGATAGCATGTCATTCAATTTATGATACTCTTAAATATTAAATAACATTCATTATTCAAATTATAAAGTCACATTTGAAGTCAAATATAGCTTTAATAAATTTTAATAACTTTTAAAGAATAATTCTGTTAATTGAAATTTAAGTTGATTCTCCTATTAATCTCTTTGAACACTATAAAGTTTGTTTTACTCACCTCTCTAGCCACATTGCTAGTTTTCACTTCCTGTATAACTGTGCCAAAGATGATATAATCAACAACATCCTTTGGGACATTGGTCCGGTGCAACAAACCCCTGAGAGTAGAAGTCCAAAGCAAAAAAAAAAAAAAAAACAAAGCATTTCATACATCAAGATAGTGCCATAGATCATCAGATAAAACACTGTACTTCTTTTAAAAGGTTAGCTTCGAATTTAAAAGAGACTGTATCTTTTTTTTTTAAGATATTATTTATTTATTCGAGAGAGAGAGAGAGAGAGAGAGAGAGAGAGAGAGAGAGAGGCAGAGACATAGGCAGAGGGAGAAGCAGACTCCATGCAGGGAGCTCAATGTGGAACTCAATCCCCAGACTCCAGGATCACACCCTGGGCCAAAGCCAGGCGCTAAACCACTGAGCCACCCAGGCGTCCCAAAAAGAGACTATATCTTTTCCTTAATTCAACAAGCATGTGACACCTTATCAAAGAAGAAATGAATGAATAATTTATAAAGTCAACATTTAGGGGCACCTGGGTGGCTCGGTCAGTTTCATGTCTGACTCTTAATTCCAGTTCAGGTCATGACCTCTGGGTTGTGAAATCGAGCCTTATAACCGGCTCTGCACTCACCGTGAAGCCCGCTTGTGATTCTTTCTCTCCTTCTGCCTCTACCCCTACTCAAGCACATGTATGCTCTCTCTCTCAAAATAAAATCTTTTTAAAAATAAATAACATTTGATGTTCAATTGGTAATGAAAAGTTAAATAAGAAGAATCAAAAATAATTTGGACAAAGATAAAACATACATAAACACAGTAATGTTAGTAAGAATCTAAGTTTTAGGGACGCCTGGGTGGCTCAGCGGTTGAGCATCTGCATTAGGCTCAGGGTGCGATCCCAGGATCAGGGATCGAGTCCCGCATCGGGCTCCCAGCATGGAGCCTGCTTCTCCCTCTGCCTATGTCTCTGCCTCTCTCATGAGTAAATAAATAAGATCTTAGGGGGGAAAAAAAAAGGAACCTATTCAAAAGAGGAAAAAAGAGATATAAAATCAAAGAGTGGAGGTAATATCCCAGGTATATTAAATTTAAATTTGGAATATCAATATAAACATATGATTTAAGCTATACACACACACACATGCATACCTGTCTAGCTCTGGCCACGGATAGAGACTAAAAGCAGTAACATTCCAGTCTCCAGTAGGAAAGAAATGAGCCCATCTTGAACTCAGACTTGGTTTCTTTCTTTCTTTTTTAAGATTTTATTTATTTGAGGATGCCTGGGTGGCTCAGCAGTTCAGTGTCTGCCTTCGGCCTAGGGCATGATCTTGGAGTCCTGGGATCAAGTCCCACATCGGGCTCCCTGGATGGAGCCTGCTTCTCTTTGCCTGGGTCTCTGCCTCTCTGTGTCTTCATGAATAAAAAAATGAATAAAATCTTAAAAAAAAAAAAGATTTTATTTATTTGACAGAGAAACCACAAGTCGGCAGAGCAGCAGGCAGAGGGAGAGGGATAAACAGGTTCCCCACTGAGCAGAGAGCCCGAAACAGGACTCAGTCCCAGGACCCTGGGATCATGACCTGAGCCGAAGGCAGATGCTTAACTGAATAAGCCACCCAGGTGCTCCTCAGACTTGGTTTCTAAATGCCATTGCCCATTAAAGGATTCATTCATTCATTCATTAAGATTTTATTTTTAAGTAATCTCTCCACCCAACATGGGTCTTGAACTAATAATCCCAAGATCAGGAGTCCCATCCTCTACCAACTAAGCCAGCCAGGCATCCCAAAAATCAATTTTAAAAAAAAACGACTGAAGCCAGGTCTAAGACAAGGCAAGTACAAAGTGAACCTCACTGCTATTTTTTGTCCCAAAAATAAGACAGCATTCAAAGACTAATGGAATAGATATCAAAACCAGAAACATACATTTGTCAGAACTCCTCAAACTACACACTTAAATCTGTGCATTTTATTATATGCAAATTATACCTCAGGAAATAGAATGTGACTCTTGATCTCTGGGTTCAGATTTTAAACCCCACACTGAGTGTTAGAATTTATTTAAAAAAAAAGAAACAACTCGAAGGAGTACCCACAGATAAAAGGTGTGACCTTCAAAAAGAACAACGATTAAGCTTAGCTGTATGTAACACAATAAATAAAATGGGGCACTTAGCTGGCTCAGTTGGTGGAGCATGCAACTTTTGATCTTGGGGCTATGAGCCCCATATTGGGTGTAGAGATTACAAAAATAAAATCTTAAAAAAAAAAAACAAGAATTCATAAGTCCTCATCACTTAAAAAAATAAATAAAAAGAAAGAAAGAAATTTCATTGCTCTTTCTAGAAAAATACCAGCCAATAAATGTCAGGAGTAACACAATTAGGAAAAAAATCACAAATTTTTAACCTCTAATGTAATAAATGGCCCAGGCAAAAATATCAATGAATGCAAAAGCCACTTAGTGAAAGATTGCTGGGGAACAGGAGATTCACATGGTGCTACTGTATCACTTTACAGATTACTTACTATTGCAAAAGAAAAAAAAAGTACTTTTATAATCAAAAGAACTGGCAATCTGACCACCATGACTGAGTGGTTAGATTTAGCATCATCACACATCCTGTGCCTAATGACATGACAAAATACCATGTGCTTTAAAGCATTCTTACCAAAAAAATGTTTAACCTGAATCTAATCAAGCTTCTAGAACTAATTTCTAGTTTACAGGAAATTCAAAAGTTAAAATATCACCAAGAAGAAACATCCAGAACATGGGACTTCCTATGGGACAGGTGGCCTAGTTTTCAAAAAGTCATTGTCAGGTGGGGGCAGGGAAGAGGGGGGTGGGGGAAGAAAACATTCTAAATTCAAGAGACTAAAGAGACATGTAATGTGAACCTCAACTAGATCCTGATTTGGGGGGGAAAAACTACTGAAAGACATTGTTGGAGACAAATATGGGGGATCTGACTATGAACTGAACATTAGAAGTAACGGGATCATCATTAGCCACTGTAATGACATCCTGGATAGTAGAGAAGATCCTTATTCTTAGGAAATAAACACTGAAATATTTCCGGCTGAAGTTTCAAGAAGTCTGTAACTTACTGGCAAATGCTTCAAACCAATAGATACAACCAATATGGCAAAACGGTTAACAACGATTAAACCTAAATGGAAGGTACTTAAGTGTTCACTGTATTATTCTTTCAATTTTATTTTACATTTGACAGTTTTTAAAACAAAAAGTTGTGGAAAAACTTGCAAAGCATCAGTCTGGGATCATAGAAAGGGCGCCAGCATCAGAAACAGGAAAACAAGCTGGCTTTAGGGAAAAGATAATTTTTAATTTTTTAATTTTTATTTATTTTTTTGAGTAGGCTCCACACTCAATATGGGGCTTGAACTCACAACCGTGAGATCAAAAGTTACATGCTCTATCAACTGAGCCAGCCAGGAGCCCTGATAATTTTTATTTTTGATATGCTGTACTTGAAGTATCTAAGAAAAGAGGTCAAATTCAGAGATTTGGGAGTCTTTCAAATTAAAAAAAAATAATAAAGTAGATGAGATTTTTTTTTTTAAGGAAAAGCATACATCCGTATGCAATGCTATAAGAATTAAAATTTGCCAAATACTTTTAAGAAAGAAAAAGAGAAAGAGACTCAGTTTTTTAAAAAGTAGAGAAGGATCATTCAGAAGAGGGAAGGAAAATCACAAAGGCATAGTATTAAGAAATCAAAGGATCACAGGGTCAAGTACAGCTCACAGGTCAATACTAGAGAATACAAAGAGACCCAGGCCTGGGAAAAGACTCATGCATTTAGGGAACACAAAGCCACCATGAAGAGAAGCTTCCAAAGTACAGTTACTGAAGAGCAGTAGGAATGGAGAAAATTATTATAAGACTAAGGAGATGGACAATAAGAAAAGATAAGTAATTGCTGCTTTCATTCACTCTCAAAGTCTCATAGGAAGAGAAGAAAAAGAACCAGATGGGCAGAAAGGTCAACTGAAAGGTTTTTTCAAACTAGAAAAGACCTGTGGTTGGTTGAAGAGACAGAGGCAAGGCATCAATGAAAAATGAATGAGATAATGCTTTACATGCTATTCCTACCACAGAAACAGCCACGTATTGTATGACTCTCATCAAATTATTCATCCATCTCAATCTCATGCAAAACCCACATATAATTTTACATTCTAACTTGCTTTACATATGAATCTTCAGATCTCATTTTAAACTTTCTACATAAATATTAGCTGTCTAAAATAAGCATCAAATATATATATACATATATATATTATATACCGTGATGAGTTATAACTGGCTAGCTAGCAATAGCACTCTTTAAAGAACATTGTCATGCCAAGATATTGTCAAGGCCACAAAATAAACATTTCTGATACCTATCAGCTACCTGAATTTGTACTGCACATATGGCAAAAATGAAGTATAAATAAATCTTGAAGAGGCCAGTATTTGTTTCTCACCACATAAAAGTAAATATATCCTAGATATGGAAATTCTATTAAACATGTTGTTTCACATGTAAAAACTAAAGAAAGTGCTTTTAATGAAATAAGAACTAAAATAAAACTGCATTTACTGGGGATCCCTGGGTGGCGCAGCGGTTTGGCGCCTGCCTTTGGCCCAGGGCACGATCCTGGAGACCTGGGATCAAATCCCATGTCGGGCTCCCAGTACATGGAGCCTGCTTCTCCCTCTGCCTATGTCTCTGCCTCTCTCTCTTTCTCTCACTGTGACTATCATAAATAAATAAAAAAATTAAAAAAAAAAACTGCATTTACTTACGAAAGTGCTGCTCTAGCCAAATCATGTGGCATCAGGTCCTTATATCTGGGGAAAGAAAATAAACAACTGAAAACAAGCCTAGAGAACTTTAATAAAAAGTGTTTTTGTTCTATTTGAAATACACAGAGATAATATCTAACACATGCTGCTGCAAATGCACTTCACTTTGCTATCTGAGGCAGTCCATCATTTCAAATGAAGCAACAGCATGACTACTATTTGTCATCCTTAACAATCTGGCAAGCCTTAACTTCTACTGAGCTGGCTACGAATCTAACAAAGATGTGTGGCCAGTATCTTATATGACAGTAATTCATGTCAGTACTCAACAGGGCATACGTTACATGCTATTTAAAACTAAACTCTACCTTTTAAGCTCTTTTTACTTATCTTTCAAAATATATTACTTATTTTGTAATGCCCAAAGGAACATGAAGGACATATCAGGACTTTTTAAGAAACTTTTTGAAGTAATTTGAGATTTCCGACAGAACTGGATAGAAGGACAGAGCTCCTGAATACCCTCCACCTGGCTTCCCCTTATGCTCATATCTTATGGAACCAACTAGTCAACACTAAGAAATTAACACTTGGCACAAGACTATTCACTAAACTGCTAACTTTATCTGGATCTCATCAGTTTTTCTACTAATGCCCTCTCACAGGTCTGTTCCAAGACCAAATCCACGCATTTAGTTGTCATGCCTCCTTTGTTTCCTCCAATCTGCGATAGTTTTCAGCCCTTCCTTGTCTTTTGTGACCTTGACACTTGGAAGACTAGGGTCATAGGTTTGGGGGAAGAATACAATGGAGGTAAAGTGACCTTCTCATTGCTTCATATTAGAATGCACACAACAGCAATATGACTTATTACTAGTGCTGTTATATTGATTGCTTGGTTAAAGTAGTGTCTGCCAGTTTTCTCCACTATTTTTCCCTTTCTGTACTCAATTTAAGTATAGAAGTGAGTCACTAGTCCTGCCATCACTCAAAGGGAGGAGGATTAAGCTCCACTTCCTAGTGGAAGGAATAACAACGGATTTGTGGACATATGGTAAAAACATCACAGTAGTTAAATATTTTGGGGGGAGAGAGTTTGAAGCTATGCAGATATCTTATTTCTCAACATTTCTCACTAATTTTAGCATTCATTTGTAGTAACTGCTTGCCCCAATTACTACTGTGGTGTTCTAATGCTGATTTTCCTCATTGCTTCTACATGTATTAGCTGAAATCCTTTAGTAAAGATGATGTGTTCCTTCTCTCATTTATGTATTTATTCAATCATTTATTTATATCAGATTGAACTCATACAAATATTTATTCTTTGGGTTATGATGTAACACTCTATTTTATTGGAAGCTACTTCAGGTTGGCCCCATATCCTTTTACCATGCCCATTTTTTTTAAGCACTTCTTCACTTCCAGCACTACAACACGCTCCAGCCTCACCTTGTATTTTCTCCAGCTCAGTCTAGGTTCTAGGAAACCCTAGTTCCTAATATTGAAGAAAGTATTTAGAAACCAAGACCTGGGGCACCTTGGTGGCTCAGTTGGTTAGGCATCTGCCCTTAGCTCAGGTCATGACCCCAGTATTCTGGGATTGAGTTCCACATGGGGCTCCCTGCTCAGCAGGGAGTGTTTTTCCCTCTACCTCTGTTCCTTCCCCCTACTCCTATGGTCTCTCTCAAAACAAATAAATACAATCTTAAAACAAAACAAAACCCAAGATCTGGATGTAAACTCTTTAGTTTATTTAAATGTTAAAAATAGGGATCCCTGGGTGGCTCAGCGGTTTGGCGCCTGCCTTAGACCCAGGATCGAATCCCATGTCGGGCTCCCGGTGCATGGAGCCTGCTTCTCCCTCTGCCTGTGTCTCTGCCCCTCTCTCTCTCTCTCTCATTCTCTCTCTCTCTCTCTATCATAAATAAATAAAAATTAAAAAAGTATTAATTATAAAAAAATGTTAAAAATAAATTCCCTTTAAGTCAAAGAGTTAACCATTGGATTGAACAAGAAAGTTCTTTCTTCAAGTTCTGAAAATCAAAACCTAAAAATCCAAAAATGTTTTTATTTTCACTCTGAATCACAGAAAAATGATCAGTTTTCCAAATCTTTTATAAGGTAAAATCAGTATCCTCAAATTTAGGAAAGAATATTCTGGAGAAACATTGTATGTCAATTTTAAAATGTCCAAACAATAAATTATTTATCACTTTATAATCTTAATTCTCGGGACACCTGGGTGACTCAGCAGTTGAGCATCTGCCTTCAGCTCAGGGGGTGATCCCGGGATCTGGGGATAGAGTCCCACAATGGCTCCCTGCGAGTAGCCTGCTTCTCTCTCTGCCTATGTCTCTGTCTCTCTCTGCCTCTCTTGAATAAATAAATAAAATCTTAAAAAAAAAAATCTTAATTTTCATGTTCCTACACCCCCTTTACCAAGATGACTAAAAGACTTAGAAATTCCACTGCTGGCATCTATTCCCAGGAGTGCTTCCCAAATGCCCTTCCCCTCTGAGAACCTGGTCTTTCAAACAGCACTCGAGTTAAATGCAACCTTCCTGAAAATTAAGCAGGAAAAGATCTTTTTCCACTAGAAAATCATCAATTATAGAGTAGCTATTTGTCATCTCAATCATAATATCACTTACGTGACTCAATTATTTGTCCTCTTCATAGATTCTTCCCTCTATATTATTTTTTGTCACCTTTGTTCTTTATATAAATATTACCTTAAATTTTTTCTTTCTTCCATATTAACTTTAATTCCTTACATTCTTCGTCAGTTAAGATCCTGAATAGAGGGGCACCTGGGTGGCTCAGCGGTTGAGCATCTGCCTCTGGCTCAGGACATGATCCCAGGTTCGGGATCAAGTTCCACAACAGGCTCCCTATGAGGAGCCTGCTTCTCCCTCTATGTATCTCTCTCTCTCTCTCTCTCTCTCTCTCTCTCTCTCTGTATCTCACGAATAAATAAAATCTTAAAAAAAAAATCCTGAATAGAACTAAAAACTAAAGAACTAAAACACAACCATGAACAACAAAAGGACCAAACTTCACACCAATGTGCTGAATATCTCAAATCAAACTTCATGCAAACATTAATTACCAAAGAAACTGTTTAATTATAAGTAAATGAGGGGAGCCCTGGGTGGCTCAGTGGTTTGGCGCCTGCCTTTGGCCCAGGGTACGATCCTGCAGTCCCGGGATCGAGTCCTATGTCAGGCTCCCTGCATGGAGCCTGCTTCTCCCTCTGCCTGTGTCTCTGCCTCTCTCTCTCTATGTCTATCATGAATAAATAAATAAAACCTTAAAAAAAATAATTATAATGATAAGTAAATGAGATAGTTAAGTGTGTTCACATTTCTTAATAGCTGGTAAAACACTTGGAAACAAACATCCACGTAGTATAACAGCTCTTACAAAAAAAGAAGAAAGCCTAGAACTTTCTACTCTTGATGAAACTTTTCCTATCCTGTTGCTGCTGAGTACAAGGAGGATCCCCTGTCCTCACCTTCTTGCCACTAAAGCTTCAGATTTTTACTCTTACTGCTTTTATCAGTACACAAAAGATTATACACAGAAAATGGGTTACTATACTAAGAGGGTGAATGAAGAAACTTTACCACCACTTAGAGTATTACTTCTGTAAGAAAATACTCTCTAGATTCTAAACCATGTTTAAAAGAGAAGGTTTACCGTTCGTGTGTGTACATGTATATGTACGTATGTATCGTCCACAAACAATGGCATTATATACTGCTCTGTACCTTGCTCTTTACACTTAACTTACTTTTAGGATCTTTCTATATTAGTACATAATGATAGGCCCTACTATTTTTAGCAGATGCCTAACATTCCCCAATGCATTTTTAAGTTAGTGACTGCTCGTTCAAAATATGGATATCAAAACAATCTACACAGACTAGAACTAATGTTTCATTTAGTTTGAAACTAGTTACCAAAGTCCATTATCAGCTTTTGGACAGACTGGGCCTCACTTGGGGAGAGAAAAGGAGAAGTAAAGTCTACAGAGAAGAGCAGTTTGGTTCTGGGAATTTTTTGTACTCATCAAGGATCATTCTGGTTCCATTTAGTTGGGGCTGTGTTATGCTGGGATTTGAACCAGACTGTCAAGTGCAATTCTGATCATTTCCAGGAAGCCAAAGCAGTGAATTAAATGCCCTTATAAATACCTGTGGATCCATAGCCTCAGTATTCAAACTTGTGAAGAAGCACAGAAACAATGTACTTATCTCCACACAAGGAAAGTATACCCCGGTTGCAACCAAGGTATCTGGACCCACACTAGGTTTTCAAAATAGGATTGGTTCAATTTAAAACTACACTAGGCCTGTTCATGATAAAGGATAAAAAACAAATTTTGCCATATTATTTTACTACTGGCTTGATTTATTCTGTATTAACTTCATAAAAATGCTATCCATATGTTAGTCCACTAACAATACTATTACCTACTAGGTTACATTTACAATGACCAGTTTTGAAAATATCTTAAAAGAAGAAATAAAAAGTATATGGGATGATGAATGTGTTAATCCAACTGTAGTAATTATTTCACAATGTATACATATACGTACAACTTCTATTTGCCAATCATACCTGAATAAAGCTAGGAAAAAGAAGAAAAGAATACAATCATTTCATACTTACGAAGTGCCTGACTGCAAAAACGGAATGCGAACACCATCCACTACCACAATATTCCTTATGTTGGGTTTGGCTAAGGTTTTCTTTGATTTGGTCTGTGCAGCTTTAAGATAAAGTTCAAAGAACTGTTAATTCAAATATATGAAGTCAGATGACTTTCTACATTTTAACCTATTCAACACCAGGTTGCATTTGCCGTTTACCAAATCACTTCAATAAACAAAATGCTAAAAAATGGACTAAGCGTTTACAAGTTTCCATATGATATTTAAGGTAAATATAGAGATTATACCTAATGATGAGGGTATTCATGCCATTAAGAAAATGGTTTCTTTTTCTCAAATGTTTGACAATCTATCACACTGAAAACAACCAATGTGATACATGTCTGTCCCTAACAGATGAAGTCCCAGGGTGCTGACTGATCTCTGGGTTGTAAATTCAAGGCCCACATTGGGTATAGAGATTACTTAAAAAAAAATAAAAATCCTAAAAAAAATAAATAAAGAAATCCCAATAACTGACATCTACTCTTCACAAAACTTAGTACTCTTGCTTTTTTATGTAGAAACTAAGGCCATTTGGTGATTATTGCCATCCTACGAAAACCTAGAATGCTTCCTGATTCTGTTTGACTTAATTTGTCTACTTTCTAACATCAAAAGAACAACCTTTGTGCCATAATAGGACTGGCACAAAAATAGACTCAGATCAATGGAACATAATAGAGAGCCCAGAAATAAACCCACACTTATATGCTCAATTTATCTATGACAGAAGAAGCAAGAATACCCAATGGGGAAAAAACAGTCTTCATCAAATTTTGCTAAGAAAACTAGACACTTACATGTAAAAGAATGAAACTGGATCACTTTCTTACAGCACACACAAAAATAAAATCAAAATGGGTTAAAGACCTAAATGTGAGACCTGAAACCATGAAGCTCCTCGAAGAGAGCACAGGCGATAATTTCTCTGACATTGGCTATACCAGCATCTTTCTAGATATGTCTCCTGAGGTAATGGAAACAAAACCAAAAATAAACTAATGGGACTATATAAAAATAAAAAGGGTTTACACAGCTAAGGAAACCATCAGCAAAAGACAAGGCAGGGGCCCCTGGTTGGCTCAGTGTCTGACTCTTGGTCATGAGGGTCTTGATCTCAGAGCTGTGAGATCAAGCCCATTGTTAGGCTCCAGGCTCAGTGGGGAATATGCTTGAGATTCTCTTTCCCTCTCCCTTCATTCCTCCCCACAACTTGCACACACGTTCTCTCTCTCTCTCTCTCTCAAAAAAAAAAAAAAAAAAAAAAGCAAAATCTGTAAAGAACTTCTACAACTTAACACCAAAAAAATCTAAATCTGAATAAAAATGGGGAGAGAACTTGAATAGACATTTTTCCAAAAAAGATATACAAACAGCAACAGACACATGAAAAGATGCATAACACCACTAATCAACAGGCAAATGCAAATCAAAACTACACCAGTCAGAATGGCTAAAATAAAGGTAAGATATAACAAGTGTTGACCAGGACATGGAAAAAAAGGAACCTTCATGTACTGTTGATGGAAATGCAAATTGGTGCAGCCACTTAGAAGACAATATGAAAGTTCTTCAAAAAATTAAAAATAGAAATACCATATGATTTAGTAATTCCACTACTGGATATTTACCCAAAGCATATGAAAACACTAATTTAAATTGATATATGCACCTCTGTGTTTACTGCATTACTTACAAGCCCATAAACAAATGAATAGAGGTGTATACACACACACACACACACACACACACACACACACACACACACAATGGAGTTTAAAAAAAAAAAAAAAGAATGGGGCACATAGGTGCCTCAATCAGTTAAGCATCCGTCTTCAGCCCAGGTCACGATCCAGGGTCCTGGGATCCAGTCCTACATCAGGCTCCCTGCTCCTTGGGGAGTCTGCTTCTCCCTTTCCCTCTGCCTGCCACTATCTGTGTTTGTGCTCACTCTGTCAAATAAATAAAATCTTAAAAACAAACAAAAAAGAATGAGATCTTGGCATCTGCAACAACATGGATGAACTTAGAGTACATAATGCTAAGTGAAATAAGTCAGAGAAAGATAAAAACGTGACTTCACTCATGTGAAATTTAAGAAACAAAACAAATGAACAAAGAAAAGAAGAGACAAACAAAAAGAAGCCAGACTCTTAAATACAGAGAACATACTGGTGGTTGCCAAAGGAGGGGTAGGTAGGGCGGGGAATGGGTGAAATAGGTGAAGGGGATTAAATGTGCACTTATCATGATGAGCACTCAGTAATGTATAGAACTGTTGAATCATTACATTGTACACCTAAAACTAATATAACATTGTGTGTTAATTATACTTCAATAAAAAAAGAGCAATCTTGGGACACCTGGGTGGCTCAGTGGTTGAGCATCTGCCTTGGCTCAGGGCATGATCACAGGTGGGATCAAATCGCTATGCTTCGCCCTCTGCCTATGTCTCTGCCTCTCTCTCTCTGGGTCTCTCATGATTTAAAAAATAATAAATAATAATAAAATAAAAAATTAGAGAAAGATTGCTTTTTTAAAAAAAGATTTTATTTATTTATTCATGAGAGATCGAGAGAGAGAGAGAGAGAGAGAGAGAGAGAGAGAGGCAGAGACATAGGCAGAGGGTGAAGTAGGCTTCCTGCAAGGAGTCCGACATGGGACTTGATCCCAGGACTCCAGGATCATGCCCTGGGCCAAAGGCAGGCGCTAAACTGCTGAGCCACCCAGCAATCCCTCTAATTTTTTAAATTAAAAAATAAAACATGAATATATGGCTATGACAATAAAAAAAAAATCTAAAACATGGAGAGTAAAACCTTAAATTTCCTCATGATGGCCTCTCCTGCCATATTATTTCCTTTGGGTTAGATACTGTTAATTTGGTGTATATACCTTCAAACTTTTTTTCTTTTAATGCACATATGTGCATATCCTTATGTGTTATGTATACTTTTTTGACCTAACCACACCTTTATGATATTAGATCATAAAGAACTATTTATTATAAACATCCACAATCAACTTGAAGGAAATAATAGTCAAAGGTAGGAGACATATATAATAGGACACAAAGATTTCCCTGGCAGCTGTAACAGAGATGTGCTGGTGAAGGACATAAAAGTACAGGGAGATAAGCAAGGGGACTTTTAGCATGTGGTGCTAAAAGCCAGGATAAAGGCAGCATCAATGTGTGAATAGACAGGAAGGGACCAATACAAGGGATTTTAAAAAGGAAGACTAGGTATCCTGGTGACCAATTAGATATGGAAAGAAAGGAAAACAGTATTATAACAGAAGCTTAGAGATTAAGAAAACCCAGCCATTCTACAAAGAGTAAGAACTAGTTTGGGAAGAAAGATGATTCCACTTTTAAACATCCTAACTTTGAAGCGATGGAGAGATACTCAGGAGGGTATGTCCATTAGACAGGTAAAGCTCTGAAGAGAAGTAGAATACGGACAGGAGAGCCAGGAAATATTTGCGGTTTAGAATAAAGAAGAAAAACAGAGTTTATAGTGCCTGCTCATCCTTTACCCCTTTAGAGGGAGCTGCCCTGCTTGGAGTCCTTGAAAAAGAGGCAGTCACAGATACCGTGTCCCCTAAACTCACAGTCAAAGCTGATTAGACTCCAAGTGGATACTAGACCACCAAAAGTCAATACATAGAGTGGTCAACCAGTGACCCACGTCACCTACATATTAGTGATAAGCTATGCTAGTCAGATTCTCTTAGCAATCTATGCAAAGAAGCATGAAGAGAAACACTAATTAGTTGAAGCTGAAAGGATATCATGAGGAAAAACCAGGGTACTGGCAAACTGAGGTCACCTATAAGCCATTTATAGGGCAGCAAAAACCTTGAGTGAGCAAAGAAGCCAGAAGGAAGAGTGAAGAAGGATATAAAGCAGGAAAGCAACATACCATCTGGCCAGGAGAAAGACAAAAGCAGCTGCCCCCTAGAGCTGTCTGGTTCCTAACGCCTCCTCCAGCTGTAGTACACTCAAGGCCTCTTATTCTTCACTTGAGTGAGTCCATTACTCACAACTAAAGACACCTGGCTTTGTGATCTTCCTCCATTCAGAGTGCAGACAGATGTGGGACAGAAAGTAAACTTGAGAGGCAGCAGGGGAATCAGGAGAATAGTGCATGACAGCAAAAGTCAGAGAGTATCAAAGGAGCACAAGATGGTCAAATGTTTCAATACTCAAGGAGAATGAGGACTGGAAAAAGGCCACTGAATTAGAAGATTTGCAGATTACTTGTGACTGACCTTGGAGAGAATAAAGCAGTAAAGGGAAGTCAGATGACATGCCATCATGTCATTCCAAGTACCTCATGTTCCTTTTATACACTTACAAATAAAATTCAAATTCCTGACTCTACTAATGAGTTCCCTGCTTTACTAGTTCCATCTTAACTATCCCAAAGAAATCCCCCCCTCCTCAACATGTAAAAAAGATGAGAAAGCCCCCAGTCCCTCACATTGCTCATTTGCTCATTTCAATCTCTCTGCTTTATACATGTACCCTCCCATATGAGTGGCCTCTTCATCAGACACTTTTCCAGTCCATCCAAAGACTGAAAACATCAATAAATTCAGTATTCCTCTATTCTAAATCCTTCATCCCCAGAGTTTTGTCAAGCAGGGACATTTCACATGAGCTTCAAGAGGATTATGTTATAAAATTACTGCAACATAAAACCTGTTCAGCATATGCCTACTCCCTCCCCACAAATCAGTTGGTCACATTCCTTTGTCTTATCATGTGCCTTCTGGCACACGATCTTCATTAGTGCTAAAAACAAATCACTGTTAGACACCAGGGATATAAAAAGGCTCCAGTCTCACAAGGACTGGCAATTTAGTTGAGGTGATAGAAACACAAAAACAGTTAAAGAATGGTATAAAAATACTTCAAATGCTCTCCCTCTGTTGGTATTCATTTTGACCTTCTCCCAGTTGTCAAGAATCACATCCATTTGTGTGACTGCAACGCAAAGGCATGGGGGGCAAACACTTGAATTGGGAAAAGGTAAATGAGACAGTAAGGAATTATTCTTCACGAGACTAAGACAAATCCATATGCTAGCTAGAATTTAGAGGCCAGAAAAATCTATCTTACATGACAACATGAAACTTTGCTAGGTGGGATGAGGCAATAGATTTCTGACCATATACTGTATATAAAATATAGAAATATCATCTTATATTGAGTTTATTTTTCAAAGTGCTTTGAGATATCTTCCTATTTGAGGCTAACAAGACTAGAATTATTATTCTTTTTTAGACAAAGAAATTAAAGCACAGGGAATTAAAGTGACAGTTGAAGGCCACAGTGCCCAGAAAGAGACAGAATTGCAACAGAGGTCTTCTGAAACCTGGTAAAGGGCTTTTCTATCAAGCTACTATCCAAGTAGAAATACCATAATAAATCCAAAATCGTAAGTCATAGGTCAAAAGAGGACTCAGGCAAAGAGAATGATGGCATGAACATGTCAAAGTGTTTTCAGCTCTGGCCAGTGAAGATACGTACCCATAGCAGGTTTATATACTTACAATGGGGATACCACCTACAAGATACATATCTACACTGCATTTGTCAAGGGTCAATACGATCGTATAAAATCAACACACTTCCCTACTTTTTCATTTCATATTGACTAAACAACATTTTTTAATTAACTAGTTCCCCAGTCACCCACATTTCAGGAGTGGGTTCTCTTGTAGATGTCATTAACAGAGAAGCCTATCACTAATTGTAAATTTAAAAATTTAACTTTGCCTCAAGAATGTCTGTATGGTAATTATCTCCAGGACTAACAGATGAATAAGCTGATTGGCAAGGTTCATGAAACTGCCATGAATCCAGCAGCAGCCTCCTGTCAACCCTGCACCGTGCAACATCATTACTAGTAAGCCCTATATTGTTTTAGTTTGAAGGCAATTGTGATGTTCCTGTTGCTCATAACAAAGGGAGAATCTGCAAATTAGTCTTGTTTTTTATTCAGAATTCACAGTTCTAGAATCTAACATTTAAGCCAGAAATGTTAGTTTTATAAATTATTGTACCTGGGGCAGCTCGTAGCTGGGAGGAACAGCTCAGAGGTCTTACAGCTAGAAGATAAAACAAATTGTTTACAAAAGGCAGTACAACTCAATGCCTGTGTAAGAAGCTTATAAATGCAAGTCTCAGCTTCAAAAAGAAAGAAGAAATTAAACTTACAAAATCGGAGGGCCCATTTTGATGCATTAGGAAGATTTTTAAATGTGTAAGTCAAGATGGAAGTCATTCTGAAATCTGAAAAGAGAACAAAAACATATCCTGGGTTATTTGAACAATTTGTCGCTTATAGTCCATGATTTCTGGTAATCTTATCCATGATGTCTATAAAGTACTATAAAATTTAAGGTATTACCAACTATCCTTCCTCTAATGATATTCTTATAGCTACATTGACATGGCTTTCATAACGTGCAACCACTATTTTAAACATTATTATTACACTCTTTGTAAGAGATGAGAAAACTGAGGCATACAGATTTGCCCAAAGATCCACAGCCAGTAAGAGGCAGAGCTGGGATGGGAAGCCAAGCAGTCCAGCTCCAAATTTATGTTCTTCTCTACAGCCAAAGGAGTAGAGAGGTTGCTGGACATGACCACGAAGCCACCAATGTTAATTTGCAGACTTTGAAGGCTGTACTGTGATTAAGAAGAATGCCTTGTGCAGTGTTCACAGGTGAGGGAAGGTACATTCAAGTGTTCAGAGGTGGTATAGCGTCATGTTAGCAGCTTATTTCCAAATGCTATTAGAAAAAAAATTTATGTATTGCACTTGCTCCTTTTTTTTTTGTACTTGCTACTTAATAGGCTTGCTTTCGTTTCAAAATAATAAAAAAAATATCAAAACCCTACATATTAAAAATATTTAAAATATACTAATTGTTCCTCTAAATTCTTAAAAAATTAATTCCTACAAATCAGCAAGGAAAAAAATGGGCAAAGAACATAAACATACTGTTCATAGAAACAGAAATAATGGATGGCTTTTAGGTATGTGAAAAGAAGTGCAATTTCATTCTCAAAAGAAATGCAAATTGAAACCACACAGAGATACAATATTTGACCTGGGCAAATGGAAAGTTTGATATACTCTGTATATTAAGAGTATGTACAAACAGGCACCCTCTATAACGCTGCTGAGAGGCCAAGCTGGGGCAATCCCTAGAGGGGGCAATTGGGCAATTAACTGTCAAAACTACAACTACATCAAACTTTTTATACATTTCCACTTCTAGGATGTTACTAACACACATGGGACATAACTCACGTCACCACTGTTTGTAATAGCAAAATATCAAAAGAACCAAAAATAGCGAACTGGTTAAGTAAAGCACACTACAACCACTCCATGAAATATTATGCAGCTATGAAAGATAAGGAAATGGTTATGTACCAATATGGAATCAATGTCAACCTGTATTAAGTGAAAAAAGCAAGATGTAAAATAGTGTACAGCTACTATCATTCATGTCAAAAAAAGAAAAAAATAATACATATATTTCCTTGTATCTGTATAAAATATCCCTGAAAGTAGAAATAAGACATAAAAAAGGAAGGAAGGAAACTAAGCAACTAGAGGACAGGGTGTAAGGAAGACTTGTCACTGTCCCGTTTTTTATAATTTCTGAATTTTGAAACACATTTTAACTTAAAAAAAAAAAAAAGCTGATGAGATTTACTTATGAAGGCTGTGGTACCCAGCCTCCACAACGGTTGCCAATAATCTCCACCTTTTGGTATTCATATCCTTGTATAGTCGCCCCACACACACTGTACCACAGTTGGTTCATGTCAGAAGTGATGTATGTCACTTCTGAGATTAAGCTATAAGGAATACTGCAGTTTTGCTCTTGTTCTTCCTCTCCAATCACTCACTCTGGCAGAAGCCAATTGGCACATCTTGAACCCTATGAAGAGATTCATGTGGTGAGGAACTACCCTCTCCTGCCAACAGTCATGTGAACTTGAAGTGGATCCTCAAGTACAGGTAAGCTCTCAAATGATGACTGCCCTGGCCAATATTCTGACTGCACCCTTGTGAGATATTAAGTCAGAACAATCCAGCTAAGTTACCCCCAGAAGCTGCATAATAAATTTTTATTGTTTTAATCTGCTAAATTTTGGGGTAATGTCACACAAATATGATAGATGATATAAAAGCCTTGTTTAATTTCTCTTGGGTCATAGGATGTCCTATGACTTCAAAGAAGAAAAAAAAAATCACATTTTTCCAAATATGTGGATTGAAAAGAGATGAAGGAGTCCCAACTCTAGGCTCACTACTAGCCTAGGGATATTCAAAAGACTCTAGACTCTAGCCAGGAAGACACAAACTGACCCAAGAGATGAGCAACACTGTTTCCAGAAGCTACATATGACACCACATGAGTCTTGGATCCAAATTCCCTTAAGTAGGGGCCCCTGGGTGGCTCCTTTAGTTAAGGCTACAACTCTTGGTTTCAGCTCAGATCATGATCTTGGGGTCCTGGGATTGAGTCCCACATTAGGCTCTGTGTTCAGCAGTGAGTCTGCTAGAGATTCTCTCTCCCTCTCCCTCTGTCCCTCCCCTCACTCTCTCTAAAAAATAAATCTTAAAAAAAAAAAAATCCCCTAAGTAAAGTTCACCTTAAAATAAACATCATGAAAATAGTCAAAATTTCGATAAAGAAAAAGAGGTGGGTGTGAGGGACCTTGCTTCAATAGATACCCAAGCTTTCTATAAAAACAGTAGGAATTGGGATGCCTGGGTGGCTCAGCGGTTAAGCGTCTACCTTTGGCTCAGGGCATGATCCTGGAGTCCCAGGATCTAGTCCCACATCAGGCTCCCTGCATGGAGCCTGCTTCTCCCTCTGCCTATGTCTCTACCTCTCTCTCTCTCTCTCATGAATAAAAAAAAAAAAAACAGTAGGAATTAAGCAGTGCAATTCTGGCATAGGAATAAATTAGCGAACAGAACAGGATGTAGCAAGTTCTGAAGCATACTTAAGTGCAAGAAAATTAAGTATGTAACATGGATAAACTTCAGGGGTGCCTAAGTGACTCAACCCTTGAGCATCCAATCTCAATGTCAGCTCAGGTCTCATGGTGGTGAGATCAAGCTCTGTGTCAGGCTCCACCCTGGGTGTGGAGCCTACTTAAGATTCTCTCTCCTGGGGTGCCTAGGTGGTACAGTCTATCAAGCATCTGACTCCTGGTTTCAGCTTCAGTCGTGATCTCAAGGGTTCTGAGATGGAGCCATATAGGCTCCATCCTCAGCATGGAGTCTGCTTGGGACTCTCCCTCTGCTCGTGCTTTCCTTATCTCTCTAAAATAAATACATCTTAAAAAAAAAAATTCTCCAAAAAAAGACAACATTTCAAATAAGTGGGGAAAAGATGAATTATTCTATGAATTTGTTGGTGAAATGGCTAATCATCTGGAAAAAACTTTAGGTCCATAACTCACACATGTTTGTACATTCTCAAAATAAATGCAATGTTTCAATTTCATATATGATTAATGTAATTATACATATATATTTTAACTATAAAAGCACTAGAAAAAGGTATCAGAATATTTTCATATTCTTATATGGGGAAAGGTTTCCAACATATGGCACAAAATCCAGAGGTCATAAAGGAAAAGAGTAACTAGTGGATCTAATTAGATAAACACACAAAATATCTACACAGCAAAAGATATTAAAATAAAGTTACAAGGCAAACAACAGATTCAGAGAATATTTGTAAAACATAAAACAAAGGGTTACTATCCATAACCCATAAAGAACTGTTACAAATAAAAGAGAAACGATCTATAGTGGAATCTGGTTTTCACCCAAATATCCATTTCATTTCATTATGAAGTTGCCATAAATAGTTTACATGGCATTGAATCCAGCCCAACTCTTGGGTTTAAACCATTCAGAATAATTTCATTACTTTGCCAAGATCATTCAGGTAATCAAGACCTAAAACAATTGTGCATGGTACCAACTTGTTTTAGGGATAATAATCTAGTCACTCTGACATTCCAGTTTTCTGCTTGGAATTCTGTAACACAAATCTTTCCTTCTGAGGCTTGGAGCAGCTACCGAAGTTTGCAAACAGGAAAAATGCTAGTCTAAGCATAGAACTGATCTCAAAAGAGGACAGAGCCAAGAATTTCAGAAAAGGAAACTAGAGCTGTAATTGAATCATATCTGAAACCCACCCTCCCTTTGTGCTTTACAGTTGTTAGACAATACATCCCCTTTAATAAGCCAATTTCAGTTGAATTTTGTTATCTGTGACTAAAGTCTCCTTACTGATACATGATTAGAAAGAAAAATGTCAAACAAAATTTTAAATGTTCAACCTCACTAACAACAGAAACATTTTAAAAATTAAAACAAGGTATCATTGTGGGGTTGTAAAATAGGCAAAAATTAAAAACATGGTTAATACAGAATTCTAGGAAAAAAGGATTTAGGCACTTCCATATACAGTTGATAAAAGTACAAGGTGGAAGGCAATTTTTAGTTATCTAACAAAATTTAAATTTTGAGCTTCTGATCCCAATAATTCCTCTAATTGGTCTTTAACCTGTAGAAGTACCCAAGATGTGTATGTAGCATACATAGATCTCTGGCCTATAGAAATATTTAAGATGTTCACTGTAGCACTGTTTACATTAGTGAAACTCTGGAACTAATCTAAATGCACATGAGGAAATGGCTAAATAAATTATACTACAAACATATCATGAAGCACTACAGTAGTTTAGAATGAAAAATAAAACGTAATATACGTGTATATACTAACACAGAAAAACATCCACAATATATATTTAAGGAAAACGTAAACTGCAGAACAATATGTATAGTAAGACACAAGTCTATGGAAGAATAAAGAGGAGCTTTCATTTTATATTCTATCTTCTCAAATTTTGTTACAATGAGCATTTTCTTTTTTCTTTTTTAATGAACTAGATTTTTTAAATTTATTTATTCATGATAGACATAGAGAGAGAGGCAGGAGACACAGGCAGAGGTAGAAGCAGGCTCCATGCAGGGAGCCAGACGCGGGACTTGATCCCAGGACTCCAGGATCGCACCCTGGGCCAAAGGCAGGTGCTAAACCACCAAGCCACCCAGGAATCCCCACAATGAGCATTTTCATTTTTATGTACAGTATAATTCTAGTTGTACTTAAATCTACATATATTCTTATATAAATATATAAAATATGCAAATGCATTAAAAATGTCCAAAAAATACACAAAGTGTGTTTTTTGTTTTTGTTTTAAAGCAAAATGCTAATAGTATTCATCTCTGGGTGGTAGACTTATAGGTATATTTATTTTCTCTGTAGTTTCTGAAAAATTGTATTAAGTCAATAATTAATTAAAAATAATTATTGGTCTCTTCAAAAGAGAGACCAAGCAAACTACTCTATGGGAGGACTGACCTTTATTGTCATTTGCTCTAAGCTTTAGGAAATAGATATATTTACTCAAGGATTTGGGAAGCCTGGAAACTCAAGCAGAGCACGCTGGAGTAGGGTGTGTGGAACTATGGAAGGTTGCATGAAGTTGCTAGCATCTGAATGAAAGGAAAAGGAAGAAGGTGCTAGCCAAGTAATGAAAACAAAATGGATGGGCAGCCCAAGTGGCTCAGCGGTTTAGTGCCTGCCTTCAGCCCAGGGTGTGATCAGGGAGACCTGGGATTGAGTCCCACCTTAGGCTCCCTGCCTGGAGCCTGCTTCTCCCTCTGCCTGTGTGTCTCTGCCTCTCTCTAAGTCTCTCTCATGAATTAATAAATAAATCTTAAAAGAAAACAAAATGGAGGAGTTTAACAGCTCACTGTTACACTATCATTAAGACACAATGTAAAGGGGATCCCTGGGTGGCTCACCGGTTTGAGCGGTTTGGTGCCTGCCTTTTGCCCAGGGCGCGATCCTGGAGTCCGGGGATCGAGTCTCCCTCCTCCTGTGTCTCTGCCTCTCTCTCTCTCTCTCTCTCTCTCTCTCAAATAAATAAATAAATAAATAAATCTTAAAAAAAAAAAAAAGACACAATGTAATGGAAGGGCACTGACTGAACCAGACTAAACCCAAATCCTGGCTCTACCCTCGTGTTATACGACCTTAAGCAAGGTACTTAATCTTTCTGTCTTAAGAGTTAAGACACAGATAATTCATCTGGAATTATAGATCATTCCAGTACCTAACTCAGGGTTGGTGTGAGGAATAACGTACAGAAAGCACTTAGAACAGTGCCAACATAGTGAGGATCATACATGTTTGCTATTCATATTAGTGGGTGTACCTAGTTCCCCTCTATGGAAGCCACAGTAAGAAGCATAACCTTTCTACATTTCTGCCCTGATGGAGCTTGACGATTTCGAGAGTACAAGGAACAAAAAAGTCAAGAGCCAAAAGGAGGATGGCCTTTAGCCACAGAAACGAGTTTCTAACACGTCTGCATATGACCGTTGCTTCATTTGGAATCAATCGCATTATTCCAAGGACTCGAACCCATCTTTCCAACGCAAAAACAGCTATTACTCAATGAAGAGTTCGTGACTAAAAGTTAATAGACGAAGCCTCTTTTCCTATTTCCACCACCTGTGGCCATGGATAAATAAGCCCACTTCGCGCTGATTCATGGGATCCACCTATAGGGCGACGGGGATCAAGGACCAGAGATGACCACCAGGTCCCCTCAGGGGCTCTGGGTCTCCCGACGCCGACGGAGGAATGGCCCAACTCCTCCCCCACTCCAGACTCCAGAGGTCACGTGACCGAGTCCCCACTCCGGTCGGCAGCAGGGATGGGGTTGTCCCAACTCGCCGTCCTAAATCTCTACACCCGCTCACCTAGCCACGGCCGAAACGGGAGAAACAACGACACTCGCTGCAGTACAGCCCTACGCCTTCTGCCGACACACACGGGCAAACAGCTCGCTAACTCGAGGTGATAAATTAAAAGACACGGGTGACGCGGCCGCTCAGAGCGACAGACAGAACGCCAGCCCGACTTACTGCCCTGGTTGCCTTGGTCCCGGAGACCCTGTCCGAAGGGGCCTCCTTCCCCCCCTGAGACCCCACTCCCCGGGGGGGGGGGAAGGGAGGCGGCCGCGGGCACTGGGGAAGTAGCTGGGAAAGGAACCGCGGCTGTCCCTTCGGGTCAAGGCCAGGCAGAAAGCCCAGCGCACGCCCCGTCTCACCTCAGCTCCGTCCTCTCGAGCTCCCCGCGGGCACGGAAGCTTCGGACTCCAGCGCCAGGACTAGACGTGACGGAGGGGCGGGTCCTACCCAAAAGGACCCCCCCGCCCCCGCCCCACCCTCGAACTCCGCAGGCTGCCCGCCGGCCGCCTGTCTGGAAAACCGGACACGTCGCCCCCTCCTCTCTCGTCCTCCTTCCTTCCAAAGGAGAAAGCGTCTTCTCGGCCCCGTTATCCGGAAGCGAACGGCAGGGCAAGGAGCCAGCGGCAGCTCCGCACCGGGGGTTTTAGTCAGGCAGTACGTCGGGCGCCTGCCTAGGGCCAGGCTAAGGAGGAGAAGTTCTCCGCTCGGCAGCCCCCACCTGAGCGCTTTACACTTTCGTCCTCCTCAGCTCAAGATGGTGGCCTCCCGAGCTATCGGCAGCCTCGGCCGCGCCACTGCCTCCCGGATGTTCCGCTGCCCAGGTGAGAGGCCTGGCTGGGAGCGCCCGGTAGCCCCGGGCAAAACTCTCGCGGAGCCTGAGGGGGCCCCGGAGCCGCGTCTCCCTTTCGCTGTCGCGTCCCCGCCCCGCCCGGCCACCCAGCCCTGAGTGGGGGAGAAAGGATGCCGCCCTTGGACCCAACCTCCTGTGTCGTCGCGCGGACACTGCCTCTCTCGCTGCTCCCAAATCCTGCAGCGACTTCAGGCTCCGTAACCCCTGACCGGCCTGAGAGCCGTCCATCCGCTCTAGGACCTTCCGCGAGTCTCCCCGTCGCGCTCCGGGCCTCACGCCCCTCTTAATCTTTTACGGTGGCTTCGGACCTGGACCCTAGAGCAGGAGGATTGGGACAGTCCCGTCTGTCACATCTTTGTGGCTCCGCAGCACCGTACCCTTCGCCAGAGCTGTCTTGAAATCTTTCTAGGTGGAATTAGCCAGCCTTGAAAATTACTGCTACACTCCGCTCGTTTCCCCCAGAACCATTTTTGTACCTAATACCACATTTCAGTAGGGAGCTCCGACTGCTGCAGTTCCCGTGATCCCAGTGTGAATGTATATAGTATGGTAAATTTCAAGGAAGGAGGTTCTGCAACGTGCTAGGAGAAACTTTTTTTTTTAAATACATACATAATCGCTGGCCTGTCTGTGGACAAACGGGGGGGGGGGCAGGGTGATGGAAAAAAAGATAAGGGATACCTTATCTTTTACCTTAAGGGATAAAATGATGTTAGATAAGTTAAACTAATTCTGTTTCTGAAAATAACTCCGCTCTGCATTACCTATATTATCTTTTTCTCTTCATACTGGCAGTGAAAGGGTTAAAGGGGGGGGTGAATACCGGCTTCTAATTAGAATCTTAATTTGTCATGTGCCTTTTTCCTAAACCACTAGAGTGGTGTGCTTTTTTGTAGATAGGTAGCTGGAGCCTGCGCTAAGGGATTAATTTTGGATAATTCAGTCTTTTTCTGCTTCTTTATCTCCAGCAGTGTTTTCAGTTTCCACAGGAATGCTGTGTGTGTGTATACCAATCATAATATTACCAACAAGGTAAATGGAAAGACTTGGGGAAGGGTGAAGAAAAAAGAATCACCAATTTTCTTGCTACTCAGAGTTAACTGTTAGCATTTGGTCATGTTACCTTACAGTTTTGCTTTCTGTTTTCCACATGTATGATTTAAGGTTTTATGACAATCAAATGTATATATTTGAACTTGCCTCTGCATTGGTATTAAGGTAGTTCTCACGGATTAGCAGCTGGTGTAACACAGAGCCGGTAGTCAGCTCATATGGTTTCTGGTCACTAGCTGTGTAACTTTGGACAAATACCTTAGCCTAACCGAGCTTTATTTTCCTCATCTATAAAATGAATGAATCTTCGGATTGTCTTACACATGGAAATAGCATGAAAGAGCAATTCAAAACATAAAATGTGGAGTCTGACTTTGGGGCTTGAATCTAGCTCTTTGTTTTACTCCCTAGTGGCCTGGGACAATTAATTTCCGTTTTGTCATTTGCAAAATGGGGAATAATACATTTGTGAACTTCAAAGGAGTTATCCTAAGTTTAAAGCAGTGTTTTATGGAGTAAATGCTGCTATTAACCCTTTCCTGCCCTGAAGAATCCTTAATTCTATGTATCTGAGAATTAAAAAAAAAATAATTATTACATTTTGCATGTGTAATAACAAGCTTAGCTTTTCTATATCTTTTGTATAGAAATATATATACACATATAAACGTATATATATTGCATTGTTTTCACCACTAAGAAAATGTGGTCAGTAGTTATTGTCCCTTTGAATAACAATTTATGAATTTTGAAAACATGTCTAGAAAGTGAATTCAAAATTACCTGCACACTTGGATTGCCATTTAGACACAACATTTGCTCTTTCACCCAGAAAGTCTGTACCAAGGCCCACTGTTTAAAGAGATTATGACAGTGGGGTAGATGGGTAAATTCTCTTGAAACTGATTTGTTCTCTTCAAAGTTCAAACCCATTCCTCCCCCACAAATGCTGACTCTGAATTCTGAAACTGTCAAGTGAAAGGCACAACTTAACCAAGATATCTTGTCCTAAATCTAAATTTCTCCTAAATCTAAATTTCTAATTATGTAAGTGGTAAAACAATTTCACAGGAAATGAATTAGAGGCAAATACCTTGGTAAATGATACATATTTAAAGTTGACTTGCTTCCTTAATCCTGTCTCTTCCCCCAGGGTTGAGTATTGAGAAAAGTTGTTGATTGTTATAACCAAGATAACATTTTCTTATTTGAAATTTGTGTTTTAGGTCTTGTAAAGATCTTCTTGAGTTAAATTATCAAGATGATTAAGAAATAGGACAAAGGTTTCTCTCTTTTGCTGGCACAGTTGATATAGGCTAAAGTTCATCTAGCAGCTCCTGAAGTAAATTGTTGGGATTACGTAATGGGTAAGGCTAGATTCCAAAAGCAGAGCTACCTTGTAGCTACCAACTTGATTGAGTTGACTCGTTTGAATTCATTTCGAGATACATTTGTACATTTATTTTCTCTTCTTCGATTTAGAGGAAGTTTTGTGTATGTGAATATGGATGGGTGTATGTGTGTGTGTGTGTGTGTGTGTGCGCGTGCAGCATCTACTTTACCCTGTTGTCGCTAGAATTGCTTATTTCCTGGTTCCCCTCCCACTGGAATTTCCACTTTACAGGCAAACTCCTTTTTATATCAAGCCTATTTTCACCTCTTCATGTATCTCTACAAAGTAGGAACTGATTCTTCATGATATTCTTCCTACGATATATATATCATCCCTTACGGCTGTAGAATGTAAGCTACACAAAGACTGGAATTTGTATTTTTGTTCACTTCAAGTGCCCAGAACAGTGCATGGCACATGGTAGGCCACAATAATTTGTTATTGTTGTTGAATGAAGGACTGTGAGATGATGTTGGAAGAGCTTATGCTTTACTTGAGGGAAACACCTGTTGTAAATGCAGTGACTAGAGAACAAAATAGTAAATAATAAAAACCAAAATTGGCAGAGAAGGGAAAGATCATTGTAGATGGAATATTATGAGAAGGCCTTGTAGAAAAGGTTGGAGCCATGATACAAAGATAAAGAGTGATAAATACAGATGATTCAGATTTCAAATGATGAAAAAGCAGAGAAAGGAAGTGTAGAGGCATGGGGACTAAGGAAATGGCTGACTTCTGTCTTAATTTACTTGTGTGTAGCGCTGTAACTTACAGATACTTTTATAATTATTATAACACTTTTATTTCTATCTTTATAAGGATGATAAAATGCATTAAAAGACTTGTTCATAAAAAAAAAAAAAAAGACTTGTTCATGGTCATATAACTGGTAAATGATAAATTTGATCGTTGAACCTGTCTTTTGACTCTCAGGTCCTTTGTCTTTGCACTCAGAGGGCTGATTTGGATTGCTTAAAAAATGTAGACAGAACCAGAAATCACCTCACTTTGGTGCTTGTGTCATCTACACTAGTTTTCTTTTAATATGTTACTTGCCTTTCAAACCAGTGTAAAGCAGCTGTTTTCTGTGCCTTCTCTTCCCCTCAAAGAACTGCAGGATAGGGGCACCTGCCTGGCTCAGTCAAAGAGCATGCGACTCTTGATCTCAAGGTCATAACTTTGAGACCCACATTGGGTGTAGAGATTACTTAAATAAATAAAACTTTTAAAAAAAAAGGGGTGCCCGGGTGGCTTCGTCAGCTAAGCGTCCCATTCTAGATTTCAGCTCAGGTCATGATCTCAGGGTCATGAGATCCAGTGGCTTCCAAGTTCAGTGGCAGGTCTAGTTGAGATTCTCTCTCTCCCTCTGCACCCACACCAGGGATGCATGTGTGCTCTAAATAAATTAATTTAATTAAACTGCAGGACAGAGGGAAAGGAGGAGGAAGCAAGAGCCTTAGCTACTGCCGATGGTCCCTCTCCGAATCCACTGAATCATCACTGGGTTCTCTGATCAGTGACTCCCACACACCCACTTGTTTGCTTTCTGCTTCAGTTTCCTTTCTAAATAATATAGACTCTTGAGGTCCAGCCCCCTTAAGTTCTGATTCTGTGGTTCTAAGTTTTATGTTGCCCAAACATTTGTGAATGTGTTTGAGCCTCCCCCACTGATTTTAATGCCTAACCTAGTCTGGAATCACTTCTCAATACTGTTATGGGAATACCAGTCCAGCTGGATTTGTTGGATAACCTTTCAGATCCTGCTTTAGCCACGTACAATACTTCCCCAATCCAGAAGGGTCCCTGTGCCTTCTGGTCAAATAGAGACCATCCTCAACTTAGAAACAGGACTGAGTCTAAGATTTTCATCATTTATTTCCCCCAAACCTCCACCCACCTCCCCTCTGGTAATCTGTAGTTAAGAGTCTGTTTCTTGGTTTACCCCTCTCTTTTTTTTTCCCCCTTTGCTTGTGTGTTTTGCCTCTTAAATTTGACTTATGAGTGAAATCAGTATTTGTCTTTCTCTGACTTATTTCCCTTAGCATAATACTCTCTAGCTCCATCTATGTGGTTGCAAATGGCAAGATTTCATTCTTTTTATGGCTGAGTAATATTCCATTGTATATGATTTCAGTTCTGATAGCACTGAAAGGCCATCTCTCCATAAAAATGCAAGAGGACTAGAGAACACGGTTGCAATATATTTGGAATATGTTTGGGACTGGGTATTATAGGTTGTTTTGTGGATTATTTATTTCCTGGTGTGCTGATTTCCTATTGCTGCTATAACAAATATCCACAAATTTCATATCTGAAGCAATACAAATTTATTATCTTACAGTTAAGGATGTCAGAAATGAATCTCATTAGGCTAAAATCAAAAGTGTTGGCAGAGCTATGTTCATTCTGGGTGTTCTAAGGGAGGTTCATTTCCCTGCCTTTTCTAACTTTCAAGGCTGCCTGCATTCCTTGACTTCTTCAAAGCCAGCAAAGTGGGACTAAGTCTTTCTCATGCTGCCATCTCTCTTGTCCTTTTTTACTCTCTCTTCTTCGTGATTACATTAGGCCTATCTGGATAAACCAGGATACTCTCTCTCAGTTTAGGTCTGCTAATTAGCAACCTCAATTCCCTTAGCCATATAACCTAACATATTCAGTTTCTGGAGACCTGGACATCTTTGAGGGGGCAGTTCTTCCACCTACCACATTTACTATTTAAATAATCAGATAAAAAAAAGATAATAAATAATCAGATAAGCTGATCATTAAAATGAAAAAGATATGGTTGTAGTCACTATAATGATCTAGAATACATTATTCTCATTTTGGGTTTTTTGGTTGTTATAAATTCCAGTTTTGTTGTATTTAGCAGGTACTGCAGCAATTATGTTTTATAAAATAATTAATTTTGAATACCTTTTTCTTATAGGTTATATATGCCGCAACTTTACAGGGTCCTCTGCTCTGAGATGTAAGTTTAATTTCTTATTGATGTGCTTAAACTTCTTTTTAGATTTGTTTAGCAATAAACGTATTTACAAATAAATTATCTTCTCTTTTTAGCTAGAACCCATATTAACTTTGGAGTCAAAGGGGATGTGGCTGTTGTTCGACTTAACTCGCCCAATTCAAAGGTACCTAATTTAACTTGCTGCAGTGTATTTCTGCTAATATATTCATGAATCCAGTGCTGAATAGGAGAGAAAGAAATCCACTAATCTGGCAGTAATCTTATATGAATATGTAATTTTGATAGTTTAACAAATTACTCAAGGAGTGTAATTTTTCTGGAGCAGATGTCCTTGTTTAAGAATTCCTTCAAAAAAAAAAAAAGAATTCCTTCTAATTGACCTGAGGTGTCAGATTAACATCAAAGATTAATGAAATTAGCCTGTTATGTGTAGCATGCTGAAGTGACTTACTAGATAAGAACCAAACTGCAGGCTTTGTTTATCAGAGTCAAAATTCACCTACTCATCTTTACTACACATGCTTTCTTCATTACCTGCCTGACATAGTCATTAGTCATAGAAAATTGGCTGGGTTAAATGTGGTTATTAAGCTTCCTGAAGAACTTGAAAGAATGACTCAGTGTAGTTCACATTCACATATTGGAAGTCAAGTTCTGTTCAAAGTGGAACCTCATTTGTATTTGACAACTTCAACAAAGCATGTGGCATTAATCCAGTCTTTGCCAGGAAACCTTCATTTCAGGAGCTCATGGCTTTTCCCCCATCTAAAATTGGTGTTGGGGCACCTGGGTGGCTCAGTCAGTTAAGTATCTGACTCTTGATCTCACCTCAGGTCTGGATCTCATGGTTGTGGGTTCAGCCCCCTACTTAAAAAAAATTAAAATAAATTGATGTCAAGTTTTCATATTTTAGAAATCTTGTTACTAGAGGCCTAGACGGAATAGGAGGACCTACATGGAAGCGATTAACAGCTATCACATATTAAGAAAAATAAGAACCAGTCTCCCTCACTAGGGTAAATTTTGGTACCCACTGACCAATGATTCAAACTTAAGATATTTTTTCAGAATTTTCTAAATTGTGCATTTTTTTCTGAATACAGAATCCATACATGCCTCTAGTGGGAAGTTTGAAAGCTATACAGAAGAAAATAACAAGTCATTCATACTGTAAACCCAAAGGCAAACAATCCAGTTTCAACATGATATTTATAAAATAAGATCTCACTATTTGTCTAATTTTGATTCCTTTTTTCTTAATAGTATAGAAATTTTTCCATACCAACAAACGTGCATAGATTTATTTATAGCCCACATATGATTCAAACTCTTAGGAATATGACCCTGAGTTCCTCCATTGAGTAGACCTATTTTTAAAGTCAGGGTACTTATAATTGGCTAAAGCTGAAGAGAAAGCTACTGAGTTTAAGGGTTTTTTTCCCCCTCCCTGCCTTTCTTCTAACAGTATATATCTGCTGGATAAACAAACTTACTATAATCAAAATAGCATTTCATGGTAATTTACACATCTTATACTTCAGATTTAAAGCCTTAGACTTATATATATTTCCCTTTGGCAGGTAAATACACTGAATAAAGAACTACAATCAGAATTCATGGAAGTAATGAATGAAATCTGGGCTAGTGATCAAATCAGAAGTGCTGTCCTTATCTCTACGAAGCCAGGCTGCTTTATTGCAGGTGCTGACATCAAGTAAGTTTTCAGAAATAAGAAGTCACCTATTATCTTGGCTAATAGTATGTTTCTTAGGCCTAATCATTCCTCCTCTGAAAAGAAGGTAGAAGTAAATTCTCTGAAAGTTTTCTCTTTTCCTTTTTTAAAAGATTTTATTTATTTTTTAATTTAAAATCAGTTTGCCAGTATATAGTATAACACCCAGTGGTCATCACAAAAGATTTTATTTATTTGAGAGAGAACAAGAGAGAGAGAGAGCATGAGCTGGAGGAGGGAGCAGTGGAAGACGGAGAAGCAGACTCTCTGATGAGCAGGGGGAGCACAATGCGGGGCTCCATCCTACGACCCCGGGATCATACCTGAGCTGAAGACGGAAGCTTAACCAACTGAGCCACACAGGGTGCCCCAAAAGTTTTCTTTTAAGTTATTTTCACAGATGTAATTGATTTAAAAGAGGGGGGGTTTGGTGAGAATACTGAGAAGGTGGAACCCTCTTAAACTGTTGGTGGGAATGCAAGGTGGTGCAGCCACTCTGGAGCCATTCTGGTCATCCCAAATAAAAGCTTTTTAAAAAAATTTTTTTAATTAAAAAAAACTAACAATGAGGTGCCCTTTTTTTTTTTTTTAACTTAACAGACCAACAAATATGTTTGAAAATACTGTGTTAGCAAGGACTTGGGGGACATGAGAAAGTTAATCTATTACTTGTAGGAATGCCCGTTGGTACAACAACTTTGGAAAACATTTTGGCAGCATTTAATAAAATTGAAAATATATGTATTTCATAATTCAGTGATACTTCGTCTGGCTATATATATGCTAGAGAAATCCCACCCTTTGTTTTTAAGGACCCATGTGTAAGGATATTCAGCCCTGTGTAATTTAAAATAATGAACAAGGATCCCTGGGTGGCGCAGCGGTTTGGCGCCTGCCTTTGGCCCAGGGCGCGATCCTGGAGACCCGGGATCGAATCCCACATCGGGCTCCCGGTGCATGGAGCCTGCTTCTCCCTCTGCCTGTGTCTCTGCCTCTCTCTCTCTCTCTCTCTCTGTGACTATCATAAATAAATAAAAAAATAAAATAAAAGAAAAAATAAAATAAAATAAAATAATGAACAATTTGAAGCAATTAAATGTCAATCAGTAGGGAAATGGAAAAGTAAGTAAACTGTAGAACTTTCACATGATAAAATACTACAAAACAGTTCAAAGGAATTAACTAGATCCATAAACATAATGTTAGAGCTCAAAAATGTATTGTTAAATTTTTTTTGAAAAGCAAGTTGCAGAATGTTCTGTACAATACATAGTTTGTGTAAGCATTTTAAAATCATGAAATTCTTTGTTATTTATGGATAAAAAAAAGTAGAAGGATCTCCTAGACATAGAGGGATATTCTACATTTGAGAATGGTTGCTTTAGGGTAAATGAAGTGGCTGGTAGGACTTGCAGAGGTTGTCAAAGGGAACTCTAGTGATGCAGCTAATATTTTCTTTTTTTTTTTTAAATGGTAGGATTTAGGTATATATAATTTGTTTACAGTTCTTTTTTTTTTTTTTTTAAGGATGTAAGGAGCAGAAGAAGTCTTTTTTTTTTTTTATTTTTTTTATTTTATGATAGTCACAGAGAGAGAGAGAGAGAGGCAGAGACACAGGCAGAGGGAGAAGCAGGCTCCATGCACCAGGAGCCCGACGTGGGATTCAATCCCAGGTCTCCAGGATCGCGCCCTGGGCCAAAGGCAGGCGCCAAACCGCTGCGCCACCCAGGGATCCCTGTTTACAGTTCTTTAAAGCATTTATAAGGGGCAGCCCCAGTGGCGCAGCGGTTTCGCGCCGCCTGCAGCCTGGGGCATGATCCTGGAGACCCGGGATCGAGTCCCACATCGGGCTACCTGCACGGAGCCTGCTTCTCCCTCTGCCTGTGTCTCTGCCTTTCTCTCTGTGTGTGTCTCTATGAATAAATTAAATCTTTTAAAAAAAAAAAAAAAGCATTTATAAGGAGGTGAAATGCTAGTGTTCATTTAATGGGCTAAAATGTTAATGGTGGTTAATTCTGTCAGTATACGAGTATTTGTTGTTGTTTTTAAGATAGAGAGAGGCAGAGACACAGGCAGAGGGAGAAGCAGGCTCTATGCAGGGAGCCCGATGTGGGACTCAATCCCTGGGCTCCGGGATCACACCCTAAGCCAAAGGCAGACATTCAACTGCTGAGCCACCCAGGCATCGCACAAGTATTTGGTATATTATTCTTTGTACTTTAGGCAACAATAAGCCAGCATTAGAGCCTTCGTAATTTGTACTTCAGGTGTTTATGTAGTTTTAAACCTTGCTCCACATTGTGTACTCTTTTTCATTTGTGTATGGTAATTAAGAATTTATAGATATTTAATGCTTATTTTTTAGAAAAAGCAAAATTATCTGTATCAAGTGCTTTTTCTTCTAGCTCAGTTATTTGAGGCTGGCAAGACACTGATGTACCTGGCAGTAGTTTCCTGTACCAGAGGAAAATACTTACAGCTTCAATGAGGCTAGCTGAGCAACTCCCCATTTATAAAATGACGAAAACTGATTCTCTTTGGTCATACATACAAAATCCACAGTTTAAATATGCTCAAGAACCAAGTAGCAAATGAAACAAACAAACTAAGGGACATGGAGTAAAACATTACTGTAGTGGATCTTTTTTAATCATTGGGAGATCTATAAATAACTTTAAAGCTTTTTTCACTGTCATTTTGATTGCTCTTCAGTCTGCAAGTTACTTGATAGTGAAAATGGTTGATGTGATAGTGAAAAATACTTACCAGAAGATGATTTTTCTCATGTACAGAGCCTTTTAATCTAATGGTTTTTAATAGAAAATAAAATTAAGCAGCATGTTTTGTTTCATGTTCTCTAGATCCAGAAATCTAACATTCTTTCTGGAGAGATGATGTCGCTGATATTAGTGCTATCTGAGGCAAAATATTCTTAAACTTCTGAGCATTTGAAGATTCACTATCAAATATTGGTAGATTATATGGAAGGATACAGTGGATAAAGTATTGAACAGAGTAGTGTATAATTTCATCTTTTTTCTCTCTCTTCTCTGCTTTGTTTACTGCAGCATGATAGCTTCTTGTAAGTCCCATGAAGAGGTAACACGAATATCACAGGAAGGACAGAGAATGTTTGAGAAACTTGAGAAGTCCACAAAGCCTATTGTGGCTGCCATCAGTGGAGCCTGCTTAGGAGGAGGACTTGAGGTATGCATTTCTACCAAAGTCATTGAAACACTGTTCAGCATATTGATGGGGATTACAAGCTGCCAAACCTGTAGGTTGCTATTATTTTGCTTGCAAAAAGTTCTAAGTGGAGAATCAGCTTTCTTTTTAGTTGTTAAACTTCTGGATAGGTTTCAATCCTTATTTCATGGCACAGAGCAAATAAACCAAAGTGTGATGTTTTCATTTTTATAAATTGAGAAGATTTGAACTAGATCTCCAAGGTCTCTTTCAATTCCAAGAACCAGGTTCAAGTTTGCAGGGCAAAGATTCAGTAGTGTGATCCGTGCTGCTGAGCTACTTTAGTCTAGATGAGACACACAGCCTAAAATGTGTGTAAGTGCTTTGTGAGCAGTAAGATGGTGAATAATGTAAGATCTGAGAGAAGAGATGCTTATTAATCTGAAGCATGTAGAAAAGGAGAAGGGAAAATAAAATAACATTTATTGAGCATTTATCACATGCTGAGCTCTATATTAAGACACTTTCACAAATATTAACTAGGGAAACCTATATCTGTCCTAAAAGATGGGCAGAATTTGATTAATCAGAAAATACTGGGGAAAAAATCATTTCATATATGGTGTAAGCAAAGACAAGGGTAAGCAAAACCTATTTAGATCACTATTAAGTAGGCCTGCTAGATTAAAAAGGAGGGTCTCTGTAGGGTATGGGCCTTCTTAACTTGGAGTACAGTATATAGTGCACAGTGTGTGTGTGCATTTTTCTATTGAAAGCTTCCATAGCTTTCAGCAGATTTTTAAAGAGATCCAGAACCCCAGGAAAGGTTAGTAAATTAGGAGGAGAGGATGAAATAAGGCTGGAAAGGTAAATTGTAGAAGGTATCAAATACATTCCTGTTTTGTGAATAATCTTTAGACCCTCACATATCCTAAAATATTATAAAGTTACACTTTCTAATATTCTGATTTTCTTTCATTTGTTTGAAGCTTGCCATTTCCTGCCAATATAGAATAGCAACCAAAGATAGAAAAACAGTATTAGGTGCCCCTGAAGTCTTGCTGGGGATCTTACCAGGAGCAGGAGGCACACAAAGGCTGCCCAAAATGGTGAGTTTAAATCCCCTTCTGACTTTTAGAACCTCAGTACCTATAGGCCACTTTAGATCTATTTCCTCTGGTACAAAAGGCACAATTTGGGTCTTCATTGTAAAATTTAGAAACAAAGTAAAATATGGGTATATAGGATTTATAACAAATTTTATTACTGGTATTTATTTTTTCAACTCTACTTTTTTTTTAAATTCCTTGATCAAAATCATTTTTTAAAAAAGATTTTACTTATTTAAAGAAAGAGAGCACATGCATGAGCAGTAGGAGGGGCAGAGGGAGAAGGAGAGAGAGAATCTCAAGCAGACTCCATATGGAGCATTGAGCTCCATGCAGGCCTTGATCCCACAACCCTGGGATCATGACCTAAGCTAAAATCAAGAGTTGGATGCTTAAACGACTGAGCCATCCAGGCACCCCAAGTCCTTGATCAGAATTATTGATTGAGGTCCTTTATTAATCCCTGAAGAGGTTTAAAGGTAAATAGTATACATGTCTGCCTTTCTGGAACTTAGAGATTTTTTTTTCTTTTACTTTTATTTTTTTAAGATTTTATTTTTAAGAAATCTCTAAACCCAGTATGCGGCTCAATCTTACAACCCCAACATCAAGAGTTGCATGCACTGGGATGCCTGAGTGGCTCAGTGACTGACCATCTGCCTTGGGCTCAGGGCATGATGCTGGGGTCCTGGAATCAAGTCTCACTTTGGGCTCACTGTGGGGAGCCTGCTTCTCCCTCTGCCTGTGTCTCTGCCTCTCTCTCTCATAAATAAATAAATAAAATCTTAAAAAATAAAAGAAGGGTTGCATTTACTACTGACTGAGCCAGCCAGGTGCCCGTTGAACTTGTATGTAGTTTAGTTTGTTCCTCCTGTACACAGTACCATCTTACCAGTTTTTCAAATCCATGGGTCATATTTCATGGTACATAGAAGAGGCAGATCTTTATCCTGATTTGGATGATTTCATTGCTTTATTCTATAGAACCAAAAGAAGCCAATCAGGCTTTTGAATTCTTAAGGAAAGAACAGTCAGACCTGGGGACTGCAGAGCAATCTTAATATCCCACTGAACCCTACAGCTTCAGGCACTATTGATTCCTCAATGAAAACAAGGTTCAGCAGAAATACTCTTTGGAAGGAAGTTGATATGAGCTGGGCACAGAAAAACAGGAAGATTTATGGTGTTAGTTTTCTGATAATAGTATACATTTCTTCATAGATAACATCAAGAGGATTTATTGAAAGAATAAATAAGCCTGTAGATGTAGAAAATATTGCTGGGTTTCTTACATTGTTTTGTAATAGTTGGTATTTGAATGTTATTAGAAACTATTCCTCTAATACATAAGGAACTGGGTTCTACTGTTAAAACTAAAATTATTTTTTAAAACGTTGCTGGGCACCTGGGTAGCTCAGTCGGTTAAGCATCCCAGCTCTTGATTTCAGTTCAGGTCATGGTCTCAGGATCCTGGGATGGAGCCCCACCTTGGGCTCCACACTCAGCAGGGAGTCTGCTTGAGATTCCCTCTTCCTCTGCCCTTCCCCCTGCTTACATGATTGCATGCTCTCTCTCTCTCAAATAAATAAATACTTTTTTAAATAAATATTTTTTAAAAATTAAAATTATAAGCAAAGACATGGTCAAAACTATCAAGTTTCTCAGTTTCCACTAGCTCCACTAAAGGAATTTTAAGTAATATATAAATGCACAATTTTAGAAAACATGAAATTATTTCTCTGCTTTATCAATTTCACTAGACAGAAATCTTACGTATTGAATTAAAGAAGAGATACAATTTTGCTTCAACTGAAGGTGTCTAATCCCAAAAGTTACCTAAATGTGTATTAACTGATTGATAAATAGCATAAAAACCTCATTTGACTTTTCTCATTTTAATATTTATTTTGCTCAGTTGAATGATTTGTAAACTATAATTGTTACACTGATGTTTTTTCCTCTGTACTCTGATCCTTGCTTGCTTGTAAGGTGGGTCTGCCTGCCGCTTTTGACATGATGTTGACTGGTAGAAACATTCGTGCAGACAGAGCAAAGAGAATGGGACTGGTTGACCAATTAGTGGAACCCCTGGGTAAGTGGTAACATGTTTCAGAATTCAGCCTTATGAAGGTACTTTTTAAAAATTAATATCTTAAATATTAGAGTGAAATTCAGATTCTCAAGAAATGAGTCATTCTGAAGAGTGAAGTTTTCTAAATATGGCTAATACTAAATCATTTCCAAACATCAGTCACCCCAACTTCTATTTTATTTTACAAATTGGACATCAAGAGTACAAATTTGAGGGACGCCTGGGTGGCTCAGTGCCTGAGCCTCTGCCTTTGGCTCAGGGCATGATCCCAGAGTCCCCATATCAAGGCCCACATCAGGCTTCCTGCATGGAGCCTGCTTCTCCCTCTGCCTATGTCTCTGCCTCTCTCTCTCTCTGTGTCTTTCATAAATAAATAATAAATAATAATCTTAAAAATAATAAATAATAAAATCTTTAAAAAAATAGAATACAAATTTGAATCAAATCCTTGTTTTTGGTTCTTAGATTACGTGTAACGTTATTCATGATAAGCCTCCTTTCGTTTTTTGTGTCTGTTATAATAATAAACGTGTATGAAGTAACTTGAGAATATTAATAGTAGTTGGCATCTACTCATATGCTACTTTCCTCCACATAACTTCTTTGCCTCCCCTTACCCAAGGAAACCACTATTCCAAATTATGTGTTCATCACCCTCTTGCATTTCTTTTTTTTTTTACCCTTTTGCGTTTCCTAAAAATCAGCATTATTAAGATATTATTTATGTAATAACAAATTTACCAATTTTTAATGCACAATTTGAGTTTTGACAAACGTATATAGCTATGTTAACACCACCACAATCATACAACAGAATGTTTTTTTAGTATATAGCTCTTTGTCTTTTATTTAGCATTATACTTTTAAGATTCATCCATATTGTTGCATATTTCAACAGTTTGTTTCTTATTGGTGAGTGTTATTCTATTGTATAGGTGTACCATAATTTGTTTATTCACCAGATGATGGAAATTTGTTTCCAGTTTGGGGCTGTTTAGAGTAAAGCTGCTATGAACATTCATTCACAAGTCTTTATGTGTTTTATTTCTCTTGAACAAATACCAGAGAGTAGATTGGCTGGATTATATGATAGATTTGTGTGTAGCTTGTAAGAAACTGTCAAACTTGGGCAGCCTGGGTGGCTCAGTGGTTTAGCACCATCTTCAGCCCATGGCATGATCCTTGAGACCCGGGATTGAGTCCCATGTCAGGCTCTCTGCATGGAGCCTGCTTCTCCCTCTGCCTGTGTCTCTGCCTTTCTCTCTCTCTCTCTCTCTCTCTCTCTCTCTCTCACATGAATAAATAAAATCTTAAAAAAAAAAGAAAAAACTGTCAAACTGTTTTCTTAAAGTGGTGATACCATTTTGCATTCCTACTGGCAGTGTATGAGAGTTCTAGTTACCAACTACTTTGCATGATCAGTCTTTTTAATTTTAGACCTTCTAATAGAAGTATAGTAAAAGTTCATTGTGGGTTTTTTTTCCTTAATTTTTTTTATTTTTTAAAGGATTTTATTTATTTGAGAGAGCAGAGCAAGAGAGAGAGAGGGAGAACACGAGCAGGGGTGAGGGGCAGAGGGAGAGAGACAAGCAGACTCCTTGCTGAGCAGGGGGCCCAACTTTTGGCTCTGTCCCAGGACCCTGAGATCATAACCTGACCTGAATGCAGAGGTTTAGCCTATGAGCCACCCAGGTGCCCTCGTTGTGGTTTTAATTTATATTTCCCTAATGACCAGAGATACTAAGTTTCTTTCATGTGTTGATTTGCCTTCTGTATATCTTCTGGTAAAATATCTGTAAAGATGTTTTGCCTATTTTGTTTGTTTGTTTTTTATTACTGAGTTTTCAGAGTTCTTTATATCAGAATACAAGTCCTTTGTGAGATTTGTGATTTGCAAATATTTTCTCCCTATCTGGCATGTCTTTTCATTATCTAAATGCAGAAATTCTTAATCTTGATGAAGTCCATTGTATCAGCATCGTTTATGGGTCATGCTATTGTGGTATGTAAGAAATCTTTTCTTAACAAGACTACAAAGATTTTCTCCTGTATTTTCTTGGTTTAGTTCTTCCATTTTAGTCTGTGATCTATTTCAAGTTAACTTCTGTATACACTGTGTAGTAGATTGAGTTTTGTTTTTTGGGTTTTTTTGCAAATGGATATACAATGCCCTGGCACAGTTTGTTGAGAAGACTCTTCTTTCCCTATTGAAATACCTGGACACCTTGGTCAAAAATCAGTTGACCCCATATGTTTGAATCTGTATCTGGATTTGCTGTCTTCAGTAATCTATATATCTTTACTTAAGCCAATATAATACTATCTTGATTATTGTGTTTTAGTAAATCTTGAAATCAGGTGATACAACCCTATTTTGGTTCTCTTTCAGTATTTATTTTGCCTATACTAGTTTGTTTGCATTTACATATAAATTTTATAATTATCTCATCCATAACTACAAAAATACATGCTAGGATTCTCATTAGAATTGCACTGAATTAATGTATCGATTTGGGGAGAATTGACATCTTTAAAATATTGAGTCTTTTCACCATGAATAGAAGTATAATGCTCTATTTAGGTCAACTTTAATTTCTCTCCACAGTATTTTCTACTTTTCTTTGACCATGTCTTGCACAGTTTGTTAAAATTATTCCTTGGTATTTCATACTTTTAGGACATTATACTTTTTAAACTTTAATTTCTCATTATCAACCACTAATGTGTATATGAATATAATTGATTTTTGTACATGGACCTTGTATTCTGTGACTTTGCTAAACTTATTTATTCTCGTAGTTTTTTCTATAGATTTCTAAGGAATTTTTATATAAATAATAATGCCTATAAATAAAGACATTTTGGCTTTTTCCTTTCTCATCTAGTTGGCATTTATTTTTTTTTCTTGATGTACTCAATGGCTGAGATCTTTAGTATGATATTGGTTAGAAGTAATGAAGGCAGATATTGTTAACTTGTTCCCCATCTTAGAAGAGCCTTCATTCTGATGCTATAGGGTGTATGGTGTCAGCTATAGCTTTTTTATATATGCCCTTATCATTACAGACATTTCCTCTTATCTATAGTTTGCTGAGAATGGATGTTGAATGTTGTCAAATGTTCTTTCTGCATCTCATGAGATGATTTTGTGATTTTTGTCTTTTTTAGTGTATTAGTAATGTCAGTTACATTGAGTTTTTTTTTTTAAGATTTTATTTATTTATTCATGAGAGACACAGAGAGAGAGGCAGAGACACAGACAGAGGGAGAAGCAGGCTCCATGCAGGGAGCCCGACGTGAGACCCGATCCCGGGTCCGCAGGACCATGCCCTGGGCCGAAGGCAGGCGCTAAACTGCTAAGCCACCCAGGAATCCCCTACATTGAGTTTTGACTGTTGAACTAGACTTGCATTCTTAGAATAAACTCCATTTGGTCATAATGTATTATTCTTTTTTATAAATTGACAGAATCAACTAAAATTGTAAAAGATTTTTATGTCTGGTCATGAGAGAGAATGGTCTCAGGGATGATTTTCTTGAGATATTTTTGCTTGGTGTTGGCATCAGAATTAATGCTGGCTTCATGAAATGAATTGAAAATATGTTTTTTTCCTATTTTCTGGAAGATTGGTATTATTTGGTATTAGCATTATTTCTTCTTCAAATACTTGATAGAATTCACCAGTGAAGGCATATGTGGACTTGGAGTTTGCTTTGTTGGGAGGGTTTTTATATATGATTTCAATTTCTTTCATAGATAAAAGGCTATCCAGGTTCTCCATTTTTTTGAGCAAGCTTATAGTAGTTTGTTTCTCAAAGATCTTGTCCATTTTATTTAACTTGCTAAATTTGTTACAATAAAGTTTTTCGTAATACTTCTGTATTATTCTTTCAATATCTTTATACTCTGTAAAGATATTTATACTCTTTCATTCTGGATATTGATACTTTGTGTCATCTTTATTTTTTCCCTGATGAGTCTAGCTTTTAGTTTCATTGATTTTCCTCTGTTGTTTGCTATTTATTGATTTCAGCTATTCATTATTTCTGCTTGCTTTTGGGTTTAATTTGTTCTTTTTCTAGTTTCTCAAAGTAGAAGTGTAGATCATTGATTTTAGGCTTTTTTTCTAACATAAATATTTAAAACTGTCAATTTCTTTTGTAGCATTGATTTATCTATTTTATTTATTTATTCATGAGAGACACAGAGAGAGAGAGGCAGAGATACAGGCAGAGGGAGAAGCAGGCTCCATTCCATGCAGGGAGCCTGATGTGGGACTCGATCCTGGGACTCCAGGATCGTGCCCTGTGGGCTGAAGGCAGGCGCTTAACCGCTGAGCCACCCAGGCATCCCTATTTATTTATTTTTTAAAGATTTTATTTGGGATCCCTGGGTGGTGCAGCGGTTTAGCACCTGCCTTTGGCTCAGGGTGCAATCCTGGAGACCCGGGATCAAATCCCACGTCGGGCTCCCGGTGCATGGAGCCTGCTCCCTCTGCCTATGTCTCTGCCTCTCTCTCTCTCTCTCTCTCTCTCTCTCTCTCTCTGACTATCAAAAATAAATAAAAATTAAAAAAAATATATTTTATTTATATTCATGAGAGACACAGAAAGAGAGGCAGAGACACAGGCAGAGGGATAAGTAGGTTCCACACAAGGACCCCAATGTGGGACTCCATCCCCGGAATCTGGGATCAGGCCCTGAGCCAAAGGCAGATGCTCAATCGCTGAGCCACCCAGACACCCCTTATCTACGTATTTTAATGTTACGTTTTTCACTTCCATGAAGGTCAGAATATTTTCAGATTTCCCATGGTTTCTTCTTTGACCCATGACCCATGTGTAATTTGGGAGTGGTATTTAATTTTCAAATATTTACAGATGCTTTAGATATCTTTGTTACTGATTTCTAGTTGAATGCTCTTTTAATGCTTTGGGTTTTTTGTTTTTTTTTTTAAGATTTTATTTATTTATTCATGAGAATACACAGAGAGGAGAGAGAGAGAGAGGCAGAGACACAGGCAGAAGGAGAAGCAGGCTTCATGCAGGGAGCCCAACATGGGACTCGATCCCGGGTCTCCAGGGTCACGCCCTGGGCTGAAGGCGGCGCTAAACCGCTGAGCCACCCAGGCTGCCCTTTTTCAGTCTTTAAAAGGCACTGAGTGGTGAAAAAAATCAAATCTCCCAGTACATGTGTTCCAACTGAGGTCAAATAGGGCAACATTCTGCCTTCTTTTTTTAGCTCTCATATAGCCAACAAATGTCCTTTCCATGGCCTATTTAGTGCCATATCCTTCTCAGTTTTTGTGCTTTTTGGTTGTGATTTCATTGTTTAAAATGATAAGAGCCAGGAAGGGAAAAGTACTGAGTCAGAGTAGAAGTATCTTTAAGATTTCTCTTTCTTCCCCCATAAGGAGTCCTCGTCAGAGGTACCTGAAGAAGAGCTTGGTTGGAGGGCCCAAATAGACAGGAATGAGGTACTAGGATCCCATTATCCCCATCATATTTAGGGATCCCAATTGATGGTAGCAGTTCCCACTGTGATTTGTGACCTACAGAGAAGAATAACGACACAGCCCTTCAAGCATGCCATCTTCCCCCAAATTGATTTCTTACAGTCATGGTGAAAGATGTGTCCTCTAACCCTTCCAGGTTGGCTGAGCAGGTCTAACATCATAAATCCACGTTAACATTCCAGTTTCCTTAAACCTTTCATTAGCTTCCTCTACAGCATACCAACACATTTCTAGCATTTCAACTTCATTTGATGCTACTTGTTTTCTATTTGTCCTGTTTTTCCTTCCTTCTTTCATTTGGATTAGTCATTTTTTACCCTCACTATTGGGCTTTTACTTTGCTTTACCCTTTTAATGGTTACTCTAAGGTTTATAGTGTATATCCTTAACATATGATCTATCTGGAAATGATGTATCATTTAACCTATAAGGTAAGAACCTTAAAAGAATATACAGTTGACCCTTGTATGATATAGGTTCAAACTGTGTGGGTCCACTTACACACAGATTTTTATACAGTACTGTAAATGTATTTCCCTTTTTTCTTAACTTTTTTTCCCGTAGCTTACTTTTTTATAGGAAAACAGTATGTAATACATACACAAAATATGTTATCAACTATTTATGTTATTGGTACACCTTCTGATCAATAGTAGGCTATTGGTAGTTAAGTTGTGGGGGCATCAAAAGTTATAACAGATTTTCTACTGCAAATGGTATCAGTGTCTCAACATTTATTTCTAAATATATTCTATATTCCTCAGCATATTGCTATCTTTGTTTTCAATAGTCATCTTTTAAGGAGATTAAAAATGAGAAGAGAGTTTTCTATATATATCCACATGGCTACCATTTTGAGTGCTCTTTCTTTGTATAGCTCCAAGTTCCCATCTGGTTTGATTTTCCTCCAACCTGAAGAACTTGACATATTCGGTCGCATAGGTCTGCTGGCAATGGAGTCTCTCACCTTTTGATTTGTTTGACAGCCTTTATTTCCACTTATTTTTCTAAAGATATTCTTGAGTGCCACAGAATTCTAGGTTCTTGTACTTTATTTATTTTTTGGGGGTACTTTATGGATGTGTCGACATCATGTCATGGCTTGCATAATTTCTGATAGAAAGTCTGTTCTCAATTTTATCTTTGTTCTTCTGTTTATATGTGTCTCTCCCCTTCACCGCCCTTGCCCCCACTGTCAGATCTTCCCTTTATTACTTAGTCTGAATCATTTGTTATGGTGTACCTTGGTTTGTTGTTGCTGTAGTTACTATTGTTTTTTAATGTTCATTGGGCATGGCATTCATTGAGTTTCTTGGATAGTGGATTTGTAGTTTTGACCAAATTGGAAACTTTTTGGCCATTAATTGCAATATTTTCCCATCTTCCCCCCACCCCTTCTCTGCGGTTCCAACTTCACCTATGTGAGATTACTTGATACGGTCCCAAAATGAAGCAATTTTTCTTTTTCCATCTATATATTTTCTATTGCCATGTATTCAAGTTTCCTGATCTTTTCTTCTTTGGTGTATAATCTGCTATTAATCCAATCTTGTCTATCTTTCATTTCCTATCTAGAAGTAACATTTGATTCACTTTTATGTATTCAGTTTCTCTTCATTATGTTTCTGCTTTCCTCTACCTTCTTGAATGTATGGCATGCATTTACAATAGCCTTTCTAACATTGTCTGCTACTTCTGTCTTCATTTCTGCATGTTTGTATCAGTCAGTTTGCCTCTTGCAGTTTCATCTCATGCACGTCGTTAACAGTACTCATACAGAGTTTCAGGGGCCCTCTGTAGGTACCTGGAGTCCTCCTTTTGTGGAGCAGCTGCCCTCCAGGACTCTACTCCACAGGTTCCGGCTGCACTGGCCTCCCTGCAGGCTCCTTGAGACTTTTGTGGGCCCTCTGCATTTTTACCTCTCACAAGTTGGAGCTTTTTGTTTTTGTTTATTCATTTGAGACACACAGAGAGAGCACAAGCAGGGGGAGTGGCAGGAAGAGGGAGAAACAGACTCCCCGCTGAGCAGAGAGCCCAATTCAGGGCTCCATCCCAGACCCTACAATCATGACCTGTGCCCAAAGGCAGATTCTCAACCATCTAGCCACCCGGGCATCCCAAGGCTTTTCTTTTTCATCCTCTTTCACATACTTTCACAATAAAGGCATGTATCATAAGAGAGATAAAAATATGATTGCAAATTTGTTTCAGCCTCCTCTTACTATTGGGATTTTGTTTCCTTCATACCACAAGACTGCACAAAATTGCCTTTTGAACCCCAGCCACCAACAGACATAGGATGTCTGTTTACACAACCCTGTAAAAATAGCCTTTGGAAATTCGGAGCCTATCTCTTTAGTCTCTTTCCTCAAACAAGTTCAGTATAGAGTAGATGCCTAAAGTAGAAAATGAGTTACATTATTTTTGGCATATTCCTTTCTCTATAGAAGTACTTTATGTGCTACACATCATCACACTGTGAGAGATTTTCCTCCAGCTTTTTGACCCAGCCCTTCCAGCCTCCTATACCACCTTAGAATTCCATGAATGTTCCATGGGAAAGACTAGCTTTGCATTTGGTTTCTTCTAGCTTATGATGTATTGTACATGACATCCTAAAACTGATCATTTCACTTGCTCCCAGGAGCATCCTTCTGCTTGAGCCAACTCTAATCTTCAGCCCATGCCCAAAAGAATCATAACCTCAGAAAAGAAAACATCCAGCAATCATCAGTTCACTTCAGGCAAGCTCTTCCCTGTCTGGAATTTTAGTTCATTTGGTCCTCATTGCTTCTACCACTCTCTCATAACTTTATGAATGTGTGGTTTTACAGTTTATTCATTTTTGTCTGCAGTTTTGCAGCAAGAATACAGGCCTCATGAGACATTCTACATCCTACTCAGAAATGGAAGCCAGACTTAAAACCTGGTTTTCTATCTAGAGTACATTGTTACACCATAGCTCAGTGTTACTTCTTCTATTCTTTGAGTCCATAGCTCATAACTTGCCACCTACCAGTCTCTAGTATAACATGGAAAGCTATGCTGAAAATGATTTACATTCTAATCTGTTGTGTTCATTTTTACAGGACCAGGATTAAAACCTCCAGAGGAACGGACAATTGAATACTTAGAGGAAGTTGCAGTTAATTTTGCCAAAGGACTATCTGATAAGAAAATCTCTATAAAGAGAGACAAGGGATTAGTAGAAAGTGAGTGTCATTATTAAAGAACTAAGGCAAAGGTTCTCTCCAGAGAGTTTAATTTTGTGTTAAAATGAGAAGGAGGTAAATGCGTTTTTTTTTTTACTCTAAGTATAGAGTCGTCCTTAAGAAGTGTAACAACTGCTCTAGGATCAAGTCCTAAACCTTACACTGGTTGGTTACAGCCATTTTTTTTTTCAATTTTTTATTTTGGAAAATTTGAAGCATTAATACAAAAGCAGAATAGTATATAATACTGTAATAAACACCCATGCACCCAACACCCAACTTTAGTATTTATCAGCTAATTAAATCATGTGTATAGAAGTGCTTAGGTTGCAATTTGGATTTTGTATATCAAAGTGAAAAGTTCTTTCAGATAGCTACAATTATTGCATTTTTATGGAGTTTACAGAACAAACTAAGAAGGGAGACTAGGCTTTTTCCAGTAAGTATCTAAAAACCATTTTCTTTTGCAGAATTGACGTCATATGCCCTAAGTATTCCTTTTGTCAGACAACAGGTTTACAAAAAGGTGGAAGAAAAAGTACGAAAACAGACCAAAGGCCTTTATCCTGCACCTCTGAAAATAATCGATGTGAGTCTTCACCCCATATTCCCACATTTCTCATGTTTCCTCCCTTTATAGAGCAGTATTCTTTACTGCCATTCCGAACTATGTCTTCTGGTACTATAGTTCTTAATTCTGTTATTACAGTACTCACTAAAAATAAAGCAAGCTATGAGGGCTCATAAACTGATTATTTTGGGAATAATGAGTGCTGGGCATAATAAATTTAAAACTACCAGTTATAAAACAGGAAAAAAAAAAAAACCCTGTTATATCAGAATAACAAGGCCAGTAAAATCCTGGGCATTAATTAAAAGGTAGTTGAAACAAAATTGATGGCCTCGGTTGAAAACATTACAGTACCTAAAATGTCTTATTGACTTCCCCATTGCTGTAATTATCAAAAAAGTGTAATGATACAGAAAAGTTCTGAAAAAGGTCAGGGAGGATAAATAAAATGATCACAGGGTTAAGAACTTCTGTCTAAAGGTAGACTTTAAAACTTAGAAACTCTTTAGTCTTCAGTCTTTAGTATCTAAGATTAAGAGAACATGTAATCTAAGACTTTGAAAATGGGGAATAAATCAGCCAACAAATATATTTTGAGGAAAGACACCAAAATGCATAAATAGGACACATGATTCCCTTCCCACACCCATCTCCCAGTTTGGGGAGATTAGATGTGTGTCTGTGCTGGGACAGGTAACTAATGGAAGGGATGTTAGATGCCACCCTGGGATCACTGCCAGATAATTGAACAGAGGAAGATTGCTAAATGCACAGAGGAGGCAACAGTCACTGTAAGCCAGAGAGATTAGGAAGAGCCTCCTATAATATTTTTTTAAGATTTTATTTATTTATTCATGAGACAGAGAGAGAGGCAGAGGGAGAAGCAGGCTCCCCGCAGAGAACCCAATGTGGGACTCGATCCCCAGACCCGGGATCACGCCCTGAGCTAAAGGCAGGTGCTCAACCACTGAGCCACCCAGGCGTCCCAGAGCATCATAGAATTTGACCTGAGACCTGGAAAGTGAAGAGAAAGTGGTACCAGGTAGGGTGGGCATTTTGGCAAAGTTACAGAAGCTGGAAAGCATGAGGTTCTTCAAGAAACATTTAACGAGATCAGATTTTGTAGGATACTGAAATGTGTGCAAAAAGGCCAAATGAACCTAGATTTTAGAACTTGGACAATAATCAATTTGGAAATTTGACCTTCATCCTGTATAGATCATAGAGATAATAGTCCTAGTAAGTCATAAACAATTTAGAAAGAGAGACAAGTAGAGACTTGAAGTTGGAAGCTATCTTGGTCATTCAGACTTGACATTTGAGTAAGAAAGACCCCAAGATAGATTAGTAAAGAGGTGAAGGTAGTAAGAGACTTGCCAAAGAAAAGAGATTATGAGTTAAGTTTTAGAAGTGCTGAGTTTAGATGTGTCAGGAAATTTAAGTGACAGTTTACACAAAAGATAAGAATGTAGATTTGTTCATATGTGGGTTGTTTTTTTTTTTTTTATCCACTTTTCATTCTCATAAATTGTGGTGATTGAATACAGGGTCAATTTGACTTTTATACTTGGACTTAGGATAGGACTTCCCTCAAATGTTTAAGTTGAATTTATAGAATTCATGAGTAACATGACAGAGGAGACCATCGGCCTGAGGAAGAATGCACAGGAGAAAAGGGCTGAGAGTGTAACTATGGGGATGTGCCTACTAACGTAGGAGAGCAAGAGAGAAGCTGGAAGAGCCTAATTTTAGCAAGAAGGAAGGGGAAACCTTTTCTCAGACTTGAGCAGTGCCAGTGGCAGCTCTTTCTCTGGTGGGATAGTGGTCTAGAAGTGGATAAGGAGGTAAGAGTTTGAACTGTGGGACCTCTGTCGTCTTTTCCCACTCTGACTTTTATTACTTTCTTCTATTTCATTTCCTTCCATTTTATGCTAGTTTTAGTAGTAGTCTTGGAGATGGAAAATGAAGTCAGTCTTTTTTTTTTTTTTAAACTTCTTTAAGATTTATTCATTTGTTTGAGAGGGGGGGAAAAAAGAGCAAGAGAGTGAGCACAAATGAGGGGATAGGCAGAGGGAGAAGCAGATCTCCTGAGCTCCATCCCAGGACCTTAGGATCATGACCTGAGCCAAATGCAGATGTTCAACCAACTGAGCCCCCCAGGTGGCCCAAGAATAAAGTAAGTCTTAAGCAAGCAGCCATTCAGTCCTCTTGTCTTTCTTACTCCCCTTCCAGACTTTTGGCTTACTCTTTGAAGACTGATGAACTAGCAGTTTTATTCATGGTAGTGAGCATCTCACCCATCCCTTGCAACAATGAACAAATGCTTTATGTATTTTTTAGGTGGTAAAGACTGGAATTGAACAAGGGAACGATGCTGGCTATCTCTCTGAATCTCAGGTAAAGTTCTTTCCTTTGAATTTTTTATTAGCTACTGAAAAACCAAGATCTAGAACTCTTTATAAAGCTGAGAAAAGGAAAGGTACCCAAAGTCTATCTAAAATGTTTTTCTTCTGGTGACTATCATTTCTCAGGGTTACTCTCAGTGAATAGATGTTAAGAACACCTTAGTGGTCAGTGATCCCAGCTACTTGAACTTGCTCTCAGTAATGAGGGTTTAAGTAGGGAAAGCAGGGCCAGAGTTCTAATTCTTTCAAATGAATCATTGGGAGGTTTTGGTTCTGGAGTTGGGCTGGTTATATTGTGATAAAAATGAATACATTGAGAGAAGAATACATTTCTTACTCATTAGGGCCTAGAGATAAAACTTTGAAGGCCAGCCTCTCTTTGGTGAATTAGAAAATGGAAGGAAATGTTGTGTAGCAACTGAAAGAACACAGAGGAGCATGTGAACAAGCCTCACCTCTTCCCACTTTTCCAACAAATTGGTGGTATTATAGATTTAAGTGGTTACAGTTATTTTTAAGTTTTAAGCAATCATTGAAGAATGACTGCTCTTTGATAATAAGACAGAAGGTATCTGAATATGCTCAGGACATATTCAAGAGAAAACATTTCTTGTATTGGTTGCTTACTACAGTGCATTCTGAGTTAGTCTTTTACCTCCTAACCAGCTACATATATACATATGTACAGAAAAATTGAAGCACAAGTTTCACAAATCATTGTCCTCACTGTGTACATTGTACTCATATTTCCTATGTGTACGACCCACTAACCTCATGACCACCGATGGGTCTCTAGCCACAGTTTGAAAATCACTGATTTGGGATCCCTGGGTGGTGCAGCGGTTTAGTGCCTGCCTTTGGCCCAGGGCACGATCCTGGAGACCCGGGATCGAATCCCACGTCAGGCTCCCAGTGCATGGAGCCTGCTTCTCCCTCTGCCTATGTCTCTGTCTCTCTCTCTCTATCTGTGTGACTATCATAAATAAATAAAAGCTTAAAAAAAAAATTCTCTTTAAAAAAAAAAATCACTGGTTTACTGAATAGGATACACTGTATCAAGATCAGTAGAACATTGTTGCATATTAGGGCATGAAAGCAACTTTATTTGGGGGATTCCCTTTGAAATGCTATTTGTAACCATGTAACCATACTGGTAAATGCTAGTAATATTGATGATGATGATAGCTGACATTGAGTCCCAGTCATTTTACTAGCATTCTCACTTAATTCCAGCAATACTGTAAAATAAGTATTGTTTTTCCCATTTTAAGGATGAAGAAAGCTTGACAGCTGTGAAATGGCAGAGCCAGGATTTCAAACTCAGTTCTGTCAAACCTAGACTCTAAATCTCATCTTTTTTTTCTTTTTTAGATTTTATTTAGGGGCAGCCTGGGTGGCTCAGCAGTTTAGCGCTGCCTTTGGCCCCGGGCATGATCCTGGAGACCTGGAATTGAGTCCCACGTCAGGCTCCCTACATGGAGCCTGCTTTTCCCTCTGCCTGTGTCTCTGCCTCTCTCTCTCTCTCTCATGAATAAATAAATAAATAAAATCTTTAAAAATAAATATATATATATATATAATTTATTCATGAGAGACACAGAGAGAGAGGCAGAGACATAGGCTCCCCACGAGGAGCCCAATGTGGGACTTGATCCCAAGACCCTGGGATCACGCCCTCAGCTGAAGGCAGCCACTCAACCGCTGAGCTACCCAGGCGTCCCAAAATCTTATTCTTAACTGCTAATCTGAGAGTGGCTCTCTGTAAGCATTAGGGGACTTTTCAGAGCTATAGGTGTCATGCAGACAGCCTGCTACAACAAAAGAGACCCAGAATTGAGAGTCCTACTGCTAGGATATGAGTTCCAATCCTGCCGCTTGAGGTGTTGTCGTGACTTAATTTCTCTGAGCCTCCTCTTCCCAGTCTTCAACATAAGAGGGTTGATTGAGAGGACCATGAAAGGTCCGTTTTGACCGTAACATTCTAGTACATGAAAAAGGTTAGCTACCACCACCTCTGGAGCAGAGAATCTAGAGCTCGGGTGAATCCAACCCTTTTCACAGTAGTAGTCAGAAAGTACCACAGATAAGACATTACGGGGGCCATGGAGCACTCGGGGTTCCGTGTGTGTTACCTCTACTCTGCAAGGAAATCGGACTGAAGGAACTCCCATCGCTGAGACTCTGAAGTTCCACTGTTTTTTTGGTTCTCCTTTATTTTCCAGAAATTTGGAGAGCTTGCAATGACCAAAGAATCAAAGGCGTTGGTGGGACTTTATCATGGTCAGGTCCTGTGTAAGAAGAATAAATTTGGAGCTCCGCAGAAAGAAGTAAAGTAAGCTCAGCTCTGCCTTATGGAGCCTATGTGGGTTTCACTGCAAAGCTAGATTCCTACCTTCCGTCTTGCCTACATGTCTTCTATCCTGAGCATATTAGATCCCTCTTCCTCCTAACAACTTTCTGGCTTTCAAAGTTTTCAGCCTGAGTTTTCTCCAGACCTCTCTATTGGCTTCTGTAGCAGCTTTCCTGTCTTGCTATTGATGTCCCCTAGAAGTCTGGTTTATGTCCCAAACCAGACACAACTATACGATGTTTACTGATCTTGTGTCTTCCTGTGATTTGAGATACCATCCCTGGGAACTCATACTTCTTCCTCATAAAAAAATATATAGCCTCATTCTGATTGTTAAAGGCTTGTCTTTCTAATTTACAACCTAAATATTTTGTTTAATATTTTATTTATTTATTCGAGAGAGAGAGAGAGAGAGAGAGAGAGGCAGAAGGAGAAGCAGGCTCCATGCAGGGAGCTGGACGTGAGACTTGATCCCAGGTCTCCAGGATCACAACCTGGGCCCAAGGCAGCGCTAAACCGCTAAGCCACCCAGGCTGCCCTACAACCTAAATATTTAAGATACTATTTGCCTGTTTCATGTCTATTCTTTTTAGCAAGACTTTCAATATTATGCTGCCTAAAAGCTTTTCAACATTTTAAATTTACTAATGCCCCTAAATTCACCTTCTAGCTCAGTGGTTCTCAGCCTGGGGAATGTTGCACCCTAGGGATCATTTGATGATGTCTGGAAACATTTTTTGGTTGTTATAGGTGCTTCTGGCATCTAGTGAGCAGAGGTCAGGGATATTGCTAAACACCCCATAGTGTATGGGACAAGCCTAAGAATTAGAATAATCAAAAATGTCAGTAATGCCAAGGTTAAGTAATACTGCTTTAGCTGAACTACTGTGAGGGCTTTCAGAGCAACTAATGTTACTACTTTCTCCATCTCCTTCACCTTTAGCAACATTACAATCCAAAAAAGAAGATAAGGGATCCCTGGGTGGCACAGCGGTTTAGCACCTGCCTTTGGCCCAGGGCGCGATCCTGGAGACCTGGGATCGAATCCCACGTCGGGCTCCCGGTGCATGGAGCCTGCTTCTCCCTCTGCCTGTGTCTCTGCCTCTCTCTCTCTCTCTCTCTCTCTCTCTCTCTCTCTCTCTCTCTCTCTCTGTGTGTGTGTGTGTGTGACTATCATAAATTTAAAAAAAAAAAAAATGGGTAGGAAATCTGGGTGAGACAGATAACGATGCTAGCCCAGAGGGCTGATTTCCAAATATAATATGAACTACAACTATAACTACTTCTCCAGCACACATGGTGATCAGTAGGGATCATTACCAGTCCAGTTGTGTTTGTTCTACCCAACATGGAAACAGTATCCTGCAATCAGTAGGTGCTGTAGTACAGTAAGATGGCCACTTAAGCACTTATGTCAGCATCTCTTCATACATTCTACAAAAATCAAACATTAACAAGGACAAAAAAGTCACCCATTCCCCATGCATAGCATAAGTGCAAGGCAGATATGCTACTAACTTCTCATTATGTAAGAGGGAAACCTCACTGTAACAGTAAATAAAAGGAAGCAAGAGAGAAAAGTATTAAAAAGAGAGAGAGAGAGAGAGAAAAGTATTAAGAGTCTTGCAAAATCCTACAACTGTGAAACACACCAACTGCTACTTCTTCACCCTACCCCTTTACTCCACCATCCCTCTATCTACCAAAAAATGCCATCAATTAAAGAGACTACACTTTGCAACTGCAGAGTCCTCTTAAATAATGAAACCTAATGAGCTACTCCAGACACCTCCTCCTATCTGTATATACTTCTTCCTGTCATAGGCAGCTAGACATAATGCCATCTGGAGAGGGTATTATTATACCAAATACACGAAAAAGGCAGAATCCACATGCATCTCATATAAGAAGAAGTAAGAAAAAGTATCAAAATACTTAGGCTTATGAAGATTCTCCCCCCTAAAGCAGTCACAATACAGAAGAAAACTATAACAAAACACTTCCAAATTTGAATCAGATATCCTTAAATAAGCATTTGCAGATAAGAATCACCTTGAATCAGAAATTTAAAAACTCGGGACACCTGAGTGGCTCAGCGGTTAAAGCATCTGCCTTTGGCTCAGGGTGTGATCCTGGAGTCCTAGGATCGAGTCCCGCATCAGGCTCCCTGCATGGAGCCTGCATCTCCCTCTCCCTGTGTCTCTGCCTCTCTCTCTTAGTGTCTCTCATGAATTAATTAATTAATTAATTTTTAAAGATTTTCAAGAACTCAGAACTAAATGTACAGAAAAACAGGGTGATGCAAGAGTTGGCCTAACTTGGAAATAAATTGGGGAAAAAGGAGATGAGGAATTAATCATAGGGTACCCAAGGCAGAATAGGGTGAACAGATTTACTAAAACTTGGAAGAATAGGGGCACCTGGCTGGCTCAGTAGGAAGAGCAAAAAACTCTTGATCTCAGGGTCATGAGCTTGAGCCCCATATTGGGTGTAGAGATGACTTAAATAAATAAACTTTAAAAAAAAGAAGAACCTTGAAGAATTAAAGAAAGGGGATTTTTTTTTCTACTTTCCCAGCTGCCAGTGATGCCCTCTGCTTCCTCCACTTCTGTCTCTAGGCTCTTCCCCCTTACCTTGGATAATCATTTGAATTCCTTATCTATTTTATTTTTTAATTAATTTTTTATGCAAAAAATGGACTTACTCTTTTTAAGAAAACTGTTATAAAGTTAAATATTAACTGATAGTATTTTGTGTTTATGGTTTGAATATTGTACTATAAAAGGAATCCTCTGTGTGAAGCCTGTAACTGGCTCCTTTCAGTGGTATGGCTTGGAGACTGTGCATATTGGTACATATCAGTTAACTTATTCCTCTTAATCTTCTACTGATGGATTGATGGCTCTTTGCAGTTTTTCATGATTACGAACACTGTATGACTATTCGTCGCAGTTTGTCATCTTATGCATAAATACTTTCATTGGAGTAGATAATGAGAAATAGAATTACTAGTTCGTGGGGTACGTGAGGTTTAGTTTTAATAAATTTGTCCTCCAAAGTAGGACAATACATACTTCCATCAGCCATGCAGTGAAAAAAACAATTTTTGTACATCCCCCCCTGATGCTTTTACAATTTTTGCCAACCTGGTGGGGAAAGAATATCTCATTTTAATTTGCATATCCCATGTTATGAGGGAGGTTAAGCATCTTTGTTTTCAGTTTGTTTGTTTTAGTGAATTGCGCTTTTTAAAAATATTAATTTATTTACTTATTTATTTTTTTAAGATTTTATTTATTTATTCATGAGAGACACAGAGAGAGAGGCAGAGACACAAGGCAGAGGGAGAAGCAGGCTCCATACAGGGAGCCCAACGTGGGACTCGATCCTCGGTCTCCAGGATCACGCCCTGGGCTGAAGGCTGCGCTAAACCGCTAAGCTACCTGGGCTGCCCTTAATTTATTTTTTGAGAGAGAGAGAGCAAACTCACCCAAGAAAGATTGGGGCGGGGTGGGGGCAGAGGGAGAGAACTCCAAGCAGACTCATTACTGGGCTCGGAACCCAAACCAGGGCTCAGTTCTGCAACCCATAAGATCATTTCCTGACCCGAGACCAAGAGTCAAACACTGAACTGACTTGAGTCACCCAGGCATCCCAGAATTGCTTTATACAAACCCTTCCCCATTTTAGTGGGTTGTCCTTTTTTTAAGTAATCTCCACGCACAATGTGGGGCTTGAATTCTTGACTCTTGGAGATCGAGTCACATGCTGTGCTGCCTGAGCCAGCCAGGTGCCCCATGTCTTTTTTAAGTGACACATGCATGTTCTTCATTTCCCAAGTTGTAATTCTTTGCTGCAATATATATTGCAGATTTCCTCCTATTCTATGGTTGTCTTAATTTTGTGGGGTCATTTCTGTTTGTGACAAATTTTTAGTTTTCATGCAATAAATACCTTTTTTAGCCCTATTCTTTATGTCTCTCTATCCTGTTTTCTCACTGTTTTCCAGTTAATTAAACTAACAATGTAGGGGCGTCTGGGTGGCTCAGTCCATGAAGCTTCCAACTTTTGACTTCAGCTCAGGTCATGATCTCAGGATCATGGGATTGAGCCCCCCCCATCGGGCTCCATGCTCAGTGAGGAATCTGCTTGAAATTCTCTCTCCCTCTCCCTCTGCCACTCCACCCCCATGCACACGCATATGATCTCTCATAAATAAATAAATCTTGGAGCACCTGGATAGTTCAGTGGTTGAACATCTGCCTTTGACTCAGGTCACGATCCTGGCCGGCGTCCTGGGACTGAGTCTTGTATCAGGCTCCCCAGAGGGAGCCTGCCTTTCCCTCTGCCTATGTCTCTGCCTCTCTCTGTCTCTCATGAATAAATAAATAAAATATTTAAAAATACTAATAAATACTGTTAAAAAAAACAAACACTAAACATAGAAATGCATGTGTTACTACAAAGCTACATTTAAAAGATGCTTCCAGAACTTGAAATTAGGTTTCCTTTTCAGGTCATAAACATGATTTTTGAAAATTATAATCAGAATTGTTAGGAATGAAACTTTATCCTAGTATTACAACTCTGGTTTTTTTAAGATTTTTATTTATTTATTCACGACAGACACAGAGAGAGAGAGAGGCAGAGACACAGGCAGAAGGAGAAGCAGGCTCCATGCAGGGAGCCCAACGTGGGACTCGATCCTGGGTCTCCAGGATCATACCCCTGGCCGAAGGCAGCACTAAACCGCTAGGCCACTGGGGCCGCCTAGTATTACAACTCTAATTTAAGTCTACATAGTGCTGTTAACTTCGGCTTTTATGAAGGAAGATGTTCTGGAAAAATTTTTTTAGTTGTTTACTATGGGAGCATGGCATATTGCTCCAGAATTATGAAAAAATAAAAATAAAAAAGAGAGAGAGAATAAGCAGATATGCTCTCTGGCCCACAAAATACTTAGAATTTAATTGAAGAAACAAAAATAGTGAATATGAAGCCATTCCAGAATACTGTGGGGTAAGCCAGATGGTCCTAAGAAGTTTAAGAGAAGTTGGAGGGTAGAAAAGGCAGCAATGTGCATGTATGGAGGTATTGTGAGGAGGGGTGTGATAAGGGCTGGAAGCAAAGAAAACATCCAGGAGAATTTTGATGTAATCCAAGTAAGGGTGATAATGGCACAAATTTCAGAAGAAATGAAAGCTTACTGGAAAATGGTAAAATCAGTAAAATAAGTAGTCAGAAGAAGAGAGATTAGTCTTTGGGCATATCATGGCAAATTGGCTTTTGTTTGGAAACCAGAGATATTCATATTGACATCAACATAAATCAGGTTGTTTTTGTTTTGTTTCAGTGATCTTGTTTTGTTTTCAGTGATCTCCAGGCATTTTTATAGATAAAAATTTAAAATACTTCATAGATAAAATTTTAGATAAATTTATAGATAAATTCATAGATAAAAATTTTTATAGGAAAAATTATTTAAAATACCTTGTTGTGCCCACTTTTGTTGGTTTATTGAATAATTTGGGTGATCTCCCACTTTTACTAAAGTAATTACCAGAAGTCATTCATGCTTTCCTTCTAGGGACCTAGCCATTCTTGGTGCAGGGCTGATGGGAGCCGGCATTGCCCAGGTCTCTGTGGATAAGGGCCTGAAGACCATACTTAAAGATGCTACGCTAACCGGGCTGGGCCGAGGACAGCAGCAGGTGTTCAAAGGGTAAGCCAGCTCTCTGTCTCTGTCAGCAATATGCTATTCGTTTTTTGCCATTATGGATTCCTTTTTCCTGAACATGGTAGGTACTGGATGCTCCATGGTTAAGCTGTTTCCTTTGACTTTTAGAAACACTGATTCCTTTCCCTTAGTTTTATTGTACATGTTACAGTGTGCAGTAAAATGTAATGTCTAACTGCAGAAGAGAAAACTACCAGATATTTTTACATGCCATTTATTTCGTGCTTTGGTATCAAGACTAGAAGGTCTCATGTTTGTGAATTTTGGTAGTTTCCATATCACTGCTGTATTATTAGGAAACACTGAAACAGCACAACATTGTGGAAGATGAGGAGGTGGGGAAGTATGCCAGAACTGCACATTGAGGGTAGAGCTGGGATCAAAACTCTTGAACCTTCTATTTCTTGGCTGGCACAACTGTAGAGAAGCAGGAAAAGAATTTGGTTCCACAATGTCTGAGGCTTTACAGACTGTGTCTCCTTCTTATCACTGAATTAGTAAAAGGTCAATACTACTTTCTCTCCTGCTCACCTACCCCTTCTCACCCCGGGGCCAAACACTGCCTGTTTGCAGAGTGGGGGGAAACCAAGCAGCCACTTGGGCAGACTGGGAATTGGTTTCAGGCCAGTTCTGTGCCTGTGGAAAAGCTGGCTGCACTTAGACTGTCCTTTTTTTTTTACAGTTTGACAATTTCTTTTTTTTTTTTTTTAATTTTTATTTATTTATGATAGTCACACAGAGAGAGAGAGAGGCAGAGACACAGGCAGAGGGAGAAGCAGGCTCCATGCACCAGGAGCCCGACGTGGGATTCGATCCTGGGTCTCCAGGATTGCGCCCTGGGCCAAAGGCAGGCGCTAAACCGCTGCACCGCCCAGGGATCCCCCACTTAGACTGTCCTATGCATGACTTTTAGTCAAATGAGGTTTTTTTGATGTTTCTCATATAGGTTATGTAGCTTCAGCATGTTTGACCTCATTTCTGCAGAGAGATTATGTTGCTACTGTCATGCTATACAAGTTGTGGCAGGTTTAATCATTTTGGCAGATTATTGTAAGATAGCAAGGAATTGGAGTAAAAGATTCGTGACAAAAAAAAATTTTTAATTGGCACGTGCTTGATAACATGGCCCTGAGACTAGCATGTAAACATCCCCAAACACCATCACAGTCACCAAAATGAGAAATTGCTGCTCTAAAATAGATCCCACCCTCTGTCTCTTTTGGATTTAGGTTCCCCAGCTTTCCCTTTGTGTCTCAGAAACATCAGGCTCTGGCAAGTGCCCCTTACCGTGCTGCTGACTTAGGACATAAATGTTTCCCATCCTCTCTTGAAAACAGTTTCATTAGGGATTAGAATTAGAGCAACTAATAATGTTTTGAGTTCTGATGAGCATTTTGTTTGCTAACTGCTGACATCGTTGTCAGAAACCGAGAGATTTGAACCCATACTTTTTAAGACTTTGAATACTTCTTTGAACTTACCTCGTGGCTTTAATTTTTCTTTTTAGTTAAGGAAATTAGTGAATGGGATTCAGGAAAACTCTAGGTCAGTTATTCTGAAAGTGTGGTCAGATTAAAACCTAAGAGAGCCTACTTTTCTTGGCAGTGAAAAGTAATCGGTTAAATGTTTGAGTAGCAGGAATCCTTTTTATCTCCCTGTGGGAAAGAAGAAACCTTGAGTTAATATTTTATGTAATCAATATAATTTGCTACTTATACTATGTGCCGACTGGGAAGTAGATTAAGAATATAAGAAAATAATGCTTTGTCTCGGTTTTCCAGGAGATTACAGTTACAGAATAACAAAATGATGTGTAATCAGGTAAAATAAGTTCATGTGGTCTAGGACACCTGTTGGGTGTTTTCTCTGTTATAGGTACAGAGTTACCAGAGCTGCATCTTTGTTTTGCCATTCTAGTATTTGTGTCTACTCTTCTTGGCAAATTTAACTATTTTTTGAGTGATAGAGTTTATGTAAGTTTTACTTGGAAAGGCATCTTATAGTTTGGGGGCCAACGTATCTTTCTCCTAGTACCTTGCCATTTGACCATGTGTCCCTCTGAGCCTGTTTAAGCAACCCTTCTCTCTCAAAATGGGAGTAATAGAATTATCTCATAGAGTTGGTAGAAACACATAGCACAATGTCTGGCCCATGGATGCTCAATAAATGGTAAGTCTCCTTTTCTCTATTTTTTCTAGATTGAATGATAAAGTGAAGAAGAAAGCTCTAACATCATTTGAAAGGGACTCCATTTTTAGCAACTTGACTGGGCAGCTCGATTACCAAGGTTTTGAAAAGGCTGACATGGTGATTGAAGCTGTTTTTGAGGACCTAAGTCTTAAGCACAGAGTGCTAAAAGAAGTGGAAGCAGTAAGTATGAGGCCTGTTGTACATGAATTCTCGTTAAGTGAGTGGAGGACACAGATGCAGGTGTTCTTAAAAGGCAACTTGTGGTTCTTGTTATAGGGCTGTTCATGTCCAAACATCAGTTTTTTGTGAACTCATGCACAGTATATATGTTACAAAGGTCAAATCTGGGTCTCCAGGCAAGAAAATCAAGTAGCACAGGGTTCATTAGCATTCTGTGGGAGTTCGGTCACCCAGACCTACAGGTAGCCTCATGGAGGATAGCCAGCTGTGTTGACATTTTGGGTTGGCTACAGCCATAACTAAACTTCACATCTAGCCAGCATAGGAAGTAGGGGAGGAATTATTGCTCCAGGCAGGTTTCACATGCTTACTTTGTGGAAATGCTTTGGTCTTGATCCCAAGTGTTCTACATGCCATGAACAAAACAGGTACCTGTATTGGGTGGTACAAGGAAAAATGCCCAGAGAGGAACAAATGACAGTAACCTGAGTACAAGGTAGAACCAGGGCCTGGAGCAGCAGCCTATAGTTAAATAAATGTGGGCTAGTAGATTGTGCAAACAAAATGAAACTGGCTTGGTAGCACTCCAAGTTTCTGGAGTAGTGGCCATACTCTTAAAGTGCCCTGTGAGTGAGGGCAATCCCTGCTCTACCACAGACTCAGCCTACAGAGGGTTTAGAAACTAAAGACCAGGTTGGGAGAGAAACAAAAGATAAGCAGCCGGCCTGGGACAGCTTCCACTTTGGAATCCATGCACTGGAAAATCTTTCCTTTTGACAAAGGGTAATGTAGATTCAGCTGAGAGAGAGCTGAGTGGATTTGTATTCCATCTGTACTAAGTGGCATTTCAGCACAGATACATAAGTGGTATCACAGGGCTTTGAGGGCACTGCTGAGCCAGTGGCAGGCAGATTCCAAGGAGCAGCAGAAGCTGACACAGGCAGCATGGAGAGAGGAGCTTTACCAGTTGACTAGGTGTTGGTATTTGCTTCTGGAAAATTGTGGTTGCAGTTGGGAAACTAGTGATCAAGGGAAAGAGAAAGAGGGATCAAATCAAGAGGAGTGCAGACTCTGAGCAAACCTTTACAGCATTGCCTCTGGCTTCCAAGAGGGCAGAAAACGGGGCTTTTTAAGGCCTGGCCCAGAGCTTCAGAGTGTCACTCCTGCTTTCCATTGGTAAAAGCAAGTCACAAGATTCAAGAGGGAGGAAGCAGACAATACCTCTGGAGCGGGGGAGAGCCACGTGTGAACCAGGAAGGGAGAACTGTTGCCTGCTCTCTTTGGAGACATTGGTCCACTCTTCATGGAGACTTTCCTCACCAGAATAAGATGCCATACCTCTCAGACATGCCACTTGAGACTCTTCCTTGCGGTCACGCTCTGCTTTCGACTTCGCACTTCTGATTAAAATCATGGGGGCGTGGTCACAAGCTGATTGCTGAGCCAGGTTTTGTCCAACAGGCGCCTCTCTAGGTTTTTCCCTTTCTTCTTTATAAAAAAATCTTGATTTGGTATTTAACCTTTATCCTCCTTATAATTGATGTTATTTTACACTCAGCTCTTTAGTGTGTTGCATGTATTTTGAACCTTGATTCCTGTCTCTGATGTTAGGATTTTGCCTGTCCCGGTTTGCACAAATTTGACAGGTGTGCCTTCCGTGTGTTTTATGCATGCAGCTGAATAAAACTTGAATAACTTGGGATCATGAACAGAATGCTGAGACAGTCTATGTTAGAGATTTTTCTCCAGGGTGATAAAGCTAACAGTTAATAGTATTCATGTGCCGTAGATTAATTACAGTGGTGTCCAGTTTTCTAACAGTACCCTGTATAAAATGAGCTAGGCATGCATGTTATGACTTGTTCTTAGAAAAGTAAAGGGTGCAGGTATCATGAACTTCTGGATTCGAGGGCAGATCTGAGCAAGAAGAGGGATTGGCACATAGGCTGGATCTTGAAACGAATGAGATTTAACTCAAGGTGATCTCTTCAGTGTTTATCTGAAGTGTCTTATTTACCTAACTGCTGAGATGTAGTCTCTGGGTTAGGAAGGATGCTGAGCCAGAGATGGAAGGAGGCTGAATGGGAAAGAGAACAAGGTCACACACAGAAGCCCTTGGTGGTTGTAAATATCAGGTGAATAGTGTCTCCTGTCTGAGTGGCTGTGGGGAGAGCAGGGCCAGGCCCAGGACTCATACTTTAGCTTTGCTTCAGACTTCAGTCATCTCCCGGGTTTATGTGACATTCTTAAATGTTATTCCCCTGCAGGTGATTCCAGGTCACTGTGTCTTTGCCAGTAACACATCTGCTCTCCCAATCAATGAAATTGCTGCTGCCAGCAAAAGACCTGAGAAGGTAAATTCTGAACAGAGGAAAGACCCTGAACTGTTTTCCTATCGCAGGCTCCCAGAGGAAGGCTTAGAGCATGAGAAGGGCCTGTGTGGATTGTGAAGTGGAGGGAGTGATGAGGTTTTCCCCAAAACTGGGCATAGAGAAACTAATACCATGACCATTCAAGATGCTGGGATAAGTGAAATGAACTATAACCAAAATAAGCTTTTCTAGGTGATCTGCATCCCAAGGTTCGGACTATAAAACGTACCTTTATTACAATTAGGTATTTAAAGATAGGTCCAAGGAGCACCTGGCTGGCCAAGTTGGTAGCATATGACTCTTGATCTCAGGGTTGTGAATTTGAGTCCCATATTGGGTGAAGAGAGTACTCTAAAAATTTTTTTAATTAAAAAATAATAAAGATAGACCCTAAAATAAAAGGGGATACTCCAAAATATCACTTCAGCTACAGAGTAGACACTGCTAATGATCTAGGACATGTTTGGTTCCAATTCCACATCCAAGAATAGAAGATCAGGAGGTGGGATGCCTGGGTGACTCAGTGGTTGAGTGTCTGCCTTCAGCTCAGGTTGTGATCCCAGAATTCTGGGATCAAGTACCGCATTGGGTTCCCTGCATGGAGCCTGCTTCTCCCCCTGCCTGTGTCTCTGCCTGTCTCTTTTTGTGTTTCTCATAAATAAATAAAGAAAGAAAATCTTAAAAAAAAAAAAAAAAAAAAAAAAAAAAAGAAGAAGAAGAAGAAGATCAGGAGGTGTGGTGAGGTGTGTCCACATATGGGTTCACTTAGAATTTCTACCCAGGACATGAAAAGGTAGAAGCACTTTCAGTAAGTATTTGGAATAATGCAGACATTTCTCTTTGGGCGTCTGCTGTCTACTAGAGCAACCTAGGGAAAGTGAAGGCACTCAAGGAGAAATGAAATACCTCACGTCTCTGGAGGATAGCAATTAGCCTTAGGTAACCAGAGCCAGCCAAAAGTAGGCAGGAAATATAAGAGACCTGTAAGCAGCTAAAATTGTTAATACAGAGTCCTTGTACTGAAAACACAAAAGTCTGTTTATTCCTATTCTAATAGTTTGGTAATACAAGGTAATCTTGTTTTCTCACACATAGCAGATTGGAAGTGATGTGGGGCCTGACAGAGGCAAGTGCAGGGATGGCAGGAAAAGGTCATAAGGAGAAGTGGCAGCTGATAATGTTACACTAAGGGAAGACACAACAACAGTATAAAGGGAGATGACAATCTGGCCATGTCACATCACTCAAAGCACCTCTGCAGCATTTTAAGTCAGTAAAGGAGAACCTTTGATGCTAACTTCTCATTTTCCAGTGGGAAAAGTATCATGCTTTGCAGTCCTGGCCTCTAGGTATCTCAGATAGCTTCCATAAGTCATCTGCTTCCCCTATCTTATATAAAATTAAGGGCAAAGGGTCACAGGTTGGGTGATCAGCCATCTGCTTATCCAGAACAAGTTGGTCACCTCTGGCAGAGCTTTCTTGAGTGTTGAAAAATGGATTTTGCTTGGGGCAGTGATTATATAGGTGTATATACAAAACTCATCGAAATGAACACTTATACACTCATTGTGTGTAAGTTATATATCATAAAAGCTAATCCCTTTTGCTTAGAAGTACTGAGTCTGAAACAGGTCTGGTTTTTTAAAAAATCATTTAGACATAAAGAACGTTTAGGATTTAGAAGCAACTTTTGGATTGGTAAATTTATGAAACATTTAAGTGACCTATGTGTTACATAATGGAGAGTAGGCAGACTCTGGAGACAAGCTAACTGTGATGGAATCCCATTGCCATCCACTGACTGGCCCTGAGCTACTAGTTTTAACCTCCTGATGTCTTTTTTCCTCATCTAGGTAAGACTGACTAGTTCACAGAGTGATGGATTAAATGTAAGGAATAAATGGCAATTGTATTAAAGAACAGTGGACAGCCAGTAATCAGCAAATGGTAGATATCGTTAATTATATCTCACAGCTAAAGTGAGGGTAGACAGAGCAAAACTCTAGTTTTATGATTAAATTGTCTTCTCCCATGGCAATTCACTTGGGAGGACTGTTAGCCTGAGGAGGAGGTTCTGAACTTCAGCATGTATTAGAATCACCTGGAAGGCTTCTTAAACACAGATCTGGGCCCTGCCCTGTCTCTCATTCAGTAGATCTGGATCTGGGGTGGGCCTGAGCATCTGTAGTTCTAAATTTCCCAGGCAGTGCTAATGCTGCTGGTCAAGTTACTTCATTAGTGTAATGAATCTTCAGGCACATTTGACTGTTGATAAATCTTAAAACAAACAAACATTTATTTGAAAGAAAGAGAGCTATGAGGTGGGACGGGGTGGGGAGAGACAGAGGGAGAGAGAGAATCCCAAGCAGACTCCCCTTGAGCATAGAGCCTGACACAGGGCTCAGTCTTACAATCCCAAGACTAAAATGAAGAATTGGAAGCTGAACCAGCTGAGCCACCTAGGCATCCCTGCATGTCGATAAATGTTATTTAAACCCAGGATCCTGGGCGCCTGGGTGGCTCAGGAGTTGAGCGTCTGCCTTCTGCTCAGGTCGTGGTCCCGGGGTCCCAGGATCAAGTCCCACATCAGGCTCCTCGCAGGGAGCCTGCTTCTTCCTCTGCCTGTGTCTCTGTCTCTCTCTCTCTCTCTCTCTCTCTCTGTCTCTCATGAATAAATAAATAAAATCTTTTTTTTTTTTTTAATTTTTTTTTTAATTTATTTATTATAGTCACAGAGAGAGAGAGGCAGAGGCACAGGAAGAGGGAGAAGCAGGCTCCATGCACCGGGAGCCTGACGTGGGATTCGATCCCGGGTCTCCAGGATCGCGCCCTGGGCCAAAGGAAGGCGCCAAACCGCTGCGCCACCCAGGGATCCCAATAAATAAAATCTTTAAAAAAATAAACCCAGTATCCTGCTGGTGAGACCCATCTGTGTAAAATCCAGATACATCTCTGACAGTCTAGCATATTGACAGATTCTTCTGCCTACCTCGGTTTCCCCTGTCCTCAAAAAAAAAAAAAGTGGCCCTAGGGCAGCCCCGGTGGCCCAGCGGTTTAGCGCCACCTGCAGCCTGGGGTGTGATCCTGGAGACCCCGAATCAAGTCCCACATCGGGCTTCCTGTATGGAGCCTGCTTCTCCCTCTGCCTGTGTCTCTGCCCCTCTCTCTCTCTGTCTCTATGAATAAATAAAATCTTTAAAAAAAAAAAGTGGCCCCTCTAAACCAACAGTATCATTAATATGAGTGGAACTTTCATTCATTCTTCCCTGATAAATCTAATTTGGCCATGAGCTGTGATTTTGGCACTAATTCTTGGTAGAATCTATCACCCTCAGTGAAAAACCTTAGAAGCAGATGGAAGAGGAAGATTCCAGTGAGCCCTCTGAACATACTGAACTTTTTATCAAAGAACCACAGAGCCAAACCACTCAACTGGATCAAGCAGTATTCCTGTGTCACGACCACCTTTCTCTCCCTTGCTTTCCCGGCCAAAAATGAGTGCTATCCAGTTCCCTCCTCAGCGTTGTTACATCTGTTGGCTTTGTACTCACTCCCCTTGGCAGGTGATTGGCATGCACTACTTCTCTCCTGTGGACAAGATGCAGCTGCTGGAGATTATTACAACAGATAAAACGTCTAAGGACACCACTGCTTCAGCGGTAGCTGTTGGGCTCAAGCAGGGGAAGGTCATCATTGTGGTGAAAGTAAGGAGCTGTGTAACAACAGAGTGACAGATGTGGGGAAAGTTCTGTTAAGATTCCTTGTACCTCCAGGCTTGTTTTGCCTATGTTTGCCTCAGAATCATACCAAACAACCTTTTGGTATGATTTTTCCCTTAGTTGTCTACGGTGTGGACAGTGGTATGGACTGTACTGCTAAGTCAGGGTCTGGGACATCGCAGGTTCTCCCAGCCACGCTGCCCTGGCTGTGGCTTCCCGTGCATTGTAGTTGTAACAGTTCTGTTTGGGAAGATAAACCACCGTGAATTTTGAAATGACATGTGGGGAAGAGAGCCTGCTTTCAGATTCTTCCACATTATCTCCCTTGGCAGGATGGACCTGGCTTCTATACCACTAGGTGCCTTGCACCCATGATGTCTGAAGTCCTCAGAATCCTCCAGGTTGGTACTGCTTTTGGAACGTTGGAGACATCTTCCACTCCTTAAACCAGTCCTCTGACTGGTACTGTCAAGATGAGGAATGGGCTCCCTTCTAATACACTAAGTCCTGGCTCTTCTCTGAGGGAGCCCTTTTGTACCCAATCCTTCCACATAGTGGTAGAAAATCATGGGCTTTGCTGCCCTCCAGTGGGCAGAATTTTAGCTCTGCTTCTTTAGCTGCATCCCCCTAGAGGCAGGAGCCATCCAGAACAGACAAGCCCACTTGGTCTGATTGTTGCTGGAGCAGCTTCTGCTGCACACACACCCCACGGGTGGCACCTCCTCGCTGGGCACTTATCAGACACAGGCTCCAGGGGATCCGCAACACTGCTCTGTGGTGCTGTCTCCTCTCTCACTTATGGGAAATTTAGGCTTGTCTGCCATGGAATCTCATTACTACTGAGAGTCAGAATTGCAAACAAGGAAACGAATAAAGTGTTCATTCTAAATGAATTTGTTCATTCCTTTAAGTGCCTTAGGTTAGGGAAGGCTCAGACTTTCCCTCCTTTGCTTTCCCTGAGTGAAACAGCCCCAAGTCTGGGCCTGGCTAGGTGGCACCCAGGAGAAAAGTGAGTGTTGGACTGGTTCTGTTTCTGATCATCAGCATGGGAGCCCTCGTAGGAGGGTCTGGAATGTGTGCCCCCCCACCCCCCACCCTACTAAGGTCCCTACTTCCATCCCATTCAGGAAGGAGTTGAGCCTAAGAAGCTGGATTCCCTTACCACAAGCTTTGGCTTTCCTGTGGGTGCTGCCACACTGGTCGATGAAGTTGGTGTGGATGTAGCAAAACATGTATCAGAAGATCTGGGCAAAGCCTTTGGGGAACGGTTTGAAGGTGGAAACATAGAACTGCTGAAGGAGATGGTGTCCAGGGGCTTCCTGGGTGAGTAGCCTCAGAGAAACATAACTAACACCATGAGAACAAAGTTTCCTGAGACACACAGTTACAGAAGGCCCTGGGGGAGTTTTTCCTAAAACCAGAGCCCACTATTATGGGGATTTTTTTAAAATGGTTTCATGACCACCTCTTAGGCTGGGCCTATAGCTTACAGACCAAAGGCAGAACTCTGGCCTGAGGAATTGACCAAGGTCTGCAAGGCAGGCATTTTCATTTGGCCCCAGTCCTAGAGTACACCTGTGATCCTGCAGGAGCGAGCTCTGTACCCGGGCTTTACCATACTCCCTGGCCACCTGTGTGGAAAAAGTAATACCTCTAAACAAAATACGATTGAGGGCCACCAGAGGTGGCTTTCTTTCTTGGCAAAGTAGCAGCAAAATCCACACCAGGACCAGGGCATAGACTAGGTCCTGGTATTGCATATCTGGACATTAAAGCTCACCCACGTGCCCGTTCCCATCCACATACATGGATTCCCAAGCTCCAAGAAACACAAGATCTTTTTTCCTTCTTTGCCAACTCTGCTGACAAACACTAAGTTTTGACAAATACTAAATGTCTAGGGTTAGCTAGATAGACAAATTCAGAAATATGGTTGAGAGACTAGAGCATTACAGCAGACTAGCAGAGAAGAAAATTCGCAGGTCTGGGCTCTGAGATTTGGTAATTCTCCCTTTCCTTTTAGGTCGCAAGTCTGGGAAAGGCTTTTACATCTACCAGGAGGGTGTGAAGACTAAGAATGTGAATTCTGACATGGATGGTATTTTGGCAAGTCTGAAGGTGCCCCCTAAGTATGGCGTGTGAGTGAACTTTAGTAGCTAATAGCGTGGGAATAGGTTTCTCTTCAGCCCTCTTCCATCTTCTCTGTGATAATCACCTTACCTGACCAGAATACTTTTGCCCTCTCCCATGCTATCTCGGTTTCTGCCACGAGTCAGGGTAAGGATAGTAGCTGAGCCTTAGAAAGACCACTGCTCCAGCCTTCCCTCTGAAGGTGTGGAGAGCAACAAAAAGACGATTATCCTAGGTCCCTTGATCCCCCCGCCCCAACCCTATCATTTGTAATTGACAGTTGATGGTGTCAAGAGTCTCTCCACTCTGCCCAACCCTGTTCTAGGTACCAGTTTCAGGTTAATTAGGGCAAGTGGCTCTCAGCCATCTTTTCCAGGAGTGAGGCTGGCCTCCAGGTGGCTTCTTCTCTACACCACTGGAACTTCTGTACCGGCCGGCCCTTGAGCTCCAGCAGCACCAACGTTCATTTTCTGCACTCACAGCTCCTCGGATGAAGACATCCAGTACCGCCTGGTGACAAGATTTGTGAATGAGGCCATCATGTGCCTGCAGGAAGGGATCTTGGCCACACCCACAGAGGGAGACATTGGAGCGGTGTTTGGGCTTGGCTTTCCCCCATGTCTTGGAGGTTGGTCTTACAGGTTGGGAAGGTGTAACTCGTTTTATCCTAGAGCTCTTTTTGTTGTCTCCTTCAACAAAGTCCTATTTTTCCATTTAGGGCCCTTCCGCTTTGTGGATCTGTATGGTGCTCAGAAGATAGTGGACCGGCTCAGGAAGTTTGAGGCTGCCTATGGAAAACAGTTCACCCCATGTCAGCTGCTCATTGACCACGCGAACAGTGCTAACAAGTTCTATCAGTGAGCAGGCCCTCACCCTGCTCGCTAGACTAGCACACTAACCCAGCTGCCCGTGGTGCTGGTTCTCCAGCAGAGTGGCATGTGGCGTCTAGATTTATCAGAGTAACCAGAAGGAAACAAACTCTGGCATTGGGTGTGCACCCTGATTAAAGTGCCTTCAGCTATGACAGTTGCTCCCTTCTGCTGAAGTCTGGCTGTGAATTAGTTTGCACTTCATTAGAAGGAGGAACCACTTCCTGCTCATGAACCCGTAAGTCCTGACACCCAAATTGGCAGTATCTCCAGAACCATCTTGCTGCCTGCTCCTCTAGGGCCAGTGGTGACAGGGCAGTTCTGCACCCAGCCAAATATATAACAATAAAAACCAAACAATTGTCAGCCTCTCTGCCCGCCTGCTCCTTTTTCTTCGGTCTGTGCCCTTCTGGTTTAACCCCCTCCCCCCTTCAAGGAGCTGGAATAAAGCCCAATGCTTTTGGGGTGTGGGTGTGTTGGGACAGTCCTAGATTTCACCTTGAGAGCATAAAGAGCTAAAGCCTCCGAAACCTGGCCATATTTACACGCCCTAGTGGGCTTCTGCTTGCCCTTCCAGAGAGGCCTGACTGACCAGAGCAGGTGAGGTCCCACACGCTTGGAGGCCAGGTTACTAAAGCCGCCTTTCCCCAAACTAATGCCTCATAGTACAATGGTACCCAGTTCTTTTTGTGGTGGGACTCATGCACATGTTCTCAGGATGTTAACATTGGAGTGAAGCACAGGAGAGAGTATCTTCCTGGTCATTATATCCTGTGCATCTTGGCTGCCCCAGATCATGGAAGGATGAATGGGTCATCAGAAACCACGCAACAAGCAGTTCGAGGGAACAATGAGCCAACCCACCAGTGCCACCAAACTGCGAGAGCCTCCTCTCTGCCCTCCCAATGCCCTCTGGGCTGGAGAGTCCCTCCTCTCATGTTCTGGCAGAAGGGCCCACACTGCATGTGTGCAGAATCGGAAGTGTGACTGTGCTGTGCTCTGAACTCGGATGTGACCCATTGCTCCTGCCTCTGCTCCAAGTTGCTAGTACTTCAAATACCCCCTGGTCCCAGGGGGAAGGGAGCTTAGCTCTGGCTCTACTAACTACTCATGGTTGCTGCAAAGCCAGGCTAAAACCAAGTCATCTGTGCATTGGGATTTTCAGATGACCAGTAGAAAGTAGAGAATGGATCCTCTCACCAGAGCCATTAACAGGCTTCTAAATGGGGGGGTCTGGGAGAGCCTCAGGCAGGCATTTGGCCAGTGCAAGAACGTAAACGTGGGCCCTGGCTGGTAACACAGAGCTTTCCGCTCAGCAGCACTAGAAAGTAGGAATTACGTTGAGACACTGGTGGGAGCTGGAAGGTTCTTGTAGGATAGGGGCTGAGGAGGGGCTTTCGGAAGGGAACCCAGGAGTGGGCCACATGCACACCCCATCCCAAAGTCCTCTTGTACCCAGAGGCCTACACATTGTGCCTGTCAGTTCTCGGGACCCTCCAGAGGAAGAGAGCATTGACACCCAGAATTTCACCCGCACTGCTGTTCAGTGCTCTAGCATTTATTTCACGAGTCCTTGAGGATTCACAGAGTGATCGGCAAGGAAACCCAATGCTTCAGGATCACAGTTTGTGTGCTCTACTTCCTGACTCCCTTCCCCTGGAGCGGAGGCATCTGCTCAGGGCATGAGCACCAGCATGGCTTCACTACTCTTAAGAGAAAAACGGAGGAAATAAATATCTAGGTAGGCTAGATAAGGCAGCAGAGAAGGCTGGTCCGTGTGGGGCCTGACGCTAGTGGCATGGGGAGAGTTAGTGTGGTTCTGGGGCAGTGAAACCCGGAGAGCACAGGGGGATGGGTGGTTGTACACAACGGCCAGCCTGCTCTGGGCACAAGCAGATCGCCACGCCCAAGGTCCAGGCCACAGACACCCACTGCGAGGCACAGGAACACGTGCGGGAGGCCTGAGCTCCAGGAGCGGGGAGAAAGCCAGTTTCCCCAAACCACTATGCTTTCTCTTTCCCACCCGTCCCGTGCCAGCGACAGAAAACCGGAGAGATACACCCTGTGTTTGCCAGAGTCAAACGAAGGGGGCAGGAGATGGGCAGAAGGCCACTTGCCTCTAGAACCCAGGAGCAGCTGACCTCAATGTACCTGCTCTTCCACTGAGAAGCTTCTCAGATGGGACCCAACCCGGCAGGACAGAAGGCAGAAGCCTGGGCACTAGAGACGTCAGGGGAGCGTCTGCCTCCCTTAACTAGATGAGCAGGTCAACAGCAGAGCTGTGCTCTCCCAGAGTCCTCACCCGTGAACCAGCGCACAGAGCTGGAGCCTCAGAGGAGCAATGGCACAGACCTGTACTGGATACACCTGTACTCGGGGCCAGGGCCCTAAGGGGAAGGGAAGGGCATCCCAGAGATAATGGAAAAGGCACCCAGATTCGGGCGACTTAGGCCAAAGGCCCAAGGAACCCAGAGGAGAGAGAGGGCTCTTAGGAGATCTGTGCTTCGATTATGGGACATCTTCTTCTCTTGTCACTAACCTGAACCTACAAGCTCGAGAAGTGCAAGATGTCTGAAGCTCCACATCAAGACATGGAAGGATGTCAGGTCACCATGAAGGCCAGTTTTTGCCCCTCCCTACCATGGGAACTGCAGCAATGTGTCCCCAGGCCCAGGCGTGCACTGCTGCCTCCAACCCCCTCCCCACTTACTCTGCACAAAGGCCAGATGTCCCCATTTCCAAGCGTGTCTCCCCTGGATTCACTTCTGAGGGGCTGCCTAGCTGCCTCAGTCTGGCATAGATTCTCCTCGCAGGCAGGACCTGCTCTGGCAGTGCTGTCCCCCCGCAGACCGTGGCTAACCCCCAGGGCCTCCATGCAAGGATTCCAGTTGTGCAGCTACAAGCTGGGAACGTCAGATCTTGGGCCGCCAGCCTTTGATGAACTGCATGATCTTCTTGACCTGCAGCTTGGTGAGGTGGAAGTCATCTGCCAGGATATCCTCACTGAGTTGCACAAAGATGCTGCCATCAATGCGTTCTCGGGCAAAGAAGCTCACCACATCCTCTGAGAGCCCAATGAAACGGAGACTTCGAGAGACTTCTTCCAGAGAGAGCGCAGACAGGTCAGCAGGGGGCTGCCAGGAGGAGGCATCCCGGCCTCCCCAGCCTGCGGCCCCCTCCCGGGAACTGGCAGGAGGCCCCTCCAGGTGCCCTTGGGCCAGAAGGAGCCGTGCCCCACTGGCCTCGGGCCCCTGCAGGGCCACTGGTGACAGCGGGGTAGGGACCTGCCGCAGCACCAAACCTTCCGGTTCAAAGGCCTTGGGGGGTCCAAGTGGAGAAAGGCAGGGTGCCCCCCCAGCTCTGGGCTCCTGACAGCGCAGCAGCTCAGGCTCTGGAGAACTGCCCTGGCCCAGCTCAAAGGGGTCAAAGGGCTCCAGGGTGGGCTCCTGCCACTCAGAGGAGGAGGAGGAGGAGGTGGGGGCCACCGAATAGGCCTGGCCTGGTGAGCCTGGGCCTGGAGAGAAAGCAGGGCTGGAGGTAGCCAGGGGCCCCGAGCTGGTTGTGGGCCCAGAAGAGGAGGCCGCAGAAGGGCCTGAGGGGTAGGCAGGCCCCGAAAAGGGGTTGAGGGCCCCGAACGGAGCAAAGCGTTTCTGGGGGTGAGTGGGCTTGAACAGAGGCGGGCAGCTGTGGTACGCCTTCACCGGGGGATCAGCCCCCAGGAGGGAGACAGCTCGACTGCCCAGGGGCTCTGCAAGGGCCCGGGTGGCCTGGCTGGGCTGCGTGGTCGACGGCAGGGGTCCCGGGGGCGGGCGGCTAGAGGCCTCGCCCGCCTTGCAGTCTCCCCAGGTGCATGGGTAGCAATAGAGGGAGTAGGCGTCCGGCGACGGGGAGCCACTGGCACTGCGAGAACCTGCCCTGTGTGGGGCAGAGAGGCACACACAGGGAAGGGTGAGGCAGCGCAGAGGGAGGCGCCCCGGGCTCACACACAGGACGCAGCGCACAGCTCTGCGGGGCCAGAGAGCACCGCTGTGATCTCGGCACACGGGCGCCCGCCCGCTCGGGGACTGCTCTGAAGCGCTCAGGGACCCACAGGCTCTGGCCGGCAGGCCTGGACTCTTCCTCTCCCTCGGTGCGGGCCCCCCTCCCCTCCTCCATGCACCCCCCCCCCAGGAAGGCCCAGCACCAAGAGAAGGAAGGGGCTCACCCATCCTGGAGGCCAGAGGAGTAGTAGGAGAGGCTGGAGCTAGGTGAGTGGATGGGCTGCAGCTTGGGGAAGCGTGGGGGCACCGGGGGGCTGCCCGAGAGCCGGCCGCCGCCATTGCCACCCCGGGGAGGCACAGGGGGTGCATTGAGCAGGCGACACTCCTCCTTCACCTGCAAGCAGAGGGCCACAGCTCCACGCGCTGCCCCGAGCAGTGGACGCTCCTTATCTTCCTTGTCCCAAGCAGCCGGACCAGGAGGGACTGACACTGCCACGAGGCTGCCTCTGCCTTACCTCCAACTACTCACCGCGCCCCCACCCCCCAGCCTCTGCAGCCTGTTTCCCTCCAAGAGGGCCCACGACACGCACACCACCTCCTAGGGCCTTGGAAATCCACCATGACTGTAAGAACGAGAATACAGAAGTGGATGGAAACAGATAAGTCGACCTAGTAGTCCCTCCTCGAGGAAAAGACAGTGGTGTGACAGGGAGAAAGGGAAGGACAAGTCTCTACCATCTGGGTTCTTTCTTTATAAACCAAATACTCCTAGTGGACTCCCTGGGATGTTAATAGCTATTTTCCGTGGACGAGTATGGTTGGAAAATTCTGCCTTAGGCACAACTAGGGTTCCTTGGCGCAGGACTTCTCAGAGCCTTTAAAAAACCAAAGTTCTATGGCTCCAAAGTGAGGAGGGGGTGGGCTCGGAATCGCCTGCTGCGTCTTTCTAAACTTAATCCACCATGGGACCTTCTTTCCACCGGACAACTGACAGGACCCCCGTTCCGTGGATCCTTAGGGCTCATCCCAAATCCTCTCAAGCTAGGGACCTACTAGCACCGCTGTCTCCAGAACGCCCAGCGCCACGGTCTCTAGTATTCCTTAGGACAATAAGGCCCTGAGTCCTTCCCCTCCCGTCCCGGTCCCGGTCCCGGTCCCGGTCCGGTCCGGGGCTGGAGGCTGGGGCTGGAGGCTGGGGCTGGAGGCTGGGGCCCGGCAGAACCTGCGTCTGGCCGCCCGCCCGGCGCCCCCCCTGCAGGGGAGTCCCCAGCTCGCTCCCGCCGGTCCCCCTCGCGCCGACGCCGCGGCCACTCACCGCCTCGGACTTGGGAGGCACCGGAGGCGGCGGCGCCTCGGGCTCCAGGCGGGGCGGCCCGGCGGCCCCGAAGGAG